TCGCAGACCCATTATGTTGGGTTTGTCATGACACGGCTCAAATATTTTAATCCACACACCAAATATTCATATAATAATGGGTTCAGCAGTTTAAGATAATAGCCGGATAAAAATAACAAATTTTTAACTCTTAGCCTGCTGGCAGCAATGGTATAAACTAATGCAACCAGTGCAGAACAAGATCAACAGTCATTTACCTACCGTCTGATCATGGTCTGCACTGTTTGCTTTTCATTCAATACAATATTTTGAAATTTTACCGTAAAAAAATGAATGGTTTTGTCCAGATTGAAGGCATTCTGTGGGGTAGTTTTCAAAACTTGCCAAAAGAAGTTGGCTTTTTTTCTGACCAGCGCAGACCTTGATTAGACAGCAAAAATTTGGTCTGCACTGGATGCGGTCTGCACTATATGTGGTCTGCACTGGATGCATGGTTAGAATCAGTTGCAATCAGAAGGCTAAAGGTTAAAGTCTTGTTTACAATATACATGTAAAACAATGTATTGACAACCTTCTCTATTGATTGGTTACTCAGAAATGTCTGACATATTGGGAATATGCCCTATTTATCAAGTCATCATCCACTTTCTCTGGTGCAGGAAATTTCATTGAACATACTAGCTGTTGTACAGTGAAGGAGGAGTATTTTTAAACATGTACATACATATTTTGCATTTCTTTTGTTAGTTTTTACTATGATACTGTGTGGACAAGTTACTTCTATACATTAGTGTATAAGATAACTTGCTAGATTATTTTCATCTTTGAAATTTCTTTGTTCATACAATTATTCATTTTATCCGATCATTCATTTTTCTTGATTATATTTTACATACCCTTTTACACTTCTTCCATTTTTTACCCTTCCCCAATCTTGAAATATCTATTTATTGTGTAAAAACAGTAAATTCTGTTTAATATTTTAGATACTTTTGCTTGTAAGAATATTTTTCACTTCTCAATAAGTATTTCACACTCAATAATTTTACTCAAAAGTCGAAGTGAAAGTTCTTACTTAATCTTTACAATTTGTTGCATATTTTCTCAATTCTTGGCATTAATTTGATATATCTAAAATGTTCTTTCTATGAATATTCCCGGTTTTAACATGATTTCTTAAGTACTTTTAACTGACAAATTTTTTTGTTATGAAAGTTATTTTTGTCTCGAGAAAAATTTTGCATCAAATTAAGTATGTGTTCAGTTGATTGTGTAGTGAGATATTATCTATATATTTCACATAGTGAGATATTATCTATATTTCACTCATCATGCATCATTTTTATGTGTGTACATCTTACTTATACGTCCATTAGGAATAGATATGCACAGAATTTGCTAAGGTATTTGTGAATATAGTATGTAGCATTTGAGCCGTGTCACGACAAAACCAACATAATGGGTTTGCGACCAGCATGGATCCAGATCAGCCTGCGCATCCGCGCAGTCTGATCAGGATCCATGCTGTTCGCTTACCAAGTCTTTTACAAGTAGATAAACTGATAGCGAACAGCATGGATCCTGATCAGACTGCAAGGATGCGCAGGCTGGTCTGGATCCATGCTGGTGGCAAACCCATTATGTTGGTTTTGTCATGACACGGCTCATTTTAAGACAAGAAAGGTTAATATATCTTTTAAGTAACCATAGATAATGCGAGTTATTTCAGTAAATAGATAGAGCAGTCTGTAAGTTCAAGCTTCGCCAGCATATTCTTTAATGTGAGACAGCTATCTAGCTAGCTTTCGGAATACCGGTGGTTCTACTTAGGTGCCTGTTTTTTACTTAAATTAATGCACAAAGGGCCACAAGAGGTCTGTCTCAACATGTAAAGCTGGAATGTCACCATATGACCTATACCTTGTTGGTATGATAATAAAACCCAACAAAAAACAAAAAAAATATTCAATAAAACAAGCTGTAGTGGTAGGATATTATGTTTTATAAACATCTCTTGTTGCTCTTCAATATTTTCTTTGTGACATATTTTGTTTATATTGATCACAGTTATCTACAATTTGTTAATGTTACATGTTATATAGTGTTTACAGGTAAGTTAATCACATTGATTGAAGATAATCGATTTATTAGGAATTATTGCTACTTTATTTCTGTTTTTATATATAATAGCTTTTGTTTTAAGTAGAAATGCTTCATGTACCTCAATCAACACCTGATTCTAGCATCATATTACAATGAAACTTGATTATATTGGTTTTTTTCATGAATAAAAAATTAATTATGTATTTCTGTGTTTTTTTGTGTATAAAAAAAAAATACATTTGTATCACTATCGGTTGAATTCCTGCCAAGATTAAAATGCCATTTTAACTGAATTACCTCCCTTTGTGAACTTTGAAAATGTCTGGTTAAATATTTGCACCCAAGATCAGATCAGTTCTCACAACTATTGATGGTGTAACTAAAAATCACACATCTCTGGGGTATAAATGTAGGTCACTTTCCAAGGCTCATATCTTTGGCATGGGTTTTGACTGAATTATGGCCCTTTGTGAACTTAGAATATTTCTGATTAAAGTTACACAACATTGTTAAGAAATAATATATCCCAAACAGTGATTTTATCAATTATAAAAAATCACTGGAGTTCAGATGTCAGGATTATATCATGAGGGAATAGCCCCGAGTGATATAATAATGATGCGCATCCGAAAGACAGTGATTTTATCAAGCGATAAAATCATCAATTTGGATATATTATATTGATTCTAACACGACATCAACGAATAAATGCTGCTGTACCTGGTATTAACCTAAATTGCACTTGATTTGCTTCCATACACAGCGCGTCGCATTTTTAGTGGTTACGTCAAGAGTATAAAGAGTATGTCACATGTCTAAATATAGAACATCAAACTGTGATTTTATTGCATAATAACACACTTTTGGTTCTTCTATGTTCACTGGGGAAAAATGCGGGTTGTGTAAGAATATATCTTAAAATTTTTATATTTATCACTTATTTGTTCAGTTTAAGATAAATGATAATGTTCTAAATTAATATTTCACCTTGAGGACCTATAAATGAACTGACAGAGTAGAAGAAAGGTCAGAAAACATAAACATATTTGTTTACAGTTATTAAGTATGCATAGAAGTCAAATTTGCAGTTTCCATGAGATAACTGGGACATAACGGTTTTTTATGATATTTCACTTGACACAGATGCATGTATAAACACCCCTATTATCAAATCTGTTTACATGTAACAAGTTTATATATAAATGTCAATTTTAAACTGGATTACCCAAGTATGGTCCTCTTTTTTTTTTTTTTTTTTTTTTTTTTGTCTCTTTTTAAAGACATCATTTTCTAAGCAATTGATTTCACAATAAAAAAAACTTACCAAGCGCACAATTGACCCTCGACCAACTAATTTACTTTCAAACAGTTAATGGGTATGTTTATAATTTATGTCAATACAAAATAATATGTGCAACGGTTTAAAATTACAGCAGTATAAAACTTGCAAAAACTTTACTCAGATATTTTTTTTTGGTCACACAAGACAATTGTATTAATCATCTAGTACCATATAAATGCACGGGCCTGTGGTGAAATTTTATCTTTTAATGGCATGTTATTTCAAAAACGCCTAAACTACAATGTGTTGGATATTAGCTCTAAAAACAAACACTGCTTCAAAAATAACCTATAAGAGGTTATAATATTTTTGCATTTTTCAATTTTTTCATTGAAAGATACTTGTAATTCTTGACCCCTCCATGTAGAATCGAGAAAAGCATTCCCTTTTTGTGTGTTTATTTCTACATCTTCATAAAATATTCCATAATTCTAACAAATAATATACTATTTCTAACCACATGTATAAAATAATGTATATCACAATAGTTTTAAGGTACTTCACCTAAACAGTGTTAAAAGTTGGAATGTTATTTATAATAAATAAAAACTTTAAGTTCATGTAAATTTGTAACATTGGAATCTATTTAAATAAAAACTCGGTTGACGTAAAATGTTAACATTGGAATGTTATTTAGACATAAACTTTAAGTTCATGTAAAATGTAAACATTGCTGTTATATAAATAAAAACTAAGTTCATGTAAAATTTAACATTGGAATGTTATTAAAGTAATGATAAAGTTATGTAAAATGTAAACATTGCAAAGTTATTTAAATTAATACTTAGTTCATGTAAAATGTTAACATTGGAATGTTTTTAAAAAATTACTTAAGTTCATATGAAATGTTAACATTGCTGTTATTTAAATTAATACTAAGTTCATGTAAAATGTAAACATTGAAATGTTATTTAAATAAATACTTAGTTCATGTAAAATTTCAGCATCACAGCAGTTATAATTAATTAAATAATAATACAATAAATGCAGAAGCATTTCTATTTTAAATACTAGCATAAAAGTAATCATTTAAAAATCACAATCAGTTTGCCCACTCCCAATTATTGCAGAATTCTATATGATTAAAATATACTTAAGACAAAATAAAAGTAGGGGAAATTACTTGGCTAGAATGAACTTCATCAAAAGTTATATGTCAATTATTTGTAAGTAAGTCTTAGAGGAGCAAAAACATGATTTTAATAAAGGAAACATGACCGACTGGTAACTAATTTTATTGCTTAGCCCTGCCAGCAGCAACAGATACTACCTATGTCACCGAGATCAGCTGACACCCTCATGGTCTGCACTCTTTGTTTTATATCTTATTTTGTAATTTTCTGTAAAAAGGTGAAATGAATGGTTTTGTCCAGATTGAAAAAGGGACTTTAAGTAAGCCAATGAAAGAAATTTTGGGTGGTACTTAAACATTGATTTATGCTATATGCAACAAATGCAAAGAGGAGACAACTTCAACTGGTCATAATTAAATTAAAAATGAGATACAAATGTATTTTGGAAATAATACTTGCCAACTTCAGCATACAATCAATGCCCTTGAGGGAGTTTGGTATTTTTTCTTAAAAAAAAGTTAAAACTTGCTATTTTTTATATGTTTTGTCTTTTGAATCTAACATTTCTACATTGATGAAGCATATAATAAATAATACCATCTAGCATATTATAATGTCTAAATGCATACTTTGTTGAACACACCAGAAATGAAAATGTTATATAACATGAAGAAACAGTCATTTTACAAACACTACAGCTAATTTACTATGAATATCCATGAACAATACACATGAATGTGAGAATGACCTTGACCCTCTTAGCAGACAACTAAATATAATAAATATTGTAAAAAAATTTCATCATGAGATGATATGATCGTATTCTTGTTTCACTTTAAAGGCACACTAGGCCACATAAATAAATGTATGACATTTTCTTCTGAAACAAAGGCAACAACTTGGCCATACAGGTCCAATGAGTTCAATGGCCATTTAATAACCTTAATAACAATACTGTTATAGACTTACAGTGCTTATTTGTAACTACTGTATCAATCGCACCTGGTTGCTTCATTTCTGTAACTGTTAACATTATAACTATAAACTACAAATTTCGTTTTTGGCAGCGACATTAATTAAGACCAAGAACTTACAGTGCAGTCTCTGCAAAGCAGCATTCTAACCTACAACTTAACTTCTTCCCAAAATTAAACTTTGCATTAAATTTAACTTCTCTTGAGAAACACCTCTCAGCAACTACCAAAGTTTATGTTTCCCACAGGGTGGTTGCTTTCCAAAGGTTGAACTGTATATTTCCACTACAAGCACAAAATTTTATGACCCACTGCACTGATTACTCCCAACTGCTTTAACTACAGCAGCTTTCCCACCTTGCATTCATGTGATTTGCACAACTATATGACCCCCTACTAAGCAAACTGTTATCACAGTGTACTGTGACTTCTCCGCAACTTTTTCCCTCCCTTTTTTCCCTTTTTCCCTTTTTTCCCCTTCTGTTTGAGTTTTTTCCTCTGTTCCGGAGTAAGTGATGCGAGGAAAGCTCGTCTTTTCTCTGCCTTCTCTTGTAGAAACATTTGCTCATTGGCTTTCTCTGTAAAATAGATAATAAAAAGAGATTATAAATCACATGTGTACACTATATAATAATAACATCAGTCCTTGCAATGGATACTCCTTGATGTCCAGAAAAAACAATTAAAATATAATATCTTTTTAATGGCCCATTATGCCTAAGAAACTCTATCGTTTTCATTTCTCAAGAACTGTTTATTTTTGGTATCTTGTAACAGTTTCGAAAAATATTCATTTGCTAACTACATGAACTTTCTTTTGCATCTTTGGTTCTGTTGGCAATTGGTATGATTATAAAGAATAAGTATTTTGGATGGAAGCCAAAATACTACATGTACTTTGTTTACATTTTGATACCTTTACGACACATAACTGCATGTTCAGCTCTACTTTTTTTAAGTTGTAAAACATCTTAACATGCACTAATCCATTATCTAAACATAATTGAACACATTTTAGTTAAAACATACGGATTTCTGAGGCATGATGTGCCTTTAAACGTAAAAAAGTGACCTTGACCAAATTGAGCTCCACTATCTAGAACTTACCAGTACTAGTTACTTCCAGGGATACAAATTTTAGGCTTGATGCCAGTACAACTCAAATTCACCTTCATGGGTTAGTTTATACTGATTTATTTTAGTTTGGGTTGTGTAAAAAGATAGAAGCTTATTGAAAACTCTTAAATCTGTTCCTGGAACTAACCAGTACTAAGCAATAAGTGTAAATTTTAGTTTCTTGCTCATCAAAACAACAGCTTGCCTCTGACGGTGTTTGAACTTGTGCAGCCAGCAATCTTAAGATAACTAGTCTAACATGACACTGTTAATGACTCAGCCATACCACCACATTCATGAGTTGAGAGGCCAACATTTTTATTATAGAGCCAGCAATATATTTCCAAATTGTAAAGATGAAAATATCAATCTGATGGTGAGATTGACCTCTAAATTTATGGCAATAAGGTATGTTATTTCTGTAACAAATAATTACATACCAAGTGTTTTTTCAGCTTTGACGAGTCTTTTATGTTCTTCTGGTAACCACACCTTTGGATGACTTAACAACCTGTAACATTTAAATTATTATTTTATGTTTTTAATTGTTGTCGGGTTTTGCGTCAAACCAATTTAATATAGGTGATATGGCGATGTTCCAGCTTTACTAGTAGAGGATGACTTCAGATTCCCTTCGCTGCATTATTTCAGGAGTAAAACCACCAGCATTCCATCAGCTAGCTGAATAGCTTTCTCAAAATTTTTAATGTAAGAATGTCTTTAGAAGGATTTGAACACTCAGTCAGGTGAGGGGCATGTGTTTTGAAGTCAACAACCTTAACCACTCGGCCACAAATTATGTCTTATAATACAACAGACTTTGGTTAAACAACAGTTAATTAACTATTATGAATTATAATTTAGACTTTTTATAAAAACCACCAATTTAACTTGGACAGTCATACTCATTTCAATTTACCTTTTGAATATTCATTTCATATCATAAAGTAAAGGAAAGGAATTAATATAAGTGCTATGCTCATTTTCCAATCCATATATAATGTGATGTAAAATGATAAATGCTTATAAATAAGCCAGATAAAATCTGTTTAAACTTAAGTAAAACCCGATTGCATATGACTATAACATATTACTATACATGTTCAAAAAAGCAGATACATTTACAATTATCATTATATCACATTAAATTCCTGTTAGAACTTAAACTTTTATTTGATATAAAATTATACAAATGGCATTAGTTATTAAAACTTACGAGAGAGATGACTGTTTCGGTAGATTAGCTGTTATCTCATAATATCTCGATTTTCCGGATGGCGGGTACAGAGCTCTGTATACAAAGTATATAAATCATTAAAATATTTTAACAAAACTTAACATGAAATTTAACAGCATACCTTGAAAGGGTTTAAAACTCTTTTTGAGGCTGTCTATGATTAGCAGAATAATTCGTACGTAGTGAGATTTGTTTCTATGTCTGGTTTTTTGCTGAATTTAACATAATATAATTTATAAAGATTTTGGTCATATGTCCCTGGCCATCTTACCAGCTTGTCACCTTGGTGCAGTAACTGATTAACTCCTTATATAATTTAATAGGAGTTAACCAGTTACTGCACTAAGGTGACACAGCTTTTCTGGATAACTAACAAGTACATGTAGTTACCAATTTCTTTGCATGTGTCTAACTACTTTTCCCATATAATTCCTGAATCAATAGCAGTGAGAGACAAAAGAACATTATAGTTAGGCAACATAACAAACATACAGTACTAAAACAAAAATATACAAATTACAAACTTTTGTAATGTTGCCGCCGAGATATGTAAACCTTTCTCTGCTAATTCTTTCTCCATTTTCTGACAGGCAAGATCTTCCTCAGTTTCTTCTTCATCCTGTAACAAGGTCAAGGTCATGTTCTAATTATAATGTGACCTCCAACTACAATTGTTCTAGCAATTAGAATTATCATTCTCTGTTACAAAGATTCTTAGCATTACTTTGAAGTATTTTGAAATGATCTTACTTTTCCACCAATTAATGCATCTTACATGATGAAAATAGGTACATAATAATCTGTTTATCAATATCATTGTTACACTCTTCCTAGATTAAAAGAATTATTCAAAGATTTTATCTATAGTTATCAATAAGACAGAGTGGCTGAGTGGTTAATGCCTCAGACTAATTATCTAAGGATTTCTGACTGCCTGGGTTCAACCCCATCAGGGACAAACTGTTGTTTCTGTGAGCAAGAAATGTTACACTCATTACTAAGTACTGATTGGTTCAAGGAACGGATTTGAGCAGATTCGAGAGTGCTTCAGTAAGCTTATAGCTTCCAACACAATCAAACTAAAAATAAATTGGTATAAACTAATAAGACATAGAGGATATTGAATGAGTGTAGGTTTTATACTCAATCTATTGAATGAATCTACATGAATATAATATTCTATTTTTTACATAATCCAAAATAGGAATGATAAAGAGTTAAAAAGGGTCATTTTTCGTTTACGTCCATATAGTGTAAAGCTTACATCAGCACGCTTTAATGCTGTGTTTGTATATTATGCAAATGAAGTCACATCAAAGTGTTATTACACTAGTGTAAAAATGTTTTTTATTAAATGGCTTTATTACACTCCTGTGCTGTGGTTTACATGATAAATATAGATAAATGTTTTCTTGTTATAAAATATAGTATTAACACTAAATGTTAATATTTTTATTAAAAAGAGAATGTACTTACAAAGTAAGGTATGTTTGTATTTATGATACATGGCTCTGTGAGAATCACTCGTGTTTTGTTAGAAGATTTTTTTGGTTTGGCAGATCCTGTACTGCTTGAACGTGAGTAAGATGCATAATGTTCTGAAATTATTAAATAAAATAATTAGTAACACCAAAGCATACGTATAAAGAGTTGCATTGGAACAATAAATGTTTTCACAACAAAAAAAAATAAAGTTATCATTTCAATCAACCTAACAGGAAGTGGTGTCTGACTTTTTAACGATGTGTTGTTGCTTAAATTGGGACACAACTATGTTTAATAGTGGCAACATGGCTGATTGAATGCATCTGACTAGTAATCTACGGATTGCTGCATGGGTTCAATTTCGATCACAGGCAAGTCGTTGTTTCCTTGAGCAAGAAACTTTTCACTAATTGCTTAGTACTGAACAGATTTGAGTGTTTCAATAAGCTATATTATAGCTACCTATACATCAACCTAAAAATAAATTTTTATAAACTAAACTAATCATGTTTCCTGGCATGACACAAGTACGGGTAAGTTCCAACTTCCAGGAAGCAGACTAGAGCGTGATTAATTTAATTTAGAAGAATTCATTTGATAATTGAGCTTACATAAATATGTTTATAGGTAATTAATCAAAGGGGAAGCAGTGATCTAGTGTTTGTCTATCTCTCAACCTATGAGGGATCATGGGTTTGAGCCCCTACTAGGGTCACAACCATGTTTCCTTATATGACACCAGTGCTGGTTAGTTCACTCTAGAGATGTTAAAATCTTCAAAATCAAGCCCAAGACAAGAGTTATCAGTAGGACAGCTTGCTGGACTATTCTCAGTGCTTGAATGTTCTAAATACCTCTCCCTATTCAATAATTCTTCAAATAGCCGAGCTAAAAACCTAGTCGAGACTGTACATTTTTTCTACACATGTTCTGCAGGAAATTTGCAGCAATATTTAACTATCATTGAGAAATACTTACTATGACTTGATGTAGTTGCTGACATGGGTCTTTTACAAATTGATGTCCTCCCTGTTTCCTCTTTTGTTCTAAAATTGTTAAATTAATCAAGAATATTATATAATCTACCTTACGTCCATGCATACACACAGTTTATCTTCAACAATTTTAATATAGTTCTAACTGCACATAGTCATTCTGACCTTTGATAAAATTACTTTTACATTACTGATCTGATCAAAGCTGATAATAAGATGGTTATATATTTTCATCTTTCTTTGTTTTAGCATGCAACTGAAAACGTGACACATTCAACTAGAACTGCCACTAACATGGCGTGAATGCCCCCTCATACCACTTTGTAAGAATCAACAGTGGCCATTTAGAGCTCAAGGACAACCTCCCTGCCAAATCTGAGGTTACTAAGCCATTGCATTGCTAAGTTATGTATTCTACATTCTTCAAATGTGAATATGTCAAAATCAATACACTGCTGACAGGCATTCTTAAGCAATTGAGGGGAAAAAACTTTTTTTAAGTCAAGGTCCCTGTGACCTTGACCTTTGACACAGTGACCTCAAAATCAATAGGGGTCACCTTATGGTCATGATCAACCTCCATGCCAAATATGAAGACTGTGGGTCAAAGGAATCTTAAGTTATTGGGCGGACAAGCTTTTTATAGTCAAGGCCCCTGTGACCTTTGACCCAGTGACCTCAAAATCAATAGGGGTCATCTACTTGTCATGACCAACCTCCATGCCAAATATGAAGACTGTGGGTCAAAGGAATCTTAAGTTATTGGGCGGACAAGCTTTTTATAGTCCAGGTCCCTGTGACCTTGACCTTTGACCCAGTGACCTCAAAATCAATAGGGGTCATCTACTTGCCATGACTTATCTCCATGCCAAATATGAAGACTGTGGGTCAAAAGAATCTTAAGTTATTGAGCGGACAAGCTTTTTTATAGTCATGGCCCCTGTGACCTTGACCTTTGACCCAGTGACCTCAAAATCAATTGGGTCACCTTATGGTCATGATCAACCTTCATGCCAAATATGAAGACTATGGGTCAAAGGAACCTTAAGTTATTGGGCGGACAAGCTTTTTATAGTCAAGACCCCTGTGACCTTGACCTTTGACCCAGTGACCTCAAAATCAATAGGGGTCACCTTATGGTCATGACTAACCTCCATGCCAAATATGAAGACTGTGTGTCAAAGGAATCTTAAGTTATTGGGCGGACAAGCTTTTTATAGTCAAGGCCCCTGTGACCTTGACCTTTGACCCAGTGACCTCAAAATCAATAGGGGTCACCTTATGGTCATGATCAACCTCCATGCCAAATATGAAGACTGTGGGTCAAAGGAATCTTAAGTTATTGGGCGGACAAGCTTTTTATAGTCAAGGCCCCTGTGACCTTGACCTTTGACCCAGTGACCTCAAAATCAATAGGGGTCATCTACTTGTCATGACTAACCTCCATGCCAAATATGAAGACTGTGGGTCAAAGGAATCTTAAGTTATTGGGCGGACAAGGAAAAACCGACGGACGGCCAGACGTCCGGACGGACGGACAAGCTGATTCCAGTATACCCCCCTTACAACTTCGTTGTGCGGGGGTATAATAAACAATATTGGATCTATACAAGTCTAGAAATGATCTGATAATCAACGATGCATTAATGAATTGTGATAAATTTCCCTTATTATACAGTTGTGTGATACAATGTAGAGGTAACAATAAATGTATATGGCAATACATTCTGCTAAAGTCTGGTTTAAAGCTGCATGCCTCCAGATGACCCAAAATATTTCAAGAAAATTAAACTTGGAAAAAACATACTTAAACTTTATGAAAAGTAAACAAATTAAAGATTCAAGTGATAATTTATATCTTATGTGCAATTAAGGACTGTATTCTGTGGTATTTATCACCATATTTCTACTGGGTTACTAACGCAGTAGGGGCTATTTATGCATATTTTGACCTCTTTTTGGTAATTTATGTGGATTTTATGTGCCGATTGTAATGTGTCAAGTATTTTCTTTGTTCATTTCACAATATTTTACCTTTAAATACTTTTTCAAAATTTTCATGAAAATTAGGATGAATCTGGAGGCGTGCTGCTTTAAACAGTTACTTTAGGTCTCAGAGACTTGTAATTGTTTATTGTTTATTTCTTAAAAACTTATCTGAAGCCAAAGGTAAGGCTGTATAAACTAATTTTTAGATTTAAAGTTTCCTCAAGTCATTTCAACAGTGAGTCCCAACTCTATACTAGTTTAATTTTTAATGCAGCACGCCTACAGATCCATGCTAGTTGTCATGAAAATTTTGAAAATGCTTATTAAAGTAAAATATTGTGAAATTACCAATAAGAAAGTACCTTACACATTACAAACAGCACTTACAACCCACGTAAATTACCAAAATTAGGTCAAAATCTTAAACTGTGTTAGAAACGCAGTAGAAATACATGTAATAGTATAAATACTGAAAAGTAGATCATAAATCACACATAACATGTTAATTACTTGTATTACTTAAATCTTGAATCTTTTTCTTTTCTTAAAATCTTGGCTCATCTGGAGGCATGCAGCTTTAAGGCAGTCAGGGCACTAAAGTTCAGGGTCCCTGTGGCATTGACTGTAATTACCATCAATGGCACTTTAAGAGAGTCAATACAAAATATACATATGATCATCATATTTCTAACAACATGTTTCATGCCATGTCTAGAATACAAACAGGTGCCATAAAATTCCTAATAAATGCACCTCCCCTAATAAAGGCCCCCAGCCTTTTTTGGAAAAAAATCCACTCACATGAGTAGATCCATAATTTTATTCAAACCCTTCAGAATCCATTTTATGTTACAGTAAACACAAATTTGTATCATTAAAACTTTAAAACCTTAACCCTTTTAAATGTTATTTCCAACACTTGCTGACACTAAATGTATTTACAATGATTTTTGCATTTAGGAAAAATTGTGTTGTAATAAAAGCCCCCCTTTTTGGCAAATGATTAGCCCCCGGGGGCGTTTAATAGGAATTTTACGGTACCTTAATTAGACTGTGCCGTTAGACCAGTAACACAAACAACATCATACCTTGACAACAGTCCTACATGTGCTGAAAGTGGTCTTGGTTTACGTTTCTCAACAAGTGATTTCTTCACCACTTTAGTCTTCTCCTCTCCATCTTCTACTTCCTATGTACATTAATATACATTTATTGTTACATAGTCAAATTCAAAATAATAACATTGTTTTTTTTTTTTTAAGATTCACTTTTTACCCTTGTATGCTTTTAAATCAGCCCTTAGGAGTGTGCTGACCCATCGTTTGAGGTGTCCGTTTCTACTAAATCCAGGAATTGTGGGTTGGAGTCTTACAGAGGTCAAGATAAACAATAAAACAGTATTATCACCAGAAAGTAGTTTCCCAATAAACTTAAGATTTCTGGCATCTCTTCAGAAAGGTAATAATATGAGAGCATTTGATAAATTGTAGTATATGTCTAGTGCAATTGTGTTAGTATTTGTTTGTAGAACTTTTACAGATGTGGCAAGTCCAGCTATTTTGTTAATATTTGTAGAATATTTACAGCTGTAAGTGACAGTCAAGCTGTTTAGCTAGCATTTTCTGTAGAATATTTACAGCTGTAAGTGACAAATGCAGCTGTTTTGTTAGTATTTGTTCAAATGATATTTACAGCTGTAAGTGACTAGCCCAGCTATTTTTATTTTCGTATTTGTTTGTAGGATTTGACAGCTGTAAGTGACAAATTCAGCTGTTTTGTTTTTGTTAGTATTTAATTCAAGGTTAATTACAGCTGTTTAGAAGTTTTGTTATTGAGATATTAACATTAGGTCTAGCTGTTTTGTCTATCATTTACTAAGATATAAATAAATGTTAAACACTCTGAAAACATGATTTTAATTGAAATTATGCCCATACATAAATGGTTACAAGTAAAAGTCAAAATAACTTTTCATTTTGCTAAAGTTCTTTTCAATTTTTGGTTTATGACCATTATAAAGGTCAATTTATTCTATATAAAAAAAGTAGCGTAATGTCATTTTAAATAGTTAGAGAATTTTATACCTCTTTATCACCAGCTAGATTTTTTGTTCTTTCTAGCAGATTGTCTATAACTTTCTCTCTTTCTTCTGTAGTAAGATCAACCTGTTCTGTCTTCCCTGCTTTACATTTTACACTTGTCTTATTTTCGTTATCTTTGACAGCAGATCTTGGCCGTCTGTATGTGGGTGCAGACGCAGGACGGTTGAGGGACTGTAAATAATCATATTTATTATTCTTTATTCTTTAAAATGCCATTAATTAGATCAAAGATCCTACAGTATGTTACATAATTTACCTACCATCAAGAATGGTAATGTTTAATGTGTAAAACTGACAACTACCGTAAAATCTTAAATATTTCAAAGATTTGATTCAGTGGTTATCAGAATTAGGATAACTGTCAAATAACACATTACCTCACGAAATATGAAAAATTTTGTTAAAATAATTCATTTTTACATAAAATTTTTTTAAAAAAGTATTTCTATCTGGGAAAACTGATCACTGCATTATTTCCAAGCAATTATTAATACAAATTAATACAAATTAATACAAATTACCTTTGATTTATCAAGTAATGATTCCTCTGGTGCCATAGCAACAAACCCTAACCTTGACCCAGGTCTCTCAAGGTCATCTGCTGAGTTGATCTTCTTACTGACTGGTGGCTGCAAAATGTTCTACAGAAATTAACAGATGTTCAAATATTTGGTATAGGTATAAGTTATCATACCTTCTGTTATGCTTAAAACTTAAAAGTAAAATATAATACTTTCTTCTTTTTACTTTTTTTTCCAAATAAAGTCCAACAAATTAAATTCCAAAATGAACTTCTGTGCTCTCTGTGAAAAACTAGAGCTAGAAGAAAGTAAACCCTTATTTTATGAACAAGTTTTAGACCAAAAAAAAAAAATTTTACCTTAGCACTTGATGGTCTACTTGGTGGTTTTCTTTGCTTTAAATCGGGACTTGTTGCTAAAAATCTTTCCTTTTCTTTCACAGACACTTGATGTGCATCTATCACACTCTTCACTGTTATTTCTTTTGGTTCTAATTCATCAAATTCTAATGTTTTTGTTGTCTTATACACAGTGGTTTCCTTGGAAACAGGCACATCTAAATCTGATTTCATTTCGGAATCAGGTATTTTAGACAAACTTGAATGTCTTGATATTTCATAGTAATTCTTTTCATGTTCAGATTTGACAACAGTTGGTGCTGACACAATAGATTCGTGCGTAATAAACTTTTTGTCAGTTTCAATTTTCTTGTTCAAATGACCATCAACGTTTGTTCTTTCTTTGTGATCTTGAATTTCAAACTCATTCAAGCCCATCTTCTGCATCATAGTCACCACTTCATCTTTTCTTTTTCTCTCTTTCTTTTTACTTCCATCATTTATAGGTTTTTCCTTTTTTTGTTTTTCAATTTCTCCATAATCTACAGTTACTGTAGTGATCTGTTTTGCAGAACGATTTAAAGGACCACTAGCAGACTTGGGTCTGGTTTGGTTGGATTGTATCTTATTACAGGGCATTGAAGGTTGTTCTTTGTTGGTTTTTGTTGATTGAACATTTACAATATTTTTCCTATCGTTATTTTGATATATAAATTGCTTAGAGCTTTTAGCTTGCTCTGTTACCATGGTTTTTCCTGATGGTGGTCTCCTTTCTCCTCTAGGGGGGGACCCCCTTGGTGGTGATTTCATCTCTCTCTCCGTAAACTCAACTTTGCCTGTAGACAGAATTGGTTCTACTCTATTTTTAATTTCAATCAAGTCCACAAAACTATCAGCAGTGTGATGTATAGTCTTTTTCTTATTATGATGAAGTTCTTCAACTTTACGTCCTATATTCCTTGGTGTTATGTTTACAGTTGTTATATTTTCATTGAACTTCACGGCTGACTTTTCTCTATCCACTTTTTTATTGCTGTTCTCACTTTTTTCGAATTCCAGTCTATTTTCAGAGATTATTTCAGACACTAGTTCCTCTGCCTTTTGTTTGCTATTTAGTCCATCTATATTTATTTGTGTAGTTATTTTTAAGTCATCCTCATTTTCTTTATTTTGATTGGTCAAGTCAGACTCACAAGTATAGTCTGTTTCCAAGGTTGACACTGGAATATTTTTATTTGCACTAATAATACTCTTTAAATTAAATTTCTTAGACACAGATTCTGCTTCTGCCAACAACCTGAAAATATAAAACATGAACAATTAAATGTCCTCTTTAAGTTCTACTGGGATAATGTCATGAGTTAGCAAGTACAAAATCAATGCATATTGTAAGTCCGAAAGATTTTTGACAAGTTATATGGCCCTATACAAAACGGTTATTTAGAAATACTGCAAACAACCTTTTATGTAAGGTTATAAAACTTGATCATAAACTTGTCAGGAATATCTATAAAAAATTTAGAATGGAAATAGACATTAATTTTTCTTGTATTACGGTATAATAATGTATGGTTTATCGTTCAAAATTAATGCTTTGTAATTAATCACTCAGACCTGTCGGCCTTCAGGATTATATTCCTGCGCATTTGAACTCTTACCATGCATTAAATTATTCAACAACAATGCACTCAAAATTGAAATCTATTTCCTAAATAGACAGTTCCAAAAAATGAAAGTTGGACAAGTGCATTGAAGAAATTCAGCAGGTTATGGGTTAGGTTAATTTACCTTTCCGTATCTACATCATCCATCTCATCATGATCATCATCAGCCACTGGTAATGATAACCGTAATGATTCCTTCATAGGGGTGTGGCTTTCTGTATGACTGAAATCTTCTGGGGAGTGGTTTCCTGTATAATTGACATGCACAGGGGAGTGGCTTTCTGTATGATTGACATTAGACTGGGCGTAACCTTTTGGACTAGAAAGGTCATACAAATCTTCATCATCTGAGCTGTCCATCAAATCGTCATCATCTGCTACGTTGTATGGATCCCCGATGAATAATTCAAATACTCTTTTTGTTCTGTTAAGAAAATATTTGTAATCAATTTTCATCATATTGAAATGTAAGAAATGTCATGGCGTAACAATGTTTTTTTCAATGATAACCGTAAGATTGAATGCCATAAATTATTTAAGCAATGTAAAAAAACTAAACATAGATGCTTTGAATATAAAATTAAAGCAAGGAAGAGTTTTTTGTTTATCTTTATTACTACAATTATCATTTCTAATAACAATAATAATTGAATTTGAATTCAATGTCAGAAGGACTTTTAGCCAGCTTTTAGCTTATAATTTTATATTTCAGTTAAACTAAACAGTAACATCCAAGAGATACCTAATTAGTGTCCCAAAATTTATTAGCATTCATAATCCCAGTTCCATAGATCAACGAATCTTCCTACTGACCTATTTAAACCAATTAAAGTTTAGATCTTACATTATAGTATAAAGCTTTCCTAATACTCTTATAAACCCATCTTGAATAAATGCCATTCTTCTATATAAAATTTGGCGCTATGCTTTCACATGACGAAGAATTCTGTGAAATAGCCAAAACTTTAATCGTTATATGTGATAATGTAAAAATGTACCTTTCTTCTGGCTCTGGTGATGGAGGTGCTGGTGAGGTAAAAGGTGGAGGCGGGGCCTCTGGATTCACTGCCCTATAATTAGCCACACCCACATCCTCCTCTGTAGTATCTTCCTCAAGTGGTAAATCCATCTGCCAGGCAACTCCTGTATTCAGACAGGAAGTCAATGATATAAGTACAATCGGTATAAAAATATACTGTATTATTACCCTTCCAGATTTTTTCCACCTTTTTGATTGGATATTGATCACCCGAAAGACATTGATATTACCGTGCCAGATGGGTAATATACACATTAAATTTCCTCGATGGGTACCCCACATTGTAAACAACATGCACCATGCGATGCGTGTACGGTTTGATTTTACGTGATATAAATTCCGATTTACAAGCACTTTTAAACTGTCAAATGATTAATATTTACCAAAATAGAGTAATGATACATATTCTCGTCAGTATAGGAAACAAATATGACCCTGTGAAAGCTTGATATTAATTTCAAAAAAGTGTGTTCAAAAGACTACACCTTTTCTCTTGTTTACATTCGTTATGTTCGAAAGATAATACGTCATGTATTTATGTGACGTCATGTTATGGTGAAGGGGTATTCTAAAGGGAATCTTATTTCGACGTTTCATTTGAAGTAGCATTGATTTATTTTAAAATCGTCTTAACTCGGAACGGGAAGGGTAATAAAATTATTATTTTGGTTTTGGAGCGATATATGTGGATATATTACCTGCCAAGATAAAATATCACCCTCGCCTAATGGCTCGGGTGATATAAAATCTTGACAGGTAATATATCCACATATATCACTCCAAAACCAAAATAACATATATTATATATAACATAAAGACAAGTAGGTATGAAGAAATACAACATAAAGATATGCAGAGGTATAAAGAAATGTAACAAAGATATGTAGGTATAAAGAAATATAACATAAAGACATGTAGCTATGATAAAGAAATATAACATAAAAGCATGTAGCTATGATAAAGAAATATAACATAAAAGCATGTAGCTATGATAAAGAAATATAACATAAAAGCATGTAGCTATGAAATATAACATAATATATAGGTATCAAGTTGAAGAAAAGACAGAAAAAAAGTCTGTACCACAGTGTGATCTGGAACCATGTAGATGGCATTTTGCCAGTGTTTCGTTATAGTTGTTTAACTTCAACTAGATATACAATATTAAAGGGGTACTATAGGTGTATCATGATCGTGTGAGATACTTGTATTTGGCTATCGTGGATTTTACAAAAACGGATTACTATCCATGCTTCTTTGCTCGTGACATCCTATCCTAGTAAAATCCACTCTTGACAAATAAAGATACTGCTATAAATAAAACCATATTATGTTACCTCATGGACATGTATGATAACTTACCATCTGGTGGTCTGTCTGGGTATTTGAGTCCGGCTGGCGGACCGACCCATCCTATAGATGATGTATGAGATACTCCTTTAGGTGGTCTACCACTGGGATCATACTTGGCACCCTTCACTGAAACAAATAAATATCACACTATTTTACAATCTATTAAGTATCAGTGATAAGAAATCCTTACACTTGACCAAAATACTTTATATTGCTTTTATTTTTGAATCCATCTTCAATTTTTTTTTCATAGTTCATCTCTAACACATTTGTATTGTATAGTTGGTATATATTCTGTTACTACATTATTATCTTATCTAGAATGTAGTATGTACAGAATATATACCATGGGTAACTGATGATGAGTTGTAGTTCATCTTTGAATTTCTGCTTTATAGTTGTACATTCAATGTACAATTAACAATATACAATAATTGTAGTTCATCTTTATTTTATAGTTGTAGGTATGTAACTTGCCTGCTTGGGTTTTTTTTCAAGTTTTGGGGTTTTTTGTGTGTGTTTTCTAAACATTGTTAATTTTTGGTTTTACTTCTTTTTTAAAATCAACTATAATTAAGTTGTAGTCCTTTTCATGGAAACTTAACTTTATAGTTAGTTGTCCACCTGCTAGTGGCTATAAAATCTTGCCATGTGACCTGAGTGCAGACCAAATCAGACATGACATCATTCTGTGCTGTATGTCCATGGTCCGCATTTTTCACTGTTCAGTCCTTACATTTTTTGAAAATTATTCCAAAAATTTTTTAAATGGTTTAATCCAGATTTGAAATATGGACAAGTCTATTTAAAATGTAATAGATGACAAAATTTACTCAACATTATTACATATGTACTAAACCTCTATTTTTTTTTCTGATAGCTTAATTTTCATTTTGGAATTACTATACGACACTTTTGGAATAATATACGATCACTTTTTTCTGTTTAAAGTTAGGCAATTATTTTACTCCTGCTAAACATATCAGTATTGTAAATGTAAATTTATCTCATTCTGTGCGTTAATTGCTATTAGCAAGTGCTTTGTTAATGAACGTGTTTATGACATCAGTTTATGATGTCAAACTTCTACATTAAGCATGAAGGTTGGACGTCATAAATGACCAGAAACCCTCTGATCACCATTGCGGTAAGCTGTTGTTTTTATTTCTCAGAAGTTTTCCAATCTTTTTATTTCCCAACCTTATTCATTTCATATCTATGTAAACTATGAAAATGTGATGTTTTAAATATTTAATACAATTCATAAAAGTAGTATTTGCTTTTATTTTCATTTCTTTTATTTAGTTACACAAATGGTCCTGTAATATTCGAACCAAGACTCTCCGTCCCTCGTTTACAAAAATATTAAGCAGGATACCAGTTAACAATTATCATGAACAATTTCACATTGACACAAAAATTACCTGTTATAAAACGATACTTCTTGTACTGAAGCACAGTTTTCCTCTCATACATATGTTTATTACCATTTCTATTAGAACTCCTATGGATTAGCACCATCTTAGCCTCAAAATACTATAATACTTTTTTTTGTAAACAAAGTATTCACCAGAAAATATATGGATAAGGTATTTAAAAATATAAAATGCTATTTACTAGTTATTCTGAATAATTAAGTTCTTTTGGTTAATATATCCAAAAATTAAATCATCAAAATAAAGCGCAGCCTGATTAAAATCTTTTATTCTCTAAAAATGTCATTTTATATTCTTCTTTTATTAGAAAAAAAAAAGAACAATATCAACTTGAAAAGATTTTTAACATAAATTTAATTTTCTAAGCAATGAAAACTTGATTCCTTTTTAACAAAATCCAGTGTTATCACAACTATAATTTCCATTTTTATAATTAAATAAATCTTGATTTGCAAAAAGAAATAATTCACTTTCTTATTTTCTAATATTTTGTTTAAATTTTGCCTGCAGAATAAAAAAAAAATCTCTAAAACATTTCAAGAACACATTCTTCCCTTTCTAAGCACAAGAAACTTGATTCATTTTTAGAGACATTATTTTTCACAAAACTTTCTAATTTATAAAACATTTATAATCAAGTCCCTCTTCATGTCGGCACTTCATAAAATATAGTTTATAAGATACTCGAGTAAATTTTATCGATATTTCATCAATTTATTGATCATACTTAGAGAAGCTTATCTGTAATAAACCTCTCTAATCTGTACTAACAAGCACTTTCTACATTGCAAATACATCCCTATTGTTTGTTAGCCCCTCACTCTTTATTGTTTGATTTAATAAAGATGTAAATAAATGTCCAAAAATGATCTTGGTTATATTCCATGAACTTCTAATCCTTGATATAGTATATAAATTAAAGATTGTTGAAAAAAAGATAGTTTAATACTACAGTATAACCTCAGTAAAGTGGCCACACTGTAGAGCAATAACCTCTTTATAACAACACAATCAGTTCTTCCCATACTAACACTAAATTTAACCTCTCTAGAGCATCTCTAGAGCATCACTTCTCTATAACAACCAAACTCAATGCCTCCCAAAGGGTGGTTGATCTGTAGAGATTGTTCTGTTATTCAAAACTGTTAGACTCTTATTTAAATCAGGGCATCTTCACAGTTGTTTTAATTTTTATGAAAATAAGTTCAAAAATGTTCTAAAATGTACAAATTACAAGTAAATCATTTACAGTCTAAGTTAAGTATTCACAGGGGATATTCTTCATCTTGTTAAAATATGTATCAATTTCTCTTCCTTGAAATGAAGTCAATAAAAGAAATATATCAAATAAAAAAGTTTATATCATAAATAAATTGATAATTTCAAGTTTTCAAGAGAAATATTATTTGTGTGTATTTGAGTTTCAAAATACTTGCCACTAGTTGCCCATATGGGCGAGGCCTCCAGAAGAGTATTAGTCATTTTAGATTTTGGAGGATAGTGCAAGATACAGATACAGAAAGATGCCCCAATTCCAGAAGCTTCTCCTGGTTCATTAACCTGCCAAGTGTTTAAGCACTCATACACAGGACCGTGATTTAAAGTAACATCCGAAAGACTGATAAGAATTTTAGCTGGCTACCCCGGGAATCAAACCCACAATGTTGAGATTACAAGTCTCGCCCTCTAACCCAATGCGCTATGATGATTAAGCTGTTACTTCCTTGAGCAAGAAACTTTAAAATTAATGCTTAAAGCTGCATGCCTCCACATAAGCAAACACTATTTCAAGAAAATCTAACTTGAGAAAAATGTATAAAAAAAAGAATGATTCAAGTAATAATTTACATGTTATATGCACTAATTGACAGATTTTGCAGTATTTTAATATCACTATATTTGTACTGCATGACTAACAAAGTAAAGTATATTTTCAAATATTTTTAGTAATTTTTGTAGATTTTAAGTGTCATCTGCAATGTGTAAATTACTTTCTAAGTTTACTTGAAAATAGTTTACTTTTTAACACATTTTTAAAAAATTTCATGAAAATTAGCATGATCCTGGAGGCATGCTGCTTTAATACTTGTTGATTCAAGGAACGGATTCAAGAGTGTGTCTTCAAGTTATAATAGCATCCTACACAATCAAACTGACATAAATTCTGTATACACTATATTACATGCAAAAATCACCATCATAGAAAAGATATAAATGATGTTAACTCAAGGCACAAATACATGTACATTTTCACTATTCATGTTAAAAATCTAAAAATTTATATTTTTTCTAACACAAATAAGGTATAAAAACATGTGATGCAGTAGTCACAATTGGCAGAAAACCAGCAAAACAAAGTAACAAAACTTATATGTGTTTGACTTACATGCAAGGTTTTAGTTTTCATTATTTGTTTATCTATTTTTCACCCAATTTCAACATACTTTTGGTAATATTTCGGCAGTCCGTCCGCCTAACCGGCTTTAAAGGAACTAACCAGTCATTACCAACTTTCCCCGTAAGTGACAAAAAGTGACAAAACAAATGACCATATCATTAGTTATCAAGAATTTTTCCCTCCCCCGAGAATTGAACAAGCAGCTCCTTGATAACAAATGCAGTGCTCTCCCTATTGTACTAAGCAGGCATACTATGCATGTTTTTTCAACACAAGCCATTTTAGTTTCACTTATTGATATGCCACTCAGAAATTACTGCAACTAGTGTGTATTTACCGTATTTAAATTATAATTTTAAACAATCCAAATTCTTGTCTATACACAGGTCATATTTTGACAATAATTTCACTTGGAGAGGGTGTAATATTTGATATAACAGAGTACCACTGGAAAACTATCGAAATTCAATAAAAACAAACTCTATTTTTTCCACTTACCACCAAAAGCTTGTTCTGACACTACACCACTAGGCAGAGGTTCTTTTGCACTTTGAGGGCGGGGTTTACGACCACTGGGAGGTCTCGTTTTACTTAGCTTAGCACTAGCTGGTCTTAGTGGTTTTGGCAAAACAGTTTGGTCAACTGCATCAGGAATTGATGTGTTACTTCCCCTGAAGATGACAAAAAATGTGATAAATTTATGAGATGGGTTTTTTTATTTTGGTTTGGTTTTACATTGCACAAATATCATATAGGTCATATGGCGACTTTCTAGCTTTATTGATGGAGGAAGACCTCGGGTGCCATTTCTTACATTCATGAGAAATAATCACATTAAATAGTGAGAAATATCACTAACAAAATGTTTGTGAAAAGACAAAGAAGGTATCTACCAATCAGGAATAATACATATATGACAAAAAATCTGCCTTAACTGAAAAACATCAAATAATTGGGTAATTAGGTACATGTAATATTTGAAAATCTATTTTTTTTTTTTTTTTTTTTAATACATGTATATTTTAATTTCAAAATGATTAATAAAGCTAAATACCTATGGTTTTATCTTCTCTTCCAAACAATTTTTCTCCCTCACATAACAAGAAAAATATAATTGATAATTAATTAATTGATTTAAATTCATCTTAAAAACATTACATATTAAAGGCAATTTAATTTACTTATTTCCATATACCATATTGTTTCCAATTAACGCCCTTCCTCTTATAAGCGCACCCCCCCCCCCCCCATATTTTGTAGGAAAAAAAATCTTACCTTATAGATTTATAATCTTTAATGAAAGAGCAATCCAAAACATACTAAAATTTTTATTTAAAAAATGACAATTACTGGAAAATCATTTAAAAAAGGATTTATCCTATATTATATACAATGTATTAGTTCATAATAATGAATTTTGATATTTACAATATTTATTTGTATCTTTAATAAACATATTTTAAAGCACATTTGTATAGTTCTAAGTACTACCTTTTAAAAAAATTCCCACTGGGCGTTCAATGGAGACAATACGGTATAATAAGTCAGTATAAAACAACTTACCATGTTCTTACAGATCCTGACTGTATACTGCCTCTGTCTGTACCTAACTCACTAGGCTGACCACTTGAATCAACCTTTCGCCTACTGCGTAGATTTGTTGCTTTAAGATCTCTAGGATCTGCTAATCCTACATTGTAAACACTGGTCTGTACTTTGTCCAAATTTGCTAACGATGTAGATGCTGAATTTAGCCATGTCTGCAAAGAATGGAATTAATACATTAGGTGTTCAGCTACAGTTACTAGCACAGTCAGAAAAAAATCAAAAGTATCATTCCAGTCATTTCAGCTCATGACTGTTACAGACACTGACAGTCATCAATATCAAACTTTATCAAAGAAGATTCAGTTGCCATGATCAGAGAAACAATATCCCTTGTGCCAAAAAAAAGTAACAATGGTAGAAACTTTCATTCAGTAATGCAACTTCTATAAAAAAAGTTAGAATCACAAAAATGTGGCCTTGACTGGGTTTGACAACCTAAAACTTAAAAAGTCAAAATCCTGTCAGATACTCCAGGTAGGTTAAAGTTATAAATTAACAGATGCATATTTTCTAATGATTTCATTTAAAGTTAAAAAATTTAGCATACAGGTGATGATAAAGTTGAAATATGCTAAGGTACATGTAGCAAGAGGCATGTAAATAAAGTATCACTGTGTCTTACAGAAATATAATATAATAATCATTGAATTCCATATAGACTTTTGCAATATGATATTGGTAATAAAAAGGTTTAAAGTTTTTATACTAGTGACTGCTATTCAAAATAACTTTTTCTTAATAATATTAAGGGGGCATCCATATTTTATGTACTTATTAAAAATATTTGTTAATCACATTAAATAATCAAAATGGACATTATTGGTGTGACAATGGCCTAAGCATTTTCCAAATATTGATTCTGTTATCAAGAATCAGTAAATGCCTAAACTATATTTTTAAATGAAATTCAAATGATTCAGCAATAGAAAATAAGATGCTGATTTTCATTGTATGTCACTCACCAGAAGCCCTCTATTTATGAACCTATTCAATGTTCATATGATAATAGAAATTGAAACAACACTCAACAATCAGTTCATGTAAGATAATTGTTGTTTCCTTTTTCAAATTATATTCTAAATTAATTATTCTTCAAATACAAAAACCAACACAAGCTAAGATGAAGATTGAATAAACATTACGCTCTGCTAGTATCACTGTAAATAATTAACTCTGTGTCTGGGGAAGCATCCGTTGCCGTATTATTTCTTTATCAAAATTTTACTTCAATATTATAATAGAGATGTCATTTAGAAAAGCAGTTTATTACTTTTGAATTACCAAATCTGTTGCCTAATATTCCCCGTTTTTACCCCCTCACAGAGGTAAAAATTCCCCAATATAACACCTGCACCCTACTAAAATGTGCTAGATACATCACTAGTTTAATTATTTTTGTCTAGTTATTCATAAGATTTAAATAGCCTAATTGACAATAAACTTATGCTTATATTAATCTTAAAAGATTTAAAAATTAAAATTTAGAAGTAACTGTTTTAACATTACAATCACGGTCTGCCCCTTCCTATGGCCATAGAAAAAATTAGGTTGTAACTTGTCCGCAGTAAAAATGGAATATCTACTCTGACCATACTGTTTCACCTAGTTTCATATTACGTGCTTATCAATACACAGTATTGATTGTCTGTCAATTGAATGCAAAAAGAATACCGCTACATGTCTGTATTATGCCTCTGAGGCTCTGTCTGTATGGTAGACAGACGTTTCACTATTGAGACGGTTCACACCAAGACGGTTCACACCAACACGTTTCACTCCCTTTTTATACCAAAATCATTTTGATACATATGATATACTAAAATAGACCTAAAATATTGAATTGAACTAAAATATTCCTTAAATTAATTAAAATAAATTAAAAAGGGGGATTTCACTTTTTTGTCAATGACTAAAAACTCAGTACTTTTAAGTTCTATTATTTCAGATCTATTGTAAACATGGACTCAATAGGCAATTTTAATTTAAAGCATAACAATCTTGTGGCAACAATTAACCTAGAGTAACATGTTTTTTTGTTGTTAATGTTAAACATGGGATAAAAAATTGTTAAATTATTTAATGCTACTGTAGTAAAATGCTTTTTCAATAAATGTCAAAATTTTAATGGCCATTGAAATCAGAAATATCTTTAAATTAGATTAGAAGCATTGGGACTTTTCAATATTTGTCATGTATTATAAATCATTTTTTTGTGAAGTTTCTGTGTTTAAATTGGCTGTTGTCAAAAAATATTTTAATGGTCCAATAAGCAACTAATTAGTAAACTGTTGAAGTGCAGTGTTTATACAACTGATTTAATAGTGGTGTCAAACTGTTAGTTGATTCTCTCAGTGTTTATACAACTAATTAGGCGATGAGATAACACCACAATTACTTAAATTTGTTTAATGGCTATTGTTTAATAAATTGATGAAGAAAATAATTTTAAAAAATAATTTATTTTATACACATGTTTCGCATTTCATTGTTAAAGACTTACAAAAAATAATCATTATATAGTCAATATCATATATTTAATATATTGATATTTTTTATTTTTTGAATAATATTAATTACTTTACTGGTAGTGATTTCAATATTTAAACTGATACTTATAATACGGGGAAGTCAAAGACCGGGCCCGCGAAGCGGGTCCGGGCTTTGGCTTGCCCGGCTATAGACTACACGTGAATATTTAAAAGAAAATCAAATAAAAAACAATTAAAAAATATATAGAATTCTATACCTATCAATGAAATTTTCAGTGTCAGTCCTAGTTAGGCGCCGCCATTTACAATGTAACTCAATGATAAAAGGCGGTGTATTCCGATTACGGAACAAATCTCAACTTTTCGGATTAATAATAATCGTCGAGTGTTCCGAGTGAAAACGGAAGTGGGTACATATAATACCGAATGACACCTTTAAAACAGAAAAATGAAAGGATTTTTTACCGACTTCCCCGTTCATAGGCTTTGCCTAATTACATATTATTTTGGTATGTAAATGACTAGTACAGTAGTATCATCTCTGCCTATTAGCCATCTTGGGGCGACTAATCATATTAAGTATGTTTTTGCGCGTATAAATAAATTATTATTGAAATATCATACTAACAGCCTCCAAAGCATGTAAGATAAAAAAAAAAGTAATACGGGGAAGTCAAAGACCGGGCCCGCGAAGCGGGTCCGGGCTTTGGCTTGCCCGGCTATAGACTACACGTGTATATTTAAAAGAAAATCAAATAAAAAACAATTAAAAAATATATAGAATTCTATACCTATCAATGAAATTTTCAGTGTCAGTTCTAGTCGAGCGCCGCCATTTACAATGTAACTCAATGATAATAGGCGGGGTATTCCGATAACGGAACAAATCTCAACTTTTCGGATAAATGATAATCGTCGAGTGTTCCGAGTGAAAACGGAAGCGGTGCATGTAATACCGAATGACACCTTTAAAACAGAAAGAATGAAAGGAATTTCTAAAGACTTCCCCGTTCATAGGCTTTGCCTAATTTCATATTATGTCTTTATTGTTCTTTCTATGTTATTCTATTTTTTTTTTAAATTTACTATAAATAGAATTTTATCATGTTGTTACACTTAAAATAAAAGTGATATTTCAGAAATTTGTCTTTCATTTACACCTCTTGTCACTCAACCCATAATTAAATGAGTAATCTTCTAATAATTCGTATTAACTATACCATTGAAATCAACAAAATGAAACATTAAATTGAATTTCCTTTTTACACTGTTTGATATTAATGAAATTAAAATTTGTTAACTTTCCTAGTAAACATCTCTAAAAATTGGGAGTGAAACGTCCATACAATTGACAAAATGGGAGTGAAACGTCTAGGTGTGAACCGTCTTGGGTGTGAAATGTCTTGGGAGTGAAACGTCTGACATTCGTCTGTATATAGGGTTAAGGTACGTAGGTAGGAATAATTAAAATTTGTGAAATACTATTAGTTCTTCACTTGTTAATGTCTCGTTCTCATTAACATGATCGTAAAACAACATATGAATATTACGGGGAAGTCAAAGACCGGGCCCGCGAAGCGGGTCCGGGCTTTGGCTTGCCCGGCTATAGACTACACGTGTATATTTAAAAGAAAATCAAATAAAAAACAATTAAAAAATATATAGAATTCTATACCTATCAATGAAATTTTCAGTGTCAGTTCTAGTCGGGCGGCGCCATTTACAATATAACGCAATGATAATAGGCGGGGTATTCCGATAACGGAACAAATCTCAACTTTTCGGATACATGATAATCGTCGAGTGTTCCGAGTGAAAACGGAAGCGGTGCATATAATATCGAATGACACCTTTTAAAACGGAAAGAATGAAAAGGAATTTTTAACGACTTCCCCGTTCATAGGCTTTGCCTAATTTCATATTATGACCATTTATGTGAACTGATCAACCTAAAAAAAAATAAAAATGACCAGTCAATATACCTTCTTTGCAATTGACTTTATTTGCTCAGTTTGATCCAAATGAGATTCATCTATAAAATTACTGTAATCAAAATCCATCTTGATATATTTGAATAATTAATTTAGAGAAATGCTACTGTCATTTTATTTATTTATTTCAGATGAAATGTGACATGTCCGCCATATTAGTTTACATTCGATACGTAATAAATTATGTATTGCCAATTCTGATTAGTTTGTGAAATAGTTAATCCTGGAAATCCCATAAACTGGCCAATGAAAAACATTTTAAGATCGCGCAGGTAGGATTCTGACGCATGCGCGTTTCTCATGGTTATTGGTAAACAACATGGCGTAAAAGTCATCATGAAATGTGAATAACTGGCTTATATTGATGTTTGTCCCTTTAAAGTATGACAATAGGAATTATTTTTAAAGTTTTCGTGAAAGAACCCCTTAAAGTTATTCGAAGTATAGTTGTATGTACACTGTAAATTTATTCATCTTGATGATTATGTCATGATAAGTCTAAAAACATGAAAAAGCGAAATAATCAAACACTATTTGTAGCATCTTTTATCATGTTTGTATGTAAATCAATAATCTCCAATAGAAAACCTTCTTAGTAAAGAACACTGTTAGTGATTCTTAAATAATAGGGCAAGTAACTATAGGTGTCATAATCACAGTCGGGAAATTTGTGTTGTAAAATTTTCCAATTTGGGAATAAAGTTACTGTATCGTGAAATTTGCCAATTTGGGAAAATATGCTAGCAATTTCAAGGTAATATGAAAAAGGCAAAGCCTCAAAGCGAGCTCGATTTTCTTTTACCGTAAAATAGTTTAAAATAATCGTTGATTTTTATTTTACATTTTCCATTTTAAAATTGTTGTTTGGTATTTTATACACTGCTTTCGTTTATTCTGGTCCCCCCTTTCTATTATAGTTCCCATATAAGTGCCCAGGACACCAGTCTACGCTTCCGTTTTCAATCAGAGTACATCAGCTTTTATCGTTATTTTGTAATTTGAAAAGTTGCGATGTGTCCAATTCAGTACTTCGGGCGAAAGTTTTCAAAACCATCACCTAGCAGGTACTCGCGTTACCTGCGAGCAGGCCCTTCGGGCCAGCTCGTTGAGCTCGCTATAACAATTGTTAAAATAAATCTTACTTAAACTGTTCAGCTTTTTCTGTCATATCAAAAATACAAGGACAGGCTAAAATGTGTACAAATGTAAAACTGATATCAATTAAAAATCCTGTTTTTATTCACAAAATATGAATATATTCCGTAACGCTATTTCGAAACACCAAAATTAAAATTCGGTACTTTTTTCTTTCAAAATGCAGACTTCTAGATTGGGGGTTTTTTTTTTGGATTTGGAAAAAAAATCCATAATTTGAATGGGGAATGGGGCCCATATTCGGACCCATGGGATAGGGGGGAAAAGCCTGACAGTTGCTTAAAACTAGATTTATCCTATAGTTTTAACTAGAAACCCATCTAGGCAAATTGGACTAGAAACCCATCCTGTTAAAGTATATTGGTTTGGGACCACCAAAACCAGACAACCACCAAACCCGGATGGCCCAAAAAATGCCTGAATTATCTACTTTCTTTGTTCAGTGGTTATCGATACATCAGTCACTTTATTATCAACAATAAGTGCATGTTTCTTCTACAATTAAGTAATTTATTTTATTTCAACCCTTGTATATGGTAATATTTTAATGTCTGTTTCAAAAACGTTGACAATTTGGACATCAAGAGTGCAATAGTTGACCTCTTATACTAGCTATTATCATTTGCAGAGTAAACAATAGAATATCCAAAGCTTCAGTATTTGCTGCTGAATGTTAAAAATAAAAATTAAACACCCAAGCTTTTATTGAATTAAATCAACGTCATGTACTGGTACATATCTGTACGGACACATGGTACTGTAGTGCGGACAATTCAGGTAATTTTGATACCCTCATTGATGGGCCTCAGATGTGAGTGTCAACATAATTAGCAGTAATAAAACTAGTTTGTAAGTTATGAGAAGAACCTAGCTGTACTGTGTCAAATTTTCAGATCTCCAGCTTTAAAGTTATGAAATATGTATTGTATCGATGGAAAAATGTTCAAAAAATGTCCGGTTGATGGTTTCCTAATTGACAAATAAATGTCATTGTGTAGTATGAATTTATCTGTTTCAAATGCTTTCTTTTCAATTGTTAAAGGAAGTGAAATAGAAAACAGAGATGACTTGATACCACTAGGTATGTCAGAACAGGAAATAGACACACCTACAAGTGGGCGGGGATTGGACCTTGGCCAGTCTCCTGCAACACCAATCAGTATAGACACACCCACTTTAATGAAAAGGGAGGGGAATGAAAGTTTCAGACCAGAAAGTAGTGGAGAGTTGGAAGTAGATGATCATGTTTTTGATGTTCAGCTTTCAGAGGTAAAGTTTATCATTTCAATCTAGAAATCTTCATAAAGTTAAAATTTTAGATAATTAAGAGGTATAATATTTCTAAATTTAAGAGAAATACTTTTATTGGAGATATATTTTTTAATTTTATCTTGGATGCCTATAGGTACAACATGTATCTTTGTATTTTGTAAGTTTTATATCTTCTAGTCTGACTGAGGTTATATGCAAATAGAATTTACCACTTATACATGTATACTAGGATTTAATTTGTGGGTTATCAAGATGAACACACCTTTTGATAAAATGATTCTTTTTGCATAAATTTCATCATTATTGAATGCCTTATTGCTTTTAAACTTTTGTTTAAAAAAAGTTAAAAATATGTTGTATTTCCTGATCATAAATTTGTTTTGATATTGTGTTATAAATCTGGTTGTATAAACCACAGGTGATTGAAAGGAAATCTACAGTCAGCTCAGATTCTAGAGTAAGATGATCAAGCTAAATGTTATATGGAAATTACTGTTTCATTATTTGGAAATTACTTTTTCATTATATGGAAATTACTTTTTCATTATATGGAAATTACTTTTTCATCATATGGAAATTACTGTTTCATTATATGGAAATTACTTTTTCAATTTAAGGAAATTACTGTTTCATTATAATTATGGAAATTACTTTTTCATTATATGGAAATTACCTTTTCATTATATGGAAATTACCTTTTCATTATATGGAAATTACTCTTTTTTTTCAATTTAAGGAAACTTACTTTTTTGATTATAATGAAAATTACTTTTTTGATTATAATGAAAATTACTTTTTTGATTATAATGAAAATAACTTTAAAGGCACATTAAGCCAAAAAACCCTTTATTTTTTATTTCTCAAAATTTTTTAATCTTAATGGCCTGTTACTGTTTTCATTGACCAAAAAGCTGAGCCACCCTTGCTTTTCTTGCATTTTGGTGTGAAAAATACATTGTATTAGATATGAGTTATGATGATTTAGTATTTTGTATAGAACTCAAAATGCCACATTGTTTACTTTTTACCACTGTTATGACAAAGTATGTCACTTCTAGCTCTTCTCTATCCAGGTGATAAGCATGTACATGTAGCATGTTTTAAATCAATTATTAATACATTATTAAGCCCTATAGTCACTAAAAGAAGTTGTTTTCAGGAAAATGAAATTACTTCACGATATTGTATTGATAAAATGCTTTGAACAGTCCTGAACCACATACAGTATATGTACATACAATTCAGGGCTCTTGTTAGCATTTTGAGACTGGGGCCAGGGTCCATGAAGGGGGGGAATTTTGCATGATTTTCAAATATTTTTCATTCAAGGGGGAATTTTTTTTTCAGTAAGACTTGAAATTATGCGACATTTTGGAATGCTAAAAACTGTCCAGAGCGTCATATTTATATATACATACTAATTTCCGATTGCCGTCCGCGGAATACGTTCTAATTTCCGGTTGCCGTTTGCGGAATATATATTCGCCGATCGGCATTTTCTATGCCAGTTAAATATTAATTTCAAGGGGGATTTTTTTTGGTTTTAGGGAAAAAAAACCACACTTTTTGGGTGGGGGAATGGGGCCGATATTCGGCCCCAAATTTTACCAAACGAGAGCCCTGCAATTACATTTTTTTTCTTAAAGAATTTCAGATTAAAGAATATGCAATACATTAAAAATTGTACAGCACTGCAATATTTATTTTTACAACTTGCCATTTGCATCACATTAAGAATTCTTCTCATGCAAGAACTGCAAAACTTACTGAATCAAAACTTACATGCATTCAGTAAGTAAAGGGGAAATTGAGTCACTTGCGTGGATGTAAAAAGTAATTTCCAAATATAAATGTAGATGCTATGTTATATCATCTTGTGTTATGGTTTTTCAAAGATTGCTGAATTTGCGCCTTTCAAAGTACTGTAGAACTGGGTTTTTTCGTATTATATTAATTTTCGCTAATATTGGCTGCCATAGATATATTTGTAAATCAATCAATTGAAAAAATTATAATTATTGTGAATAAATATCATATGTAAACCCAATTTAGTGAATATCTTTAATTCAACAAAATTTTTGATTTTGAATGTGATGCTTTTTAGAATGAAGAAGAAATTTGCAATTTGGACAAAAATAAAACACAAAATTTTGACAACATGAATTTACAGCGTTCTACAGTATTTGATTGTTTTCATGTATAGATGTTGGGCTAGGATAACTCATTTTTGTATTTGATGTTATATGCTTTTGAAAAATTGTAACTGACATCATTTGTATTGCTTTTGAATTGTAAGCGTTCAGTTATGTCTTTTTACAGCTAACCCTTTCTAAGGTGAGGGCAAGAGTTTGAGTGGGGACACTCTTTTTCACTCACATTATATCAAAATTGTTATAGTTTGTCAATGCAAAATGTACACACTCTCCTTGTCACTTCTTGATTCTATATCCACATATTTTTTTTCACATCTTATTCCAATATCAGAAATATATATTCAAAAAGACAATTGTATAGTTTTTGTCAACCTGTTATGTGACAATTACCTGTTCAAATGTGATTTTAATATTAAGTTGCCAAGTATTTTTTATGAACACTGAAACTGTGTATTTCATCATCTGCTGGTTAAATGTGATTTCTATAGAGAAATTAACAATTACCACAATGAAAGGTTAAATTTGACACTTTTAAAAGGACTCACCGCTGAGGTTTTTTGACAGGACATGGACAGGAAATAATTTCTCAAGATTAATGTTTGATTTGTTGTAGGTCTAGGCTTGTGTGCAAAACTTCAGATTACTTTCTCACACCAAAAATTTGGCTAAAAATAGCACAAAAATGTGATTTCTCAATTAATTTCTATTTACATTTCTTAATTATCTTTTGCATCTTTCTCAGTTGATCTATGTAACAAATTCAAATTTTATGTTTTTAGGTTTTTTGACCTTAGTGTAGTTCCTTTAAAATAAGGGGTCTTTATTAGTCAAAATATTTTGACATGCCAAAGCTAGATTCTGATATATTTTTGTTTTTGTTCACAAATCTCAGACTCTAGCTTTAGAGGGGAGATTTTTGCCCTTAGCACAATATCTCAACACATAGTACAATTAGTTGGACTCAGGGTCTTTTCTAATGGGAATCGCCAATAGAAATTCATAAATTGAACAATGCAACTGTTGGGTAGAATTTATAAATATAAATGATTGAATATAATCGGTCTGTTTTATTTTGAAGAATATTTGTTTATTAAGAGAATGGACTATTTTATTGTAACACAATTATTGCTTGCAATTATATTGCAAAATTAGTTAAAGATGTCAAAGGTCTACATGAAAAAAAAAACAACATGATATATATTTATTATTTCATTATGCTTTTTTATGATCATAATATATTTCTATTTAGCAAAGTCTGTTTCATATTTACATGTAATTTAATTTTTATAAATATATATTTTCTATTGGGATGTTTTTTTATTACATGATTATTTATTATTATTCTAAATGTATTGTCAATGAAATAAACAATTTTCTAAATCTTTGAAGATTGTTTAGCTAAGGTAAACTGAGTATAGGATTCCAGCTGAAATGATATTTCAAATTTTTCATCATAAATGCAGAGCTTTTTCTCTTTGCTTAGATTTTGCTGTCATTTGACTTGTTGATATTTACAAGTATTTACCACCTATCATTAATTATACCAACCTTGTGTATGATGTCATTTCAAGGTATCATGATAAACAGTTCTTCACTTAGCATACACTAAAATTGGTGGTGACATAAAAAAGTACAGCCATTTTCTCTGTCAATCAAAGCGAAACTGCTGCATGCCATACCCTAATAATGACATCATACATCATGTGATATGGTTGCCGTGAATGAAAATCACAATGTTTTTTTTAAACATTTAGAGGCACATCATAAGGCACATACACTGATAAGTGTTTTACAACTGAAGTGGTTTCTTTTTTTTTAGATAACAGAAGATCCAAATCAAGTGAATGTTCACCAGTTTTATCCGGAACTTGAGCACCAGTTCATGAAAGATCATCATACACAGGACAATGGTCAGAAGGTTGGTAACTTGGTATTGGTTTTTAGCTCTCTCTTTTTTTCTTTTTTTTTTAAATAGAGGTATTGTTAGAACCATAACGGTGTTGCCGTTTTTTAGACAAAGTAAAAAGGTCGAGTGTTGCCCCTGCCTGGCGGCTGGCTGTGGCTCTTGTTATTTAACTAAATAAAGAAGGAAAAACAAAACAGTGGTTTGTCTTTCACAATATACTTCAGTTTTCAAAAATTTTGAACTCTTTCTATTGCTATAAATATAGTTCAGTTTTAACATGGAACAGTATATTAGCTCTTTTGTAAAATTTGATAAATCTTCTGTTCCTTTGAAGGAAAACAATAAAGAAAATAGTGATATGAAAATTAAGTCTCAGTTTATTAAATGTTTTTTCAGGATGAGAAATCAGGTAAAGACACGATTGAGGAGCCAGACTCAAGGAGTAGTCACATGGCCCTGGTTCCCAGCACCGTGTCAGGTACGCCATGGTCAAAGGAAGACGAATATAACTCCTCCGATCCACAGGTAATATGAGCAATTAATATTTCGTCACTTCAGTGCAGTAACAGGGTAACATCTTATAAAATTTAATAGGAGTTTATCTGTTTCTGCACTAAAGGGACGATATATGATATCTCCTGTAGACTTTTTGTAGATTATTTAAAGCAGCATGCCTCGAAATTCATGTTAATTTTCATAAAAATTTTGAAAAAGTATTATAAAAGTTTAAAATTCTGTGAATTGAACAAAGAAAGTAATTTACACATTGCAAGAGGTACTTACAACCCATGTTAATAACCAAAAAGAAGTTTAAATATGTAAAAGTAGCCCTATAACTGCATTAGTCACGAAGTAGAAATATGGTGATAAATACTGCAATGTCAGTCTTTTAACTGCACTTTACATGTAAGTTATTACTGTGCATCTTTTTACTGTTCTCAATATCTTAGTACAAATGTACATTTTTCTCAATTTTTATTTTCTGGAAATATTTTGTCTCATCTAGAGGCATGCATCTTTAAAAAAAAATTTCAATGGTAGATTGTCACAAAAAACAAACAGTCAAACATGCTCCTTCAAATTTGTCAAAAACAGAGTTTGACTAGTTTAAAATAGTCTCACTTAAACTTATTGAATCATGGAAATGGTAATCTGCTTTGGATAAATAAAAAGATCTTCGGATAGAAATATATAACAAACAGCATGATCGTAATGAGTGAGACCAAAAATAGTACTGGAGTACCACACTACATTGTAAATATGGTATTCTGGTATATACTGGACAAGGCGCTTGAATGATTAAATGCTAAAATCTCGCCTTTTCACTCGTTGAAATGCACTCTTAAGACATCTAAATTTATCAGTTCACACTGCAGTTATATACGATAATAAATGATAGAGTGTAAGAACAGTATTGATGAAATAAGCGATATTTTTCTACTCTGTGATCATGATTTCTGCAAGCGTCGAGAGGTACTACTCCAACACTGTAGTGAGTTAAATCCGATCCTAATGAGTTAAATCAGATCGTTATCATATTGGATGAAGCACTTTGTCTTGCTAGCCTATGCAATTCATTGTGTGACATGTCTTGAGATTATAAGCACCTTCTACCTTTTTGTAAAGTCAAATATCTCAATCATTACTTGAGATATTCAATTGAAACTTACAATACTTATTTATAGTAACAAGGTACATCAGATTGACAAGTTGGATAACTCTGCCTACAATATTGACAGAATTATGCCCCTTTTCAACTTAGAAATTTTGGTTAAAGTTTTTTGTAAAGTCAAATATCACAATAATTACTTGAGATATTCAATTGAAACTTACAATACTTATTTATAGTGACAAGGTATATCAGATTGACAAGTTAGATAACTCTGCCTACAATATTGACAGAATTATGCCCCTTTTTAACTGAGAAATTTTGGTTAAAGTTTTTTGTAAAGTCAAATATCTCAATTATTGCTTGAGATATTCAATTGAAACTTACAATACTTATTTATAGTAACAAGGTACATCAGATTGACAAGTTGGATAACTCTGCCTACAATATTGACAGAATTATGCCCCTTTGGAACTTAGAAATTTTGGTTAAAGTTTTTTTGTAAAGTCAAATATCTCAATTATTGCATGAGATATTCAATTGAAGTTTAAAATACTTTTTTATAGTAACAATGTACATCAGTTTGCAAAATTGCATATCTCTGCCTGCAAAATTTGAAGAATTATATGCCCCTTTGAAACTTAGAAATTTTGGTTAAAGGTTAAAGGTCTTCAAAGATATTTACTTGAAACTTTACACATGCACTTAGGGTCATAATTGGAGGGTCGTAATTGTATGTCACTGACCAAGTTCCATAACTCTATCTTGCATTAAGGCTGATTCATATCCCCTTTTCTACTTAGTCTCTTGGTTAATGTTTACATGCAAGTTTTACATATCTCAATAACTATTAAGATATTTATTTAAAACTTCACATATGCATTTAGGGTCATAATTGTAGGTCACTGACAAAGATCCATAATTCTATCTTGCATTTAGGCTGATTTTTCTCCCCTTTTTCAACTTAGAAATTCATGGTAAAGTTTTGCTTGTAAGCTGTTATCTCAATTACTACTGAAGGGTTTGTGCCTTTTTTGGGACAATTTTATGCATTCAAAATAATAAAGCAGTGATTTACTTGATAAAACATCTTAATTAGAAGCCTTCGTACCTTTTCTGTCAAATTTATGTATTCATAGGTAATTAGTATTATTATACTCAATAAAACAACCTTGTGACATTACCTTCCGAAAAGTCAAGCCAATACTGTATAATTAGACTCTCTCTAAGGCCTATAACATGAATTTATTAAAAAAAATAATCTTTTGTGATATTAAAAAATTTAACATTATCAAGGCTCTTTTGCTATCAAGCACTTAGAATAGTCGAGCGTGCTGTCCTACCGACAGCTCTTGTTATAGAAAATTAATGGATGACAATCATTCTAAAACCCCAGTCAAAGTCGAGCCAGTGTTATATCATAGGTCAATATAGAACTATCAGTAGTGATACACATGTATTTGGATGTCACTGCTGTTTTTTTAAATGAATCAAATAAATAAAGTTAAGTGTTTGATCTCTAATGAGTACAATAGGTTTACAAAACCTAGTGATGAAGACATCATAACCACCCTTATTTATTTCATTATCCTGGCATTCGTTTTTTGTTGCATGTTCATTTTTAAATATTTGCATGTTAATGACTGTGTAAAATTATATATTCCCATGTTAATGTGTAAAATTATATATTTGCATGTTAATGTGTAAAATTATATATTTGCATGTTAATGCGTAAAATTATATATTTGCATGTTAATGTGTAAAATTATATCGTAAAATTATATATTTGCATGTTAATGTGTAAAATTATATATTTGCATGTTAATGTGTAAAATTAAATATTTGCATGTTAATCTCATCTGTTTCTCTCTCACTATTTTAGAATTTATTCTGTCAAAACATGGGGGTTTTAAGGGGGTTATTTTTGTAGTTTTAGGGAGCTGAAATTAACTAAAATTTTGAATGTATGGAAAATATGATAGATCCATTGAAAAGCACCAGACTGTAATAATATTAAACTAAAAAAGATAGCTGTTCTTAAAAACTGATCAAATGTGATATATTTAAATGAATGTTGATTTTATCGAGTTGAAAAATAGGAATTTTGATAATGTAAATATATAAATTACTTGTATGATAATTGCAGCTCCCTATAATAAATTGTCCCATGTATATACATGTATCATACCTGTGTTAGACAAACCTAGATATGAGCCCCGTCACGACAAAACCAATATAGTGGGTTTGCGACCAGCATGGATTCAGACCAGCCTGCGCATCCGCGCAGTCTGATCAGGATCCATGCTGTTCGCTTACCAACTCTTATAAGTGGAGAAACTGACAGCGAACAGCATGGATCCTGATCAGACTGCGCGGATGCGCAGGCTGGTCTGGATCCATGCTGGTCGCAAACGCACTTTGTTGGTTTTGTCGTGACGCGGCTCAATTATAACTTTACTAGTGATATTATAGTTCCTTTACTACATGGAACGTTGGAGACTTAGTGTAGAGCAGGAAAGTAGACAGAGTAGGGTATGTGCTTATCTCCCCTTTCCAAAATACTCTTCATCACAAAAAATTGGAGGTAATTTCACAGCTGTATTAATCTGACAGAAAATTATTGCAAATATATGGGGTTGATCTTTAATATTTATTAATACTGAAATTAAATTATTTTTATTTTACATTGAAAGAATATTTAGGCACACATGCCAGTTTTTTGTATATCTGTATTATGACAGAGTTGTGGCCCCTTTTGATTTAATGATGACTTTTTATGGCTGAATTTGTGCAATGAGTCTGTCCTGCCTTGATTTCAAAATTATAGGGCATTCACTTCAGTATCAGAATCTTAAAATTAATTAAGTTACCATTAGTATAGTTCCTAGTCAGACTGCATGGATATGCTGAGTTATATGAGATAAAAGGGCTCTCATTAGCATTTTGAGACTGGGGCCAGGGTCCATGCAAGGGAAGGGGGGTGGGATTTTGCATGATTTTTAACTATTTTTCTTGTAAGGGGGAATTTCAACAGAAAAAAAATTAATTCATTAAAAACCACTGAAAACAAGATTCAGTTTACAAATTTATCAACAATAAGCTGTTGTCATGAAATATTTCAGTTATTTCTAATGAAATTGAATACATCTTTGATACTTTGTATAAAAAAATATTATTTTTCAGGGAGATTTTTTTTTTTTTTGGTTTTAGGGTGGAAAAACACACTTTTTTACAGGGTGAATGGGGCCCATATTTGGCCCCAAATTTTACCAAACAAGAGCCCTAATATGAGATATGTGTAGCTGTGAAATAACCTTCATAAGCTATATGCCTTCAGCTGAAAAAGTTCACTAACATCTTCTGTGATACTCTAGTATCAATAATGTTATTACATGTATTTTATATATGTAGTTTATAGTTAAAATGAATACCTGATTTCACGGGAGATTTATGCAAATTATACGTTTATCAAGTTACTAATAACTTCTCCCTTAACCCTTTAATACAGTAGTTAATCCTTTCAGATATTTGTGTTTAATTCACTTCAGACACACAAAAAATACACAGTAATTAAACATTTCGGTCGGAAAGTAGCAAGCTAACTTCAAGAACATCAGAGACAGGTCTGAAAGTGATAATCGACCCTGAAATGAATAATGCTCAAGGGCCAATATTCATTTTGCAGGCCAATTATCACTTTCTTGCCCTACTCTGCCATATATTAACCTCTTATTACATATATGACAAAAAAAAAATTCTTTACTAGGAAAACTTGGACTAAATTACAATATACTGTTGTTGTTTTTTTTTCATTTGCATTTATATCTTAATTAACATTGGTAATCACTATAACAACCTTTAAATTATCTCTGGCTAATTCTGCATTTACCTTTAAGTCTAAAATAACTTACCTGCTCATGCTATTTTTGACCTTTCTTCAGAAAACCCTTCCTGCAAACATTATCCATGACCTTTGACCAAAGATATTCCATTCTGCACATCTAATTATCTTTTGATATAAAGGCCTAAATGATCCGGGAAGCTGATTCTATCCTTTACCTTTGTGCTTAAGAGTTTTTACCTTAAAAGCCTAAAAAGTTATCTTATTTCAGTCTGTCCTTGACCTTTAGCCTGTTGTATATGTCTTTGACCTTTAAACTAGAAAAATTACAGCTGCATACCTATTGTTGACCTTTCAATTTTAACTTGACAAAATCTCTCTTGCTAACCAGACCTCTTCACTTTGATTGTGTACTACTTGACATTCACCTTTGTTTCAGAATGTTATAATTTCTAAAAATAAATAATAAAAATTGAGGTAAAAGATCCATTCATCTTGTACAGACACACTAAAGCTGTTCTGTGACCATCATGTGTCAGTTATTTGAAAGTAAACATTTTGATTGAATTATACATTATAACTTTGTCAATTGTTGCTTACGCTTGCTTAGAACCTTTCAAGGCTTAAGAAACAATGTGTGTATGACAGAGGTCATGGTCATTTCTTGACCTGTCATTTAAAGTACTGTTGTCTTGAAATCAAAATATGAACATTATGCTCACAACTACTGCAGTTTATAACTTATGTATATATCACTGGTCACAAATATCCACATGCAATTTTTTCACATTAATGAATTAAATCCTCACTTTTAACTTATTTTTAGCTAAATATTCAGCTCATTTAAGCTCAAAGTTCAACTTATTTGAGCTGAGAATTTTTTTCATATTTGAACTTTTAGTTCAGCTTATATTTTGAGCTTAATGTTAATTTTATTTGAGCTCATGGTTCAGCTAAATTGAGGTCAAAATTCAGCTTTTTTGAGCTGAGAGATATTACGATGTAAAAAGAATTTGTGTTCCAGATTAAAGTGAATTTGTAATTGAAAATTTTAATTAAGTTTGGATGACAGTTTAGCAAATTCATTGCGAGACTCTTGTGTTATTTTATTAATTAAAAAAAATTAGCCAAAAAATAGCCTTTATGTTGATAAATGTTGATAAAAAGTTAGCTGATTTTTTATTACATGTACAGACAGTGCAATTGTTTGTTTTCCTGAGGTAGAAATTAAATTTTCTATGACAACTTGTGTTGTTTGCAATTTAAAGGGACTCCACTGAGCTTTTTTTGACATGATGGTTTTGGAAATAGACCAATAGCTTGTGTGAGAATTTTCAGATCTTTCATTCACTCTTTTTTTCAAGAATAACTTTTTTCATGACATAAAATTCAAATCTGGCTAATAATAGCACATTAACATGATTTTCAATTAAATCTTGAGTATATTTCTTATTTATATTTTGCATATCTTTCTGTTTCAAGTGCCCCTTTTGATGTATGTAAATAAAATATGATTTTATGCTTTTGCACCTCAGTGGAGTTCCTTTAAATAAAAATGTTAGTTATAGTTTTGTTTTACATAATGCAGGAAAGATGTAATTCTTTATGTCATTTTTTTTCATAAGAAAACTCAGGTGACTTCAGTAAGTGGTGGGGAAGGTGTATTTAGTACAGCTGTGGATGAGAAGACCCTAGAAGAGGCGAAACTGCGTCAGAATCAGAGTATCTTCCACACAGAGAAATGGGGGATGGAAAAACCGCCACAACCTAGCATGCAAGAAATCATGGACGAAACAGCTGTTAAACAGTAAGTGTTATTCAACTTATAGTGCTGAAAGTACTTTATGTTCAACCCTTAAAGCAGCACGCCTCCATATTCATGCTAATTTTCATGAAAAATTTTCACAATGTTGTTAAAAAGTAAAATATTGTATAGTGAACAGAGAAAGAAATTTACACATATCAAATGGCACTTACAATTGAAGTTAATTATCATAAAGAGGTCAAAAATTGCAAAAAGTAGTCGTTACTGCATTAACCCTTACTCTGCTGGAAGCGGAAATGATAAGCCTTTGCCACCAGTATAGAGCCAGGCCAGCCTGCACATCGGTGCAGTCTGACCAGGCTCTATACTGTTGGCTGATAAACTTTAAATTTAGATATTGATATTCCCAAAATTGATAATGAACATGTCCAAAAATGGAAGCTGGAAAGCTCATTTAAGAAATTCAGCATGGTAAAGGTTAATCATGCAGTTGAAGGGTTAAAAACACGGAACAAGTATCATGTAAATAAAGAGATGAACTGCATAAATATTTATTATTTACAGCTTCAATAAAGCGATACAGATGAAGGAGGAAGGAAATTATCAAGGAGTCATTCTTTTCATCAATAAGGCAATGGGAATTCGTAAAGATGATGTGCGTTTTTTCGTGGAACGGGCGGAGGCGTATCTGAGACTGTGCGATTTTCAGTCAGCGATACTGAACTATAAGAAAGCGTGTTTGCTAGACCCGTCAAATGAACAGTTCTATAATAGACTGTCATTTCTCTATTACTTTCAAGGACAGTCTCTGTTTGATCAAAGATTATACCCGGAAGCTCTCGAGGCATTTTCACGTGCGGCAGAGATGAGACCGGACAATATCGGATATCATATCAGAAGGTACGTAAAAATTTGAAATATCATCAAAATAATAAGGATGTTTACTGTTTTTGTGTTGTCTACCACTAGATAATATACATGTTATATACAATAACAAGCAGTAATTGATGTTATCACATACCAGTGCCAATTTTGTGGCTAAATAAAGATGGTATTGCAAGGCCGTGCATATATTTTGATGTGACATCATTTTGAGTTATACGAACATAGTGTTAAGACGCACTCTATTTTAGCATTACTCTATGGGCACGTCAATGAAAAGTGATCCTTTTGCACTTCAAACAGTCTTGAGTTTGGGTATGTGATAAATGTAATACAGTGTAACTTCCGAATTCCAGAACTTCTGAAATCCGGAAACTTCTAAAAAACGAACAATTTTTTCGGTCCCGATTTTTCCCTTCTATTTTCTATTAATATAATACTTCTGAATTCCAGAACTTCTAAATTCTGAATTCCGAATGATATTTTCGACAAATTAGAGTCAAATCAATGCAATTTTACCTCCAAAAACCGGAAATATCCAAAGGTGTGAAATACATTGTAAACCCTGCAGGAAGATTTAATCTCCCTATCGATTGTTTACTAATTAGCGGTGATCGTGTAATTTGACACGCGTTAAAATCACAAACTGAAATGGTATGTTTGAAGTGATGCGGTTAGTCAAAGTAATTTACGGCGGTCAGTTAATTTGAAGTGTTTATTAGCGGATTAAATGACAATTAATGGGACAATGTATGCATCAAACGTCTTTAGGGATTTTATTGCATTTGATGTAATAATTAATTAACTAGCATCGGACGATATGTTAGTTTATGCAATTAACAACATTTTTACAAACTGATATGATATTGCAGTAATGGCCACATCGTCCTTGACATTTAGTGATATTAAGTGGATTAGTCTCGTCCACATTATCATAAACCTCTGAATTCCGGAAACCTCTGAAATCCGAACTTTTTGACAAGTCCCATGGGTGTTCGGTTTTCGGAAGTTACACTGTATATTATTTTGAGTTATGCAAACATAGTGTTAAGACACACTCAATTTTTGCATTACTCTATAAGCACGTCAATGAAAAATGATTCTTTTGCACTTTAAACAGTCTTGAATTTGGGTTTGTGATAAATATTATATTCATGTAGGTTCATAACTGATAATAAACACTTTAATATTATTCTTGTCATACATGTAGTTGGCCTCATATAAATATATATATACTTTTAAGCATAAATTGTAGACATGAGCCAACAGCCAAAATGAAGTATGCATATAATATATAATGGCATGATATAATAATTTAGAGATAAAAATCTTTTATGACAAGATTCCAAGTTAAATATAACCATCTATTATTTGTAATCAATACTATTGACAATGTAATTTTTAATCTTTAAAATAATGGTAAAATTTTTTTATTTTTTTTAATACCGATACATGCATTATATTTTACATGGAATTTATGATTTTTGTTAAATTTAATTAAAGTTTTAAGTAATCTGAAACATGGTGTTTAACAATTATGATTAAGGAAAAAAAAACATCATTCTAAACTTTTAAGATATAACACATGAGCTGTAAGACTTGTGACTTTATTTTATCTTTCTTCATGTTGATATGGATAAAAGTGTTATTTTAATATTAGCCGTGTCATGACAAAACCAACATAATGGGTTTGCGACCAGCATGGATCCAGATCAGCCTGTGCATCCGCACAGTCTGATCAGGATCCATGCTGTTTGCTTACTAACCATATAACAAGACAAGAAACTGATAGCAAACAGCATGGATCCTGATCAGACTGTGCGGATGCGCAGGCTGGTCTGGATCCATGCTGGTCGCAAATCCATTATGTTGGTTTTGTCATGACTCGGCTAATATGTTAAATTATGTGATACAGACAGAGGAATAAAGTATTTGGAATGAATTAAAAAAAGTGCTTAAAAGTTATATAACTGTAGATTAAGTATGATATTTAATGGAATGAGATGAAAAATATTGTGCAAAATAGAAAAAAAAAAAAGATACAAGTTAATTTAAACAGGACATTTTATATTTATACCTTTTAAATTACATTTCTAAGGCAGTGAAAGTGTTATATTTTTTTATAATAATATTTAAGTGCCAAAAATGTCTTTGCAAAATAACAAAGATAAATCTGAGAAAAAAATGACACAAAATTTGGAGATAAAGGCAAGAGGGTATTCCAGCAATAGGTTAGTTGATATATGAACTGTTAACTCTGCTGTATATCATAAAATAAATGAGACGCGCCATGACAAAACCAGCATAATGGGTTTGCGACCAGCATGGATCCAGACCAGCCTGGGCATTCGCGCAGTCTGATCAGGATCCATGCTGTTCGCTTACCAACCCTATTACAAGTAGAGAAACTGATAGGGAACAGCATGAATCCAATTCAGACTGCGCGAATGGGCAGGCTGGTCTGGATCCATGCTGGTCACAAAGGCACTATGTTTTGTCATGACATGGCTCAAATCTTCTTTCTGTTTTGTAACTAAACATGCATGCCATTACAATCCGAGTCATATGTTCTGCTTTCTAAGGGAGATTATTATCCAAATTATGTACTATTTTATTTGAAATTATTACTATGGGAAGAATATAAAGCTATGACTGGCATAAAATTCTAAATAAATGTCAAAAACTGTATTTTCACATTGTTTTCAAATTTACAAATTTATTTTAGGTCAATTGTGTTGGAAGCTATAAGCTTATTAAAACACTCTAATGTGTTCCTGGAACCAACCAGTCCTGAGCAATGAATGTAAAGTTTCTTGTTCAAGGAAACAACAGATTGCCACGGATTGCCCCTGACAGGGTTTGAACCCACATGGTCAGCAATCCTTAGATTACTAGTCCAGTGTCTGCTTTAACCACTCGGCCACACCCCCATCTAATTGTTTTCATGTCTTTTTATTAAAAACATTATAAAATCAGAGTCTTTGTCCATTAACACATGGATAATGAAATTGAGATAATAGAAAATGTTTGCAAACAAAATCAATAAATTGTTATAAGAAGGCTTTATGGATGCCATATATCTTATTCTAAGCCATTGAAAACAAACAGCACAAAAATTTGGTTTATTTTCAATATCATATTTTAAGATGTGGTTTATTTTCACTATCATATATTAAAATGTGGTTTATTTTCACTATCATATATTAAGATGTGGTTTATTTTCACTATCATATATTAAAATGTGGTTTATTGTCACTATCATATATTAAAATGTGGTTTATTGTCACTATCATATATTAAAATGTTGTTTATTGTCACTATCATATATTAAAATGTGGTTTATTTTCACTATCATATATTAAGATGTGGTTTATTTTCACTATCATATATTAAAATGTGGTTTATTGTCACTATCATATATTAAAATGTGGTTTATTGTCACTATCATATATTAAAATGTGGTTTATTGTCACTATCATATATTAAAATGTGGTTTATTGTCACTATCATATATTAAGATGTGGTTTATTTTCACTATCATATATTAAGATGTGGTTTATTTCCAATATTGTATATCAAAACATGGTATATTTTCAGTATAACATGTTTGGCAGCGTTACAGAGACATGGAGAATGTTTGGCATTGGTTAACAAACGTCTTGAGACGGACAAAGATAATGCTGACCTCTATGTTATGCGGGCCAGACTTCATGAAATGTTTAGAAATGTAAGTTGTACAGAAACAGTATGAGAAAATAAATCTTTAGATTATATGTTATTTTGGTTTTGGACTGATATATGTGGATATATTACCTGCTAAGATTTTATATCACCCGAGCCGTTAGGCGAGGGTGATATTTTATCTTGGCAGGTAATATGTCCACATATATCACTCCAAAACCAAAATGATAATTTTATTACCCTTCCCCTGCCGAGTTTAAACAATTTTTTAAAAAATCATTGCTGTTTCAAATGAAACATCGAAATAAGATTCCCTTTAGGGTACCTCTTCATCACAACATGACGTCACATAAATACATGACGTATTTTTCCCGTACCTAACGAATGTAAACAAGAGAAAAGGAGTAGTCTATTGAAAGCACTTTTTTGTAATTAATATCAAGCTTTCACAAGGTCATATTTGTTTTCAATACTGATGGGAATTTGTATCATTACTCTACTTTGGTAAATATTTATCATTTGACAGTTAAAAAGTGCTTGTAAATCGGAATTTACACCGCGTAAAATCGAACCGTAAGCGCATCACCTCAGCGCATGTCATTTACAATGTTGGGTACCCAACGGGGACATTTAATTTGTATATTACCCGTCTGACTCGGTTATATCAATTTTTTCGGGTGATCAATATCCAATCAAAAAGGCGGACAAAATCTGGAAGGGTAATAAATTGCTTCTATAATGTCACAGTCTCATCGCAAAAGATACTGCAAATATGATGTTAAATTCTTAATGCAGCTGATACAACTCTAATGATTTTGAATTCTTATTGCTTATGAGACACTTATCGTGTCTAATAATTATTGCAGACAACACTGTGCTATTACAATAATATAGTCTAATTGCAGACAATACTGTATGTTTATATAATGATAAATTCTTATTGCAGACAACACTGTGCTATTATAATAATATAGTCTAATTGCAGACAATACTGTATGTTTATATAATGATAAATTCTTATTGCAGACAACACTGTGCTATTATAATAATATAGTCTAATTGCAGACAATACTGTAATGTTTATATAATGATAAATTCTTATTGCAGACAACACTGTGCTATTATAATGATAAATTCTTATTGCAGACAACACTGTGCTATTATAATAATATAGTCTAATTGCAGACAATACTGTAATGTTTATATAATGATAAATTCTTATTGCAGACCACACTGTGCTATTATAATAATATAGTCTAATTGCAGACAATACTGTAATGTTTATATAATGATAAATCTTATTGTAGACGACACGGTTTTATATCAATGTTTCATTGTACTTTCAGACCACACTGCTATTGTAATGCGAAATTCTTATTGCAGACCAAACTGTGCTATTATAATTATAAATTCTTATTGCAGACAATACTGTGCTATTATAATAATATATTCTAATTGCAGACAATACTGTGCTATTATAATTATAAATTCTTATTGTAGATGACACTGTGCTATTATAATGCTAAATTCCTATTGCAGACAACACTGTGCTGTTCTTATCGCAGACAATACTGTGCTATTATAATTATAAATTCTTATTGTAGATCACACTGTGCTCTTATAATACTAAATTCCTATCGCAGACGACACTGTGCTGTTATCATTATAAATTCTTATTGCAGATCACACTGTGCTCTTATAATACTAAATTCTTATTGCAGACGACACTGTGCTATTATAATGATAAATTCGTATTCTAGACAACACTGTTCTATATCAATGTTTAATTGTTCTTGCAGACGACACTGTGCTATTATGATGTTAAAGATGCTCTAGGTATATCAATGTTTCATTGTTCTTGCAGACGACACTGTGCTATTATGATGTTAAAGATGCTCTAGGTATAGAGGAAACTCATCCTGAAGCTGGTAGAATGATGGGTAAATTACAGAAGATAGCCCAGGAAAATAAACGACAAGCCATGCAACTAAATCTGATGGGCAAACATCGTGAAGCTTTGCAGAAAATATCCATTGCTATAGAAACTGACCCCGCTATTGCAGATTTTCATGTTCTCAGGTATTTTTAATGGTTTCAAGTAAAATATTTCTATTGGTACTAATTTGTGATATTTTGATAAACCCAGAAGAAATTAAATGATAAAAAGCATCAAATTAGTAATGAAGGGTTTGATCCTCGTGCTAAGCGAAATTTCTCAGGGACAAAATTTAATGATCTGTGACAATTAATGGTCATTTGTCTCTTATTGATGATTCAGAAATCATGTGAGATATGCAGTGGGTCACTTGTGTAGAAATGGGTAATTACTTGTTAGATATACAGGAAAGCTAATTAGGTGGATCGATTGCCGAGGTATGACCAAAAATGTGCTAAAATCAGCATTAAAAAACAACAGAAAAACAATGTAAAATGATATAATCCACAATATATAATAAACAATTCTAACACGACCCGCATTTTACCCCATTGAACATGGAAGAAACAAAAGTGTGTGTTATTATGCAATAGAGTCACTGTTTGACGTTCTATATTTAGACATGTGATGTAATCATTATACATGTGACGTAACCACTATAAAATCCGATGCGCTTAAAATAAGTACGGAAACAAATCAAGTGCAATTTTGCTTAATAGCAGGTACGGCAGCATTTATTTGTTTATGTTGTGTTAGAATCGAAATAATATATCCAAATCGGTGATTTTATGGCTGGATAACATCACTGTTTGGAGTTCGGATGGGCATCATTATATCACTCGGGCTACGCCCTCGTGATATAATTTCTCGCATCCGAACTGCAAACAGTGATGTTATTGAGCGATAAAATCACAGTTTGGGATATATTATTTCTTAAATAATTCAAACTTTCATTTTTAGTTAGCATTTCTTATTGCATCAGTTTAAAGGCAGACTTATATCTTTGTTAATAAACAAACACGGAAATCCTATCCATCATGCATGTAGTTAATTTGTTTTGAAAATTCAATTTTAGTATTCATTTTTATAATCAAAATATTTTTGTTTTGAAGTCCTCATCAATAATGCACAAGTCCATGTTTGTTAATCTAATTTTAAAGATGTACGTAGAGGATTTAATATTATGTTACAGGGGTGCGTTACATCGGAAGTTAGGCGATTATAATGCAGCTATAGACGATTTCCTGTTAGCATTAGACAAATGTGATCATAACGAAGAGAGTCCAGTATACATAGATTCCCAGAGACAGTTGTTACTCACATACAATGACTTTTCTGTTGAATGTTTTACTAAAGGCTTCTTTGATGAAGCTATTATATTGTTAAATAAAGCAATAAAGGGAGAGAAGCGTGAAAAAGGATTATACATCAATAGAGGAGGTATGTGTGGATTGTCTCCCCTTTTATCCAGATAATTTTTGTATAGATAGTTTTCTTAAAGTAAAATTAGTCAATAGCAAGTCACAACTTTTGAACATCAAGTATCGTCATAATAGTGCAGAAATGGATTAACTCCTTCTTTAATTTAAAAGGAGTTAACCTGTTACTGCACTAAGGTGACGATATATATCCTGCTTATACATGTATGCTACAAAAATGAAAAAAATAGCAAGGGACTACGTGGCTCATTTGCTGGCTTTAAACGGTTAAACCTTTTGCCCCTCGCCACTTTTGAGGGACTATCAATTCCTTTATTTGAGGAAAGTATTCAGCTTGCTTAAAGAATGTTGATACTTCTATCCAAGTACCATCTTACACCAGGTGAAAGCATTTTAATCGGCAGACACATGCATTCATCAGATTCATTCATATTACATATCAAGTACATGTATCTTTTTCTTTTCTTTTTATATTTTGTTTAAAAAGATATAGAGACCAGGATTTTTTAACATATAAATGTATAAATGTAATTGTATTGTAATGTTATTCCATACTTGCGTACCTTTATACATCATTATTTTCCAGATTGTTTCTTCCGGCAAGAGGAGTATAATTTTGCTATGCAGGATTATGAGCAAGCCCTGGAACTTGACCCAACAAATGAGACCATCAAATCACGTATATCAGTCATACATAATGAATTTGGTGTCGCAGCCTACCAGGAGAAAAGATTTTCTGTAAGACAATCTATGATACATGTAGTTTTAACCTTTATAATGTTAAATATCTTGAATTGATTAGTTTGTCTGTCAATGTGGGCTAAACCATTCATCATTTTTAGGGAAGATTTTTAGACTTTAAATTTTTTGTACTGACTGCGTAGCAAACAGTGCAGACTGTGATCAGATGGCGTGGCACAGGTGTGCCAGCAGCTCTAGGTCTGCACTGGTTATATGAGCATATTCAGTTGCTGCATGCAGGCTATGGTTAAGGTATCTGCCTCTCAGCTTAGGAAACATGGGTTCGGGTCCTGCTTGGAACACTACCATGTTTCTTCATATGACACCAGTACTGGATGGTTCCAAGAAGAGGACTGGAAAGTGATTATATAAGTTGTAACACTTTCTGTTGTTTAGTTCATATTCATAAAATTTAATAGCAATTATTGTCCGACCTAATTTATTTAATTACATGTAACATATATATAATAATTATATGAAATTGTCAGGGACATCTGTGGCTGAGTGGTTAAAGTTGCTGACTTTAAATGACATGCCATTCCCTGCTGTAGATTTGAATCAGGTCACAGACTTTGAATTCATTCATGTGAAAGTTATCCAGCTCCCTTGCTTGCGGAAAATGGGACCCCACTTGTGCCTGAAATAATGCACAGAGTGGCATTTGAGGTCTTCCCCTACCATTAAAGCTGTTGACTATGACCAGTAAAGTGTATGTGAGACTTAAAACTTATGTGAGACTTAAAACTAAAGCAAATTTAAATTGTGAAACTCATTAATTTTGTGATCTGTCAATTGTTGAATATTTGAACAAATTTATCATTGAAGAAAATGATCATAATTTATTTAACAGTAATATTTTTCCCTATATTTTACAGCCAAATAAAGGCTTGCCCCCTAGCCGATAATAGATGTATTTTCCCTTAAAAATGCTATATTTTCCCCTCAGAAATGCCCTGTGCACATTCTTCACCAGAACCATAACTTAACATCAGCCGACTTATATCAGAAGGTTGATAAATTTAATTGACTGAAAGACAGAAAGCTGTTTCAATAGTTAGCCTTTGCTATGTACCATGCAAATTAAATTGAATTGAAATTGAAAATTTATCAAATGTGTGGGTCAATTCTATTCTCAATTTGATTTCATGTTTTTCTTCCTTTTTCTGATTTATTGTGGTATATTTCCCCCTTCAGAAAGTCACAGGTTGTTTTGAAAATTGAAAAAAAAAAAAATCTCATTATAATGTTACAGGAGGCAGAAAGCAAGTTTAACCAGGCAATTGAATTTCACCCTAAAGTTGGCCAGTATTATATCTCACGAGCGAGGGCAAGGTATATGCTTGAGGTAGGTATTTGTTTACATTTTTATATTCAACACTTGTATATACTAAAGCAGGCCACAGTATTTATTTGAGCCGCGTCATGACAAAACCAACATAATGGGTTTGCGACCAGCATGGATCCAGACCAGCCTGTGCATCCGTGCAGTCTGATCAGGATCCATGCTGTCCGCTTACAAACTGTATTACAAGAAGAGAAACTCATAACAAACAGCATGGATCCTGATCAGACTGCGCGGAGGTCGCAGGCTGGTCTGGATCCATGCTGGTCGCAATCCCATTATTCTGGTTTTGTCATGACGCGGCTCATTGTACATTATGAAAGCTAGGGGGAGATATTTCTTACAGCATGAAGAAATGAAGAGAAAATTAAAACTTTTATTGTCTAGTAGAAGTTTTACATCAGAAAACTAGAAAAGGCACGCCCATTAAAACTTAATATGTGTCTTCTGAATCATAACATGAAGTCACTATCCAAGGCCAAAAAATAACTCTGTATTTTGACTGATCTTACTTCATTAAATTAGAAAATGGCAGGTTGAAATTTTGCAAGCTATATCAATCTTAAAAACAACTTAAGGTATATTCCCTTGAAACTTAATATTTTACTATTTTCTTGATTGTATTTTTGTTCTTCTTTTAAATATAATGCTCTATGTTGTTTATTCAAGAATATGACAGGTGCCCGGGGAGACCTTCTGATGGGATTATTACTAGATCCCAACAATGAAGATGTGATATCAATTTTGTCACGGCTGTTTCCTGGCAAGTCTGTAGGCGATGTGTTAGCAAGCCGGGCTGCGGAAAGTGCCAAAATTGCCATCAGGAATATATTTGACCCTCCAAGACAGGTGAAGTCTGAGGACGAAGATGAGGAGGGCAGTGAAGTGAGGTAAAGTAGACTTTCTGTTTTAACAGCCGTCTTATTTGTTTTCTATGTGACTGAGGATCTGCTTTGATCATTATCATTCTAATTTAATCCGAATATATACTCGTATGAAACTTACCAAATTTATTATGTCTCCCCCACCTCGGGGGGAGACATATTGTTTTTGCCCTGTCCGTCCGTCCGTCCGTCAGTCCGTCCGTCCGTCAGTCCGTCCGTCCATTCTTCGTTTCCGGACGATAACTAGAGTTCCTTTTGACCTACAGCTCTCAAACTTCATAGGATGAATGGTCTTATTGAGCAGATGATCCCTATTGTTTTTGGGGTCAGTAGTTCAAAGGTCAAGGTCACACTGACCGTTGGTCAATTTCTCGTTTCCGGATGATAACTAGAGTTCCTTTTGACCTACAGCCCTCAAACTTCATAGGATGATTGGTCTTATAGAGCTGATGATCCCTATTGTTTTTGGGGTCAGTAGGTCAAAGGTCAAGGTCACACTGACCGTTGGTCAATTTCTCGTTTCCGGATGATAACTAGAGTTCCTTTAGACCTACAGACCTCAAACTTCATAGGATGATTGGTCTTATTGAGCAGATGATCCCTATTGTTTTTGGGGTCAGTAGTTCAAAGGTCAAGGTCACAGTGACCGTTGGTCAATTTCTCGTTTCCGGATGATAACTAGAGTTCCTTTTGACCTACAGCCCTCAAACTTCATAGGATGATTGGTCTTATAGAGCAGATGATCCCTATTGTTTTTGGGGTCAGTAGGTCAAAGGTCAAGGTCACAGTGACCGTTGGTCAATTTCTCATTTTCCGGATGATAACTAGAGTTCCTTTTGACCTACAACCCTCAAACTTCATAGGATGATTGGTCTTATTAATCAAATGATCCCTATTGTTTTAATGGTCAGTAGGTCAAAGGTCAAGGTCACAGCGACGTTGGTTAATTTCTCCTTTCCGGATGATAACTAGAGTTCCTTTAGACCTACAACCCTCAAACTTCATAGGATGATTGGTCTTATTGAGCAGATGATCCCTCTTGTTTATGGGGTCAGTAGGTCAAAGGTTAAGGTCACAGTGACCATTGGTCATTTTCTCATTTCCGGATGATAACTAGAGTTCTTATCAGTGAGGACATTTAACTATTATTGATATATCAGTGATATATCAGTTGTCTGGTTTTATATACTCTGTTCTTTTATCTCCATTTCCATTCTTGTTTCCATTCACAGTTATTCTCAGCAGTGGGGGAGACATGCGCTTTTTTACAAAAGCATCCTCTAGTTTCATTACTGATTATATGAAGATCCTGTATCAGGTGTGTCAAGTGATAATCACACAGGATTTTTTAGCTCGACTTTTCTATGAAAAGGGGAGCTATCCTACTCGCCCCGGCGTCGGCGTAGGCGTCGGCGTTGGCGTCGGCGTTGGCGTCACACCTTGGTTAAGTTTTTCGTACCACCCCACTTTATTTCAGAAGTATTACAAGTATGGCTTTGAAACTTACCATACTTGTTCACCATCATAACCTCCATCTACAGACAAGAGTACATAACTCTGTCAAGGTTTTTGACAGAATTATGGCCCTTTTTTGACTTAGAAAGTGTATTGAGCTTGGTTAAGTTTTTTGTACCACCTCACTTTATTTCAAAACCATTGGAGGTATTGCTTTAAAACTGACCATACTTGTTTACCATCACGACCTTCATCAACAGACAAGAGGACATAACTCTGTCAAGGTTTTTGACAGAATTATGCCCCTTTTTGACTTAGAAAATACATTGAATATGGGTAAAATCCACTTATTGCCTTAACCCTTTGAGATATTGCTTTGAAACTTTTAATGCTATTTCACATCATTACCCCCATCTGTACGCAAGAGAAGGTAACTCTGTCAAGGATTTGTTTTAAAAATTAAGGCCTTTTATCGACTTAGAATCTTGGTTAAGTTTTTAGTACCAGTCCACTTTTTGACTGAACTGTTTGAGATATTAATTTGATACAAAGTCAAATCTATATATTATGCTGATTGTACAAAAATATACTGCTTCCTTGGCATAGATTTCTTGAAAAATTATGTTATTATGTCATTTACCAAGGTGTTCTGAGTGACGTAAAAATACCTTATTCTCTCAAAGTGGGTTTAATACTATTAAATTTATTTAAGCGTCAACTCAGTTTTTTTTTCTTTCTTACCAGCCCTCTTTTTGACTTAAACATTTCAAACTTTGCTGCAGTGTTCAAGGGTATCACACAATTCAGTAAAATAATTCTTCACTAAATATCTTAATGCTCATGGCCATTGTTCACTTTAAAAATACAGAGATTCTTGTATTGCCTTTTACTGCAAAAACTTTTTTTATTGGCAAGCAATAAAAAAGTCGAGCGCGCTGTCTTACGGACAGCTCTTGTTTATTATAATCTGATTATCGGTATGTTTGAACATTTTGGGGAATATCTGTGACCTTTTATTAATTTTAACATGCATTTCTGTCATTTGAATGTGTTGATGTCATAAGTGTTGAACACTCTTGTACATTCGTAAAGCCTATAATGGCTAGATCCATTGATACCTGACTATTTTTGCAAGACATCTTAATATCTTCAAATATTCCCACTTTAAATGATTCTATTTACTCAAAAATGATGTTTTATTAAATAAGCAAAGATGTTTATGATTATAATTATTATCGTTGGTGTTGTTGTTGTTATTATTATTGTTCTTGTTGTTGTTATTATTATTATTATTATTGTTTTTATATTTATTATTATTATAATTACTATTATAATTATTATTGTTATATTTATTATTATTATTATTATTATTGTTATTATTATTATTACTATTATTATTATTATTATTGTTGTTGTTATTATATGCATATTATGTTATACCCCCTGGCGTCCGTCCGTCCGTCTGTCCGCACTACCGAATAGGGATAGGGGGCCATCTAACTGTAAACAGAACAAAAGAGAACAATAGAGTTCATTCCGTAACAATAGAGTAAGGGGCCATTGGCCCTCTATTAAACAATAGAAAATAACAAAAGAAATGGCCCCTTATTCCATTTCGGCTGGGTCCGTCCGTCCGTTAGCAATTTGTCCGTTAGCAATTTGGTTTCCGGGGCATAACTTAAGTTCCATTTGGCCCCCAATGTTCAAACTTCATAGGATGATTGTCCATATTGGGTAGATGACCCCTATTGATTTTGGGGTCAAAAGGTCAAAGGTCAAGGTCACTATTACCTTGATACTGAAAACAGTTTCCGTCCGTTAGCAATTTGGTTTCCGGAGCATAACTTAAGTTCCATCTGGCCCACAATGTTCAAACTTCATAGGATGATTGTCCATATTGGGTAGAAGACCCCTATTGATTTTGGGGTCAAAAGGTCAAAGGTCAAGGTCACTATTACCTTAAAACTGAAAACAGTTTCCGGAGCATAACTTAAGTTCCATTTGACCCACAATGTTCAAACTTCATAGGATGATTGTCCATATTGGGTAGAAGACCCCTATTGATTTTGGGGTCAAAAGGTCAAAGGTCAAGGTCACTATTACCTTGATACTGAAAACAGTTTCCGTCCGTTAGCAATTTGTCCGTTAGCAATTTGGTTTCCGGAGCATAACTTAAGTTCCATTTGGCCCACAATGTTCAAACTTCATAGGATGATTGTCCATATTGGGTAGAAGACCCCTATTGATTTTGGGGTCAAAAGGTCAAAGGTCAAGGTCACTATTACCTTAAAACTGAAAACAGTTTCCGGAGCATAACTTAAGTTCCATTTGACCCACAATGTTCAAACTTCATAGGATGATTGTCCATATTGGGTAGAAGACCCCTATTGATTTTGGGGTCAAAAGGTCAAAGGTCAAGGTCACTATTACCTTGATACTGAAAACAGTTTCCGTCCGTTAGCAATTTGTCCGTTAGCAATTTGGTTTCCGGAGCATAACTTAAGTTCCATTTGGCCCACAATGTTCAAACTTCATAGGATGATTGTCCATATTGGGTAGAAGACCCCTATTGATTTTGGGGTCACAAGGTCAAAGGTCAAGGTCACTATTACCTTGATACTGAAAACAGTTTCCGGAGCATAACTTAAGTTCCATTTGACCCACAATGTTCAAACTTCATAGGATGATTGTCCATATTGGGTAGAAGACCCCTATTGATTTTGGGGTCACAAGGTCTAAGGTCAAGGTCACTATAACCTTGATACAGAAAACAGTTTCCGGAGCATAACTTAAGTTCCATTTGACCCACAATGTTCAAACTTCATAAGTTGATTGTCCATATTAAGTAGAAGACCCCTATTGATTTTGGGCTCAAAAGGTCAAATGTCAAGGTCACTATTACCTTGATACTGAAAACAGTTTCCGGAGCATAACTTAAGTTCCATTTGACCCACATATTCAAATTCATAGGATGATTGTCCATATAAGGTAGAAGACCCCTATTGATTTTAGGGTCACAAGGTCAAAGGTTAAGGTCATTATTAATGACTTAAGTATTAATCAACCTACATCTGTAATATTTTATAGGATGAACAGCTAATTCCCATGTCTAATGAATGCTTCGTCCTTACTAAAAAAAAACCACTTTCGGGCATATAATGCTCCGCATAGTGGTGCTCTTGTTTATTATTGTTGTTGTTATTATTATTATTATTATTATTATTATTATTATTATATTTATTATTATTTTAATTACTATTATAATTATTATTGTTATATTTATTATTATTATTATTATTATTATTATTATTATTATTATTATTATTATTATTGTATAATTTTATAATAATGTGTTACAGTGAGGAAGGTGGTGAAGCAGACGGCAGGAAGTCAGAAACAGAGAGCCAGTCTGCTGGTTCCACTGGTGCTACAAGTGAAGACTCGGAGCCAATGTGGAGGCCGGGAACCATATCAGACTTCAAAGTGATGATGAATGAACAGGAGTTTAACATAAAACTTGTTGAGATGAAGCAGGATGTAAGTTGGTTTAATAATTTCAATAGCTTAGAATAATTACAGAATGTTTTTATTTGATTATTTTTATGCATATAGTGTTACCCTGTTCCGTCATTCCGTCATTCTGTCATTCCGTCATTCCGTCCTTCCGTCCTTCCGTCATCATCAGTTTCCGTTCATTATCTTTATAACCCTTGCACATATTGAACTCAAATTTGACATATGGATATGTCATGAGAAAATACAGGTCAAGTTTGAAATTGGTCATGGTTCGATGATTTTTGGCAGAGTTATGCCCCTTTTACTTTGAAAATAATATGAAATTTTCAGTTTCCGTTCATTATCTCCCCAACGGTACAACACATTCAGTTCAAAATTGACATATTGATATGTCATGAGAAAATGCAGGTCAAGTTCAAATTTGGTCATGGTTCGATGATTTTTGGCAGAGTTATGCCCCTTTTACTTTGAAAATAATATGAAATTTTCAGTTTCTGTTCATTAACTCCCCAATGGTACAACACATTCAACTCCAACTTGACATATGGATACGTCAAAGGAATGCACAGGTCAAGTTCAAATTTGGTCATGGTTCAATGATTTTTGGCAGAGTTATGCCCCTTTCACTTTAAAAATAATATGAAATTTTCAGTTTCCGTTCATTATCTCCCCAACGGTACAACACATTTAACTCAAACTTGACATATGGATATGTCATGAGAAAATACAGGTCAAGGTCGAATTTGGTCATGGTTCGATGATTTTTGGCAGAGTTATGCCCCTTTCACTTTGAAAATAATATGAAATTTTCAGTTTCCGTTCATTATCTCCCCAATCGTACAACACATTTAGCTCAAACTTGACATATCGATACGTTAAAGGAATGCGCAGGTCAAGTTCAAATTTGGTCATGGTTCGATGATTTTTGGCAGAGTTATGCCCCTTTTACTTTGAAAATAATATGAAATTTTCAGTTTCTGTTTATTATCTCCCCAACAGTATTAAACATTCAACTCAAATTTGACATATTGATACGTCAAAGGAATGCGCAGGTCAATTTCAAATTTGGTCATGGTTCGATGACTTTTGGCAGAGTTATGCCCCTTTCACTTTAAAAATAATATGAAATTTTCAGTTTCCGTTTATTATCTCCCCAACAATATTACACATTCAACTCAAATTTGACATATGGATATGTTTTTGGAATGCGCAGACCAAGTTCGAATCTGGTCATGGTTCAATGATTTTTGGCAGAGTAATGCCCCTTTCACTTTGAAAATGATATGAAATTTACAGTTTCTGTTCATTATCAACCCAACAGTGTTACATATTCAACTCAAAATTGACATATGGATATGTCAAAGGAATGCGCAGGTCAAGTTGGAATTTGGTCATGGTTCGATGATTTTTTGGCAGAGTTATGTCCCTTTCACTTTGAAAATAATATAGATACATCTTAGGAATAAGCAGTTTAAGTTTGAATTTGGTCGTGGTTCAATGATTTTAGACAAACTTATCTTTCCTGAATGTTGGAAAAATTTTTGAACTTTCAGTTTCAGCACTCATACTTTTGTGGAAATATATATAGCCATTATGTTGGCTACAAATATGCAATATGCTATTTTAAAAGGTTAAGACTGAATAATTTCAGTGCCTTGAACATTGTATAAAAATGGTTAAGACTGAATAATTTCAGTGCCTTGAACATTGTATAAAAATGGTTTGTGTTAACATTGAAAAGTTTTAAGGGCTTTGAACTTAGAATGAAAAAAATAATTTGTGCAAACAAATTTGGAACTAAATATTATAACATTAAAAATTTTGGCTGCATGCGGGGGCATCCGTGGCATGATGACACATTTCTAGTTATTGAATTGATTGATTTTTATTGAATCGATATGAATTTTTTTATAAGTCTGTTAAAACTCTGAAATAAACTTCGATTAAAGCAGAATTGTTCTTCAGAATTGAACTGAATTGTTTTTAAGTCTTGTTAAAATCATGAAGTAAAGGCAACATTTTGATTAAAACAAGATTCTTCATCAATTATTCTGCTTTCCTTTTCAGGTCAATACAAAAATAAAGTCAGCATTATTTGACAGAAAAACTTTAAAATATGATGGACCAAGAATGCTCCCATTACCGCCACCTAAGCCAAAACCTCAGTACGGTGGAAAAGGAGTTAGACGAGAAAAATTAATAACTCCGCCTGGAAAAAAGAAAAGTACAAACTGGCGAACTTTTAGTAGTGGTATAGGATTAGGAGGAAATTAAAAAATTTAAACATGAAGCATAATGTGATAATTTTGATTTAATGTGATTGATTGATTTTTTTTTCTCGATTTTTTATTTATTTTCTTTTTTTAATGCATTTAGAAGTCGAGAAGAGATACATGTGTCAGCATTCTGTAAGGTATTACTGTATAATTATGCACAAAGTGTTGGGAGATTTTTTTTCCTGATTTGTGCATAAATTTGCATGTTAAGAAAACATTATTTTTTAAGTCTTTCTTAAATATAAGGTGAAATGTCTGAAATTTGTGCCTTTGGAGAAATATACTGATTTATATTTTAAACCACATTGTTAATTCTATATATGTATAAAATCCCACTTGTTGAAGTCACGTTAATGTGTTTTCACTTCAATTTAATTTTATTAAAAGATTTTTAATCTTAATAAATGTCTTATGTCACAAGCCAAGAAACAAAACTTTTATGTGAATGACTTGTGAACACAAGGTAAGTAAGTAAGTAACAACTTTAATGAGGCTTACACATTCGGTTTCCCGATCTTCCGTGTGGGCCTCAGCTTTAACTTCTTTCTTTTTCACATTTCTTGCTGACTGAACTAGTTTTACAGAACACTATCTTGCCTAATATTCCTGACATAACATGGACTTTTTATATCAGAAGATATCTCCTTTCCAATACATATGTTATTATATTTCCAATTCTGCAAAATCATTATTATTTGTGGGGCACTTATTTTTGTGGTTTTTCATGGATAGGTTAATCCACCAATTTGAGATCCAAAGAAATTTCATTTTGTCTCCTGTAAGATTATTTTGCATCACATCATTTCCATTTTACCTTTTGAAAAAAGAAACAGTCCGCAAATTTAAGTACCCACGAAAATGTTTTTTTTTGTGACACATATACAAAATTTCATGTCCACAAATTTAACTGAATTCACAGTACTTAAGCAATACTAATACAATACAATATTGTAACAATAATTATCTGAGTAAATTATTGATATCACAATCTGTCTTCCTAAATGTCAGTCATTTTCCTGGGTTACAAAAGTTGATACTAGTATTTGTAAGTTACTTTTATTTTTGATGACATATTTTCCATCTGGAAATCAGACTTGAATGTGTTTTTGGATATGTGTCTCTTTGTATTATTTAATTAATAAACCTTGAACTTGCTAAATATCTGAAATGGACTTGTCCATCTTTTAATCTGGACAAAACCATTCATCAATTTGGGGAAATATTTCATTATAAACACTGACTGAATAGCAAACAGTGCAGACCATGATCAGGTCAGCTTTTCTGTACAGTCTACCCATACACTATTATAACAAGAAGTAAGATCATTTCTTGTATTTAAAATCCTTTAAAGGTGCATAATGCCTCCGAAACACAGCAATTTTTACTTCTTTAGAAAGAACAAACACAAATTTTATAATGTTTAAATAATGGTTTTAGAGTATGTTAGATGCTTGTTTCCTGAATAAAGTAGTGATAAATGTGAAATAACTTGTTAATTCAAGTAGAAAAATGTAAACAAAGTAGTATTTTGACTTCCACACAAAATACCAATTCACTATAACTGTACTTATTGCCAAAAAGAAGCAGATGAAAAAGATGGTTCAGGTAAATGGCCAATGAGTAACTTTTTGGATACTATAAAAGTACACGAAAACAATAATAGAATTTTTCATGAGTCATTATAGGCCTTTAATCTTTGACTTGACTGTTCCAAATTCAAAGCTGCACAAATACATTACATGAATTCAGCAAGGTTAAGGGTTGAACATATTGTATGATTATTGTCAGATTTTTGTAATGCATTTACCAGAAGCATTATTTAACCTAAAACTGCTGATATCATTATTTTCATGCATTAAAGCATCATGCCTCCAGATTTGTGTAAATTTTTATCTTCATTTTTTTTAAGCATTAAAGAGGTATGCCTCCAGATTTATGTAAATTTTTATCTTTTTTTCTTTCAAGCATTAAAGCGGTATGCCTCCAAATTTGTGTAAATGTTTATCTTTCTTTTCAAGCATTAAAGCAGCATGCCTCCAGATTTGTGTAAATTTTTATCTTTTTTTTTTTTTTAAGCATTAAAGCCTCTAGATTTGTGTTAATTTTTTGAAAAGTTTAGAATTATTGTTAATTAAGTAATAAATACTGGCAGAATGCATTTAGTATAACAAATTGCCAGTACCTTGTCAAAATACTCAGAAATTTAATTTTTCCCAACTGTTTTTAGTAGAATTTTGGTAATTCTTTCATATTTTGCACAAGGCATTTAACAGTTTACCTGAATTGTGAATATTTATACACTTCTTAAACTTTAAATATTAGTTTTCAAAATTTTTTGATTTAATTTTAAGATTTACATATTTTTAATCTCTGTTGGCATGCTACTATTTAATATTCACGCACATCCTGATCGTAGTGGATCTCGTGTTATTTTCAAATTAATTATTATTTTGTGATTATGTGATGGTTTGTGATTATATGGTGAATTGTGATTATATGATGGTTTGTAATCACATGGTGAATTGTGATTATAAAATTATGATGGTTTGTGATTATGTAATGAATTGTTATTATGTGATGGATAGTGATTATATGATAAATTGTGATTATATGATGGTTTGTGATTATATGATGGTTTGTGATTATATGATGGTTTGTGAGTATATGATAAATTGTGATTATATGATGGTTTGTGATTATATGATGAATTGTGATTATATGATCGATTGTGATTATATGATGAATTGTGATTTTATGATGGTTTGTGATTTTATGATGGTTTGTGATTATATGATGGATTGAATGACAGGTTACTAAAAGATTAAGTTACCCTCCATTTTATTCAGATTTTTTTTTTAAATATTTGTTATGGTGTTTTACTGCACACTTTTGTTTACTGTTTTGATATATACAAATTTTGTTAAGGTTTTGGGCAAAGTAAACTGTGATTTTTGGGGCACAGGGGCCAAATCTGTGGCTGAAAAGTCCCCTTAAATCAAAAAATTTGGGGTGTTGTAATTTTTACTACCTTCTACTGAAATAATTTTTTAACGGGTGATTTAGGGTTCATATAAAACTTCCTTTAGAGGGGGGGGATTTTGGGTTTTTTTTGGGAAATTCTTTTTTTAAATCCTTATTTACGGGCACGGAGTTGGCGGGGCCCCTTTTGGGCCCATCAGTGAAGACTTAAAAACCCAGTTCGGGGCTTATCTTTTGCTCTCTCACAAGGGCTCTTTACTGGAAAGTAACTTTTTGGGGGTTTTTTTTTTTTTTTGTATTTTGATTTTGGGGAAATCCCTTAAATTTTTAAACCCATTTTCCAGGGCCTCCAGAAAATCGCAAAATTTTTTTTAATTTCCCTTTTAAAAATTTAAACAGTGTTTTAATAATTTTTTAATAATGGATTAAAGAAAATTTTTGGGAAATTTGATTTTTAAAAAATGATGAAGAAAGGGGCTAAAACATAAAGAAATTGTGTTGTAAAAAAAAAGGCAAAGGGTAAAAAAATTTGTTTTTAAATTTCCCAAAAACAAATACTAATTCACTCAAACTTTTAACCAAATTGGGCTAAAAAAAAAAAGCAGCCAAAAAATAATAGGGGTTGTAATTTTTAAAAAAATGATATTCAAATTAAAAACCCCTGTAAAAAAATGAAAAACATGAAAAAGTTTTTGAGAAACAAAAATGTTAGTATTTCTGAGACATAATGGGCCTTTAATTGGAATGTTCTAAATTCAATGCAGGGGCAGATCAATATATGAGTCATGTCATGACAAAACCAACATAATGGGTTTGCGACCAGCATGGATCCAGACCAGCCTGCGCATCCGCGCAGTCTGATCAGGATCCATGCTGTTTGCTGTCAGTTTCTCTACTTGTTATAGACTGCAAGCGAACAACATGGATCCTGATCAGACTGCACGGATGCACAGGCTGGTCTCGATCCATGCTGGTCGCAAATGCACTATGTTGGTTTTGTCATGACGCGGCTCACATCACAAATTCAACAGATTTAGGGTTTAAATCTTTTCATATATAAAATGTATAATCTCTCAGGATTTGTGATCACATTTATTGCATAAGTTTTTCTTCTTCTTTTTACTTTAGAATTGTTGTTGATTGTCCATTTATGGTGCTGATTTTGACATGCTTTAATTTAGTAACCAAAAACTTAATATCCACCAAAAATATCCGACCATGAGGTAAAAAATTGTCTTGTGCACATGTACTCATATGTTTATTTATGTAACCAAAGATCCCTTATCATCCCAGATACTACATATAAAGTACAAGTACAGTATAAGTTATGTTTATTTATTTTTTTGCATGACTATAATGTTAACCACACAAACTACTTTTCCGGCTGAAACAGATCATTTGTTGTTGTTTTTTTAATGGGCATGATTTACTGATAACTGGTTACCTATTTTAATACTGGCCATATATCACCTGAATAGAGTCTTGCAGGACAGCTTGACCCAGCATTCTGACCAGAAAGCTTGACGCAGCATTCTGACTAGACCTTTCAGCCCAATATTCTGACTAGACCTCTTATCCCAGCATTCTGACCGGATGGCTCAACCCAGCATTCAGACCGGACGGCTCAAGCCAGCATTCTGACCGGACAGCTCAAGCCAGCATTCTGACCGGACGGTTTAGCCCAGCATTCTGACCATACGGCTTAGCCCAGCATTCTGACCGGACGGCTCAGCCCAGCATTCAGACTAGACCTCAGCCCAGTATTCTGACTGGACGGCTCAGCCCAGTATTCTGACTGGACGGCTCAGCCCAGTATTCTGACTGGACGGCTCAGCCCAGCATTCTGACTGGACGGCTCAGCCCAGTATTCTGACCAGACCTCTCAACTCAGCAGTTTGACCGGATGGCTCAGCCCAGCATACTGACCAGAAGGCTCAACCCAGCATTCTGACTGGACGGCTCAATCCAGCATTTTGAAGGATGGCTCAGCCCAGCATTATGACCAGAAAGCTCAACCTATCAGTCTCACGAGACTATGAACTGTGTTTTGCTAAACTTTTACACTTTGGTATTAAAGGACTTAAATAAACAAAGGCTCGAGTCCTCACATCACTGATTTATATAGGTCTCTAAATAATAAATGTTGTTAGGATTAAAAAAGTAACAAATTTTGAGCTTAGTATTTGAGGTTTCTACATTATTTTTTTTAATATGGAGGCGAAAAATAAGCTTATGTCTTTAATAATTTATTACAAACCACAACCCTTACCTGGGACACATAAGAATGTATTCCCTGTTCAATAACACAGGTGCATATTACACACAAGAAAACCTTGTATGTTTCTTCTGTATCGTTGTTGTTTAAAAAAACTGTTTGTGATCAATAACTATGTGATATCAAAAAATAAATTTAAAAAATCTTTCAAAAAGCATGTGTTGCCTTTAATTCTCTGTTGGCTAAGCGAACAAAATTAATTACTTATCACCCGTTTTTACTACTATGTGATCTTTATAATCATCACCCGTTTTTACCTACTTAGGTGATCTTTATATCATCACCCGTTTTTACTACTTAGGTGATCTTTATATCATCACCCGTTTTTACTACTTAGGGTTGATCTTTATATCATCACCCCTTTTTACTACTTAGGTGATCTTTATATTCATCACCCGTTTTTCTACTTAGGTGATCTTTATATCATCACCCGTTTTTACTACTTAAGTGATCTTTATATTATCACCGTTTTTACTACTTAGGTGATCATTATACCATCATCCATTTTCTCTACTTACATGATCTTTATATCATCACCCATTTTTACTACAGTAGGTGATCTTTTTATATCATTACCCGTTTTCTACTACTTCCGTCATCCTTTATATCATCACCCGTTTTTACTACTAGGTGACCTTTATATCATCACCGCGTTTTTACTACTTCCGTGATCTTTATATCATCACCCATTTTTTCTACTAACGTGATCTTTAATATCATCACCCGTTTTTACTATGTTGGTGCAATCTTTATATCATCACCCGTTTTTACTACTTCCGTGATCTTTATCATCCCATCCCATTTTTTCTACTTACATGATCTTTATATCAAAATCACCCCACTTTTTCTACTTTAGGTGATCTTTATATCATCACCCATTTTTTACTACTTAGGTGATCTTTATATCATTACCCGTTTTTTACTACTTCCGTCATCTTTATATCATCACCCGTTTTTACTACTAAGGTGACCTTTATATCATCACCCGTTTTTACTACTTCCGTTGATCTTTATATCATCACCCATATTTTTTCTACTAACGTGATCTTTATATCATCACCCGTTTTTACTATATTGGTGATCTTTATATCATCACCCGTTTTTATACTACTTAACCGTGATCTTTATTATCATCACCCATTTTTACTACTTCCGTGATCTTTATATCATCACCCATTTTTACTACTTACGTGATCTTTATATCATCACCCGTTTTTACTACTTCCGTGATCTTTATATCCTCACCTGTTTTTACTTCTTAGGTGATCTTTATATCATCACCCGTTTTTCTACTTAGATAATCTTTATATCATCACCCGTTTTTACTTCTTAGGTGATCTTAATATTATCATCCGTTTTTACAATATGCGCGCCTTATTTTAATTATGCAACACTTATTTGTGTAAGCTAGTGTGCTAGATCTACACAAGATATTTCTTTCAATTTCAACTTAATTTTGTTAATATCATCAAAAATAAGTCTGTGCTTTTTCAAAAAGTAATATACCAAAGCGTAAACGCATTTAATAAAAAATCGAAACTCATTTTTATTATATTTTTTTTTTTTATAAATAAATCTTTTCAGTATTTATATACTGAATAGATACTATACTGATTTTAAATTTGAAACTCTATTCATATGCATACTTGTAACATTTAACAAAATCAAGTGTGAGAATGAAAATATAAATTTACAGTCACTGTTAACAGTGGGAGGCAATTTCTAAATATTGCGATTTTTAGAACGAAAATCGCGTGTGATGTGAATTTAACGTTATATTAAATTCCAAGCAATACAGGTCTATGATTTGATTTTGAAATTTCGAAAGAATGTAATTCCATGGTTTTGTTATAACATGGACCTTAATTTAGTGACAATTAAAACCAAATACATGTAAAATATAAGCACGGTTACGCCGCGGCATGTTCATTTTGTATGTATTTTATGCTTAAAGTGTTATCAGAATGCTTCTTTTACGATTACTGTGACAATCTCCATATTGCTACGTATCTCTGTTCCAACGTTTGATTAACCTAAGCTGTTATGCTTTCCCCAATTATTTCAGGATTATATTGTTCCTATAGCAACCCGAATTCTGCTAAGAATGTCCCACGTTCTAAGCGGAAATATTTTTTGCTTATTTATGTGATAGACTTAAAATACAGGTGGTGATATAAAGATCACTTAAGTAAAACGGGTGATGATATTAGGATCACATAAGAAGTATTTTGTCTGGTTACATCACAACATTTTCGTACTTGTGTCAACTGAAGTATGTGGGAAAAGGAGATTCCTAAATTGAGACCTATGCATATTGAAATTGGAACGTAGTTTATAGAGTTGAACACCACTATAAGAGGTAGATAAGTCCTTTTACATTTTTGTATACGAATTTCCACGCTCGACTTATAACTCAAATGAACATCATTATTAAAGTAATAATTTACGGATATCTAATACTTTATTTAAAATTTAAAACATTTTATTTGACGACTTAATTTAGTGGCGTTTAACCGTCTCTTTATTGACCTTTAGTGTTATCAGAATTGACCCAGTTTGTACTAAAACCCAACTACAAGCATTATTAAGAGTTTGACGTTATTTCCGATATTTCAAAATATAGCTTATATGGTATTTTTATAAGTTCGTTATACCGGATTAACAATTTCAAAATACATACGACCTATAACAAAATTGCTTGATAAGAGAATGTGAATGTTATATATGAACGAGTAAGGAATTTTAACAGATGATAAAGGTATTTGTAAACATTTGTTTTAGCCAAATTAGATATCATCTTGCAATTTATGTTTAACTGTTTGATATCGGACATTGATTATTTGATATATACATATGATAGGGTCTGATAATCACGGTAACCTGTGCTTCCGTGTTACCAAAGTTAATCTATTTCAAACTTACAGATCGACAATTTAATATTTTTTATACATACTTTATGCAACAATTAATATGTTATCTACTTACTATTATTTATCAGTGAATGGCCAATATCTGTTGACCGTAATATATCAATACAAGACCTATGCTTACTAGAGATATATCAGCTTACTTTCATCTATCAATGTAGGACCAATGCTAGTATTAATATATAAACGCGAGACCAATGCTTACTATATTATCTATCAATGTAAGACCACTGCTAACTTTAATATATTTACGCAAGACCAATGCTTATTATATTATCTATCAATGTAAGACCACTGCTAACTTTAATATATTTACGCAAGACCAATAGATATTATCTATCAACGTAAGACCAATGCTAACTTAAATATATTTACACAAGACCAATGCTGACTATATTATTTATCAATGCAAGACCACTGCTTACTTAAATATATTTACGCAAGACCAATGCTTACCATATTATCTATCAATGTAAGACCAACGCTTACTCAAATATATTTACGCAAGACCAATGCTTACTATATTATCTATCAATGTAAGACCAATGCTAACTATAATATATTTACGCAAGACAAATGCTTACTATATTATCTATCAATGTAAGACCAATAATAACTAAAATATATTTTCGCAAGACCAATGCTTACTATATATTATCTATCAATGTAAGACCACTGCCAACTATAACATATAAATACGCAAGACAAATGCTTACTATATTATCTAAAATAAAAAAATATACCTTTTGGTGCTCACTGGGTGAAATGTATTCCGATCTTCCACTGAACTTATATACCCACCGCAGTGCCAATGCATATTGTTTTTTGTTGTTGTTGTTGTTGTTGTTGTTGTTGGGTTTTTTTCTTCTTAATTTTTTCTCAATGCATTTCAGTACTGAAAGAAATCTTGGCTCTCGATTGTTTGCACAAAATAACACGAAATGGAAGATGAAGGTTTGTACATTTTTGTTTCCTATGTGTCTGATAAGTCACCTTTTTGAACTCGCCATATTACCAAATACATGCTCATGTATTAGAAAGAAACGAAATCAGATCCAGAACATACCGTTTAAGTGTTGTTCAGTTATATAACATTTAAAAAAAATGCTATTTCTTCTCCCAAAGTCCTTCCGTTGCGGAGAAGGCACACGGCAGGTCAAGGTCAAATGATCCTAAGGATCAGAGATGATTGGTGTTGTGACTAACTTGGGTGGGTGGCGTTATCAAAAGCCGTTTTGTATTAACACAACGATGCCTTGGATGCATTTTGTCTCCTCTTAACTATCTATTGTGCAATATCTATAAGTGCAAGTCGGACAGGCGTTGGCGCAGATTTTCAGGTCCATATGTTTCGCCCTGGGGACCAGAAGGAGACACACACAAATGCGCGCGCACGCACTGATACACAATTTTCTGTTTTGTCTTTTGTCTATACAAATATCCTTCACAATCAATAAAGCAACCTCCAAAGCATTACTGCATGATACGTATCACCTTTTCAACATTTATTTGTGAACTGTGAACTGAAAGCACAGAATTCTTCAATAATATTGTCTCAATGAATCCCCTCAATGCTATAATTATAAGATAAAACAATATAAACTTTCTAAAATCATTTTTTTTACATGTGTAGCTGAAGAAAGACTTGTGGTTCTGAAACGAATGTGCAAACTTTCGTGTGTAATCTTGACGGTTGCAGTCGCCACTTTGTTGGTTGGCATCATGGCTCTGACATATTCCGGGGGGAAATTCCCATTTAACGCTGGGGGAGCAATCATTGCTGGCATTGTGGTAAGTTTGACTATTCGTTTGGATTTTGTTGGACCATATATGTTTTCTTAATATGACTTTTAATGTAAACGAATGAACAAGATGTTATCTTTGTATAATGAGTAATAATGTATTTATTGGACATCTGTAGTGAAAAATGAGAACGTACATGTATTAAACGGTTATATTTTAAAGGGATTTCACTGAGGGTTTTTTTTGTTGACAAGACGGAACAGGAAATATTTCTCTGAGATTTATGTACCAAATGATGTAGATCTTAACCAATAACTTGCGTGCAAATTTTCAAATTATTCCCTCACCCCGTTTTTCCAGAATTATCTTTTTTCTGTGTGTGCAAAATGGTCATAAAATGAAAAGCGTTGTAAAGCTTTTTACTCAAATCGTGCTAACAAAATACAAAAAAAACAACACTTACAATCGATTTTTATTAATTCTGGGTATATTTCTTTACTATCCTTTGCAGATTTTTCCATTTCAAAGTGCTGTGCTTGATCTTTGTACAGAATTAAACTTTTATGTTCTTATGCTTCTTGACCTAAGCAATATGCAAAGCTCCCTTAAAGCAATATGCAAACCGAAATACTATTTACTTTCTGCATATTCATATTATTGTGTTCGATTTCGAAGGAACATGTGTGACTGGCACTTGTTTGTATCGTATTAATGTCTTAAATCAATGTTAATACATTTGAAAGTTGTTTGTTTCAAATACATTTTAATAAATGTCGAATTTGTAAAATTTAATAACATTTCTGTTGACACGCTAGCGAGCCTATGGAAAGTGCACATCATGCGGATGCCTGCATCTACAGCACTAAACAAAAGGGAATGAATAAATGTTACTTTGTTGACCAGTACCCTTAAACACCAATATTGTACCCGAGTTAACTGGCTGTTAATGAAAGTCTAGTTTGGCGAGTGAGATCAATATATCATGCCTTATCCTGGTCAAACCGGAAAAGATTCACTTTAGCCACAAGAACAGTTCCCAATAAACCTGTATACATGTATAGTAATTCAGGGGTGACCTATTCGATCCCCGGGCGAGACCTAATTCCTCCGTGACATTGAGACAAATGGTCCGTTGATTCAGAAATCTTTCAGGATTAAAAGTCGGTCAATGGCGGAGGAATTTGTAATTACTGGTTACATATTCAGGAACGTCGCCGCTCTGGTATGACCAAAGCATCCGAGCTATCTTCTTTTGATTGACTGATTTTAGATTTTTTTTCTAAAAATGCACAAAATTGAATGTGGACAGTTTACCAAAAAATAACAGGTTAATGGTTAAAGATGTTTCACCATTAAAGAGTAAAAGACCTTTTGATATATATTGACAATGTTTTGAGATACACTTCGTTATGCACATTTTTCTGATCTTTTTATTCCTTTTTTTTCAGGCCACATTCTTGTCTTTTTGTCCAATGTGCATGCTAGTTCAAGCCAAACAATATCAGAAGACCAGAAAGAGCTCATATAATTGCTGTGTAAGTTTTATTTATTTATTTTTATTTTTTTTTGGTCGTAAAAAAGTACTAGTATGCCAGATATAATAATTTTTGTTGCATTATACGAGTATGAACGACAACACTATGCTTTCAGTCATGATCAGTTGAAACACAATTTCTTTTTTTCTGTTAAGGACACAAATTTTCCAAGTCAAATAGATTGTGCACTTTAAAATGAGGCCAGTTAATCTACTTTGTAAATTCAAACTGTTTGGTAATTCCTTGTTCTCAATCCCGGGGGTTAATCTCCGGGTGCACGGAAAACTGGCCCTTTTAATCTCCTTTTGTTTCCCCACACTGCTTGGTTAATTTCCCTTGTGTCTTCACACTCCTCGGTTCATCTCCCGTGTGACCCACACTGCTTGGTTAATTTCCCTTGTGTCTTCACACTCCTGGTTTAATCTCCCGTGTGACCCACACTGCTTGGTTAATTTCCCTTGTGTCTTCACACTCCTGGTTTAATCTCCCGTGTTTTCCCACCATCTGCACTGTGGGTGAATCTTCCCGTATGTCCCAACACTGCTGGGTGAATCTTCCGTGTTTCCCCATACTGCTGGGTGAATATCCCGTATGTCCCCACACTGCTGGGTTTATCTCTGGTATGTCCCCAAACTGCTGGGTTTATCGCCCGTGTGTCCCTAAACTGCTGGGTCAATGCATGAGTTTTGTACATAAGGAGTGGGCAAAATGTCCAGCACACACTGTGGAGGTATTTTTGAGGATGTACCATTTGACTGATCCCGAAAGGCGGACCCTTATCAGAGGATTGATAGTCACAAGTTGAAGTCCCCGCTCTTCTTCAGAAGTGGAAGCTTAAGTTACAACTGCCTCGTAAATTATATTACAATAAATGACCAGCATATTCATAAAGTAACTGTCTTCTAACAGTATTCTGTCCCAGCTATTATTATTGACAATTCTTCTAACTGCCAAACACAGTCGCATCTCCTCGGCCCTTTCCGTGAAACTCCGGATAAGTTACTTTGATAATACCCCGAGATGTTCCGATTGCTGCTGATAAAGTGTACATCACATATATGTAGCATAGGAAACATTGAATATATGAAGTCCTGCTTGTCTCTGTCCTGCTTGTCTCTAGGAAAATTATTATTATTATTATTATTAGTATTATTCACTCTTTACTGTTTCTTTTTCAGTGCATGGCATTGTTTTTCTGGAGTTTTATAGCAATTCTAGGCATCATATTCGGACTTGCTACAAATGGGATTGGGGCGATCATTGCCTGTAACAATCGTTCAAAAGAAACAGGTAAGGCAATTATAACAATGTAGATGTACAATGTGCGCATAATTTAATACTCTAAAACAAATGCAGATGTATTCTTTTCTTGAGAGTGATTGGACTTTTAAATCCCTGTATTCGCTTGAGTGATGAGGAAAACAAATCTAGCTAGAAATTCCGTTGCTTTGAGTTATACATAAATGTTACAACCATAGAAATTGATCATGAAACACTATGGCTTCATTCTATAAGTATCTGATCATATCCACGATACTGCTTAAAAAACCCGAATCAGAATATCAACAATCCGAATACTGACGGAAAGTGTCGAAAAGTTGCGATTGCTTAAAACCCTTACCCGACTATAACCGGAAGTGATTAGTATTTGCTACCAGAATGGTGCTAGGCCTGTCTGCAAATATGTGCAGTCTAACCAGGCTCAATATTGTTGGCAGCTCGATTTCTTGTATTTTATATTGAAATATCCTAGCTAGTCTTCGACGGAACCTTTCTTTAAAATCAAAGGATAAAAATACATTACACAATTTTAGCAAGTTTAAGCAGCATGCCTGCAGATTCATGCCAATTTCCTTGAACTTTTTTTTAAAATATTTCAGAAAGCAAAATATTGTCAAGTGAACAAAAAAGTAATTAACACGTTGCGAACAACACTTGAAATCTACGAAAATTGCCAACAAATAGGTCAGAATATGCCAAAATAACCCTCACCCCGTTAGTCATGCAATAAAAATATAGCAATAAGTACTGTAAAATCAGTCATTTATTAATTTCATTAAACATGAATTTTGAACATTTTTACTTTTTTTTTAATCTTTTTTTCTCAAGGTTGATTTTTAAAAATATTTTGGCTCATCTGGAGGCATGCAGCTTTAATTGTTAGTTTCCAATCAATAGACTCGCAATAATTTTAATGAAGAATCTTTTAGATTATCGGTAAAATTTAACAATATTAACGCTTAACCATATACGTAAGTGCAGTCAATTTTATTTTTCGACCGAAGTGTGTTTGTTTTTACCCTGAAATTCATAAGGAGAATAACTGAATAAAAGAAGGATTCTTAATGGTCATTTTTTTTAAACATTAAAATGGAAATCTGAGTTTTATTGGCCTATTTGTTGGATGGCATATACATACTTGTGTAATCACCATTTTTTTCTTTCCACAAACGTTAACGCAGTTAAGTCTAAAACATTTATTCTATGATTGTAGATTGGCCTACAATAGGCTCATTTTCCATTAGTATTTCAAATATTGATAAAAACTATATAAATGTATCGTGTTAATATTCTAATGAAATGTGGCTTGAAAGAAATGTTGATGAAGTTCTAAGTGATCTGGCATGAACATTTATATGATTAATGATCAGGATCCATGCTGTTCGCTATCAGTTTCTCTACTTATTATAGGGTTGGTAAGCGAACAGCATGGATCCTGATCAAACTGCGTGGATGCGCAGGCTGGTCTGGATCCAAGCTGGTTGCAAACCCATTATGTTGGTTTTGTCGTGACACGGCTCAAATGTAAAATAACCTTTGAGCATTACTCTATTTGCAGGTTGTTGGTTGAATAAGGAATCACAGGTAGCGTTCGCCATTATAACAGTAGTGTTAACGAGCTTAATGCTTATTCTAATAATAACATTATATATCATTTGTTGCTGTAACTGCCCACTGGTAGGGGATATAGGCGATTTACCAGACTACCCTGTTCAACCTCACAACGTGAATTCTCCTACACAAAATGAAATACCGGTATATGGAATGCCTGGAATTGACCAATCGCCAGGATTCACTGTACTTAACTCTCACGGGCGTGACACCAACGATGGCTGGTTTGATAGACCGGCTAATGGGCGTTACATCACGCCCACTGCTCCCCCTGTATTTACAGAGTATTCCTCGGATACCTATTTTACTTCTATTAACACGAGTATGGATATCCACGACTCAATAAACAATGAACACGACGATGATTCAAGGCATTTTAGGTACAGTCATTCATTTGATAGCCCACCTCCCTCATATAACGAAGTAATGGAAAATGACCCGATGGAAACACCACTTTAACTAACAAGTGTAGTTATCACTTAACAGGAAGTTTTCCTTAAATAAAAATCAGGGCAACAGCGTTCCATAGACTAAGCTTTGGGTAGCACACATTTCGACGGTAGTCACACCAGAGCGACAAATGCTCCATGGCCACAGCGATCGATGGACCCACTGCTTCTGCGAAAGCTATGGCAAGTGTAGGAAATAGAGGGACGGATCATGGCATTAAGTTATATTAAACACGGATGTCAGACAAATTAATGATTATTGTGATAGCGACGTTTTACACAAATAAAATCACAGGTGCTTTATGTTTATTCTTTCTATTTTATTTATTTTTTTATTTCTAACAACTTCCCAAAGTTTTAGAAATTCTGTGAACTTTTTTAATTTGCTTCAAAAATTTCTAAAAAGTTTTAAAATGATTTTATAAAGTTTTTTATAACTTTTTATTTTAAAAACTACGAAAAAATTTTTTTAAACCCCAATGTAAGTTAAATTTTCCATCCCCCTTCCTTTTTTCCCGGTTTGGGGTTTTCCCCTTTACAACCATCCTTATAATAACCCCTATCATTTCAAACGTAAAATAAAACTGAATATTTATGTGGTTATATCTATATAAATAACTCTTTGTCAAAGGTATAACAGATTTAATACTTAGGAGATAATTTCTATTTCAGTTATTTCAGTTTTGTTTAGTCTAAGATTATACCTGAAACATGACTATATACCTTAAAACTTTATGATAAACAAGTCTAGAAAATAAGCATTACATGTGTTATTTTGGTCCACTGTGCACTTCCGTCGCAGTCCATTGCCAATACGCTTGGGGGTTTCCTGATCCTATTATGGGCAGCCATCTTGGATTGGAACCATAATAGGACAGTGAACCAGATTATACATGTATTTGTTAAAAACATCCTTAAGGTGATATTATATGCTCTTTATTCCATTGTCAAATTGAGCTGAATTGACTTTATATTTCAAAAGATTGACTGTTATAATGGTGCTTGACCACTGATACTGGAAATCTTTAGTGGTAAAATATAAATCTGCCTAAAATACAAAAAAGACTGCCCCACTCTTTTTTTCATAAATTGAACGTTTACAGTATATTCCGATTGATATTCACAAACATTTCCTTGGACCACGAGAGTAATTCATTGTTCATGCCAAAGTAAATTATAAAATTGAAGAGAATTATGGGAAAATGTAAACTTACTTTGGCTTTCACCTGATCACTTGCTATATGCCCTTGAATGTGCAAAATGTGAATTTGTGAGAAATCAGGCGATTTTTCAAATTTTGTATGTTATTGAAGTGGATGAAAATAAAAATTCGAAATAATTGTTTAGTTTTTTTTTTTTTGTTGTTGTTGTTGTTGTTGTTGTTATTATTATTGCTGTTGTTTTCCCCTATGTACTAAATGACTTTATGAGCTGAATTTCATGTGATTTTATCATTATTTAGCTTATATCGTTTGATCAATCCACGATGACGGTGCAGATTTTCATATGTTTCGGTTGTTTATATCAATAAAATATTAGGTCAGGATATATTTATCCTTGTAATAAATATCTATATTTATTTAAATAGTCAGTCAGTTTAAGCAAAACCTTACAGTGCGGTTACATTAGGTAGTGTCGGGTTTCTCAAAACGCAGGACTTTTTGGCCAGAGCTATAATTGTGATTAAATTATATTTTTTTCTATGCTAAGACACTTTAATACTATCCACAGAAATGGCCCATAACGTTATGCCCCATAAGTTACTGGGTGGTGATTATAGTAAATTCTAATATATTCTCCATTAAAATTTCATCATGGTTGTAAATATTTTTGCATTTTCCTAAAGCATACATGCGAGTATTGTTATCTCGTTTGAAAAAAGGAGTGTTTTTATACCGTATTTACATTATGACATTGACTTTTATAATTAATTTAAATTTGTAACATGAAATTCTATTTTCCTTATGTACTTTATCCTTTTAAAATATTTTTCTTCTTCGTTTAATATTCAGTCACATCAGGGGTATATATATAATATACGTTCCTGAGTGATTACGTTTTTGATATGAACCATTTAGTTGTAAAGTGTTTGAAATTTTATAAATAGGTCTTGTATTAAAATATAATTATTCATCCTTGTAATATATTTCTATTTTAGAAGTCACGCCATTGAACACCCGTATCTTTATTCACCTTTCAATACTAAGATAAATTGAAGTTTATAAATAAGCACAGTTCATATTTTAATAATTTTAATGTCATCAAGTTCAAGTAGGTCATATCTAGTCTACTGACTATATTATAATATTACACTTTTTGTGCGTCTTAATGTAAAAATGAACCTGTATATTCATGTCAATTCAGAATGATGAACTAATTTATTGATTAATGTCAGAATGGTTAAAAGTAAAGAAAAAAGGCATTAAAATTACTGTGTGGCGGCCGTGCTACGTAATATAACCAGTAGGTAGTTTAAATAAATACTTTTGCTTATTTTTGAGTCCTATGAAATCTACCCGGTTAAAAATGATGTCATCTTGGGATACCACAAAAAATAGAATCTATAAAATGGTATCTTGTCCGTATGTCTACTAAGTTTTTAAACACGAAATGGAAAACGTCCTATCTAAGATGGCGTTTTCTAATTCGGAAAATCGCTTTTCGATAACATTCTGTGTACGTTTATTATAATTTGATATGTATTGATGTGGCATATAACAGGTAAGACATTTTATCTTTTATAATTTCAGTTGGTGTTTGTTATTGGTGATTTTTTCAATTGTTACATATCATTATCATCATTAGCCCAACAAATTGTGTGCCAGGGCTTTTTATTACGGCATAGTCGCATGGGTAAATTCATTTTCCGCCTGCAGGCTAAAAGTTAAAGTCATTATAAAGTCGATAAATGAAAATTCTTCAAAATAATTCCCTTTATGCTTTACCTATAGTTGCATGTATGGGGTAAGTTATCCCTGTGTGGATCTCAATGGACTCGATTCACGCAGGCGGTTTAATGACATGTAAAAATAAGAGAGATTAGGTGTAGTAGGTGACACAAAAATCATAAACAGAGCAAAATGCGTTTTTATTCAAGAGCCAAAACTTTTACCTTTTTGATGCTTATGTAACATCTTTATGTCATGTCATATTGTTCTGAACTGGTGGGATTTAGCCAAGCAGAAAAACTAGGACGACTTCATAGAAAATATCTTAAATGGACATTGGATGTAAAAATGAGTACGAACTGTTATGCACTTTATGGTGAAACGGGACGGTTTTCGTTAATTTTAAACAGAAAAGTAAAAATAATTTAAAAAAAATTTTCAAACTATTAAATTTACATAATTTTAATCAATCCTGTAAAGTTTCATTGAAATCGCTTAAGTGGTGTCCCGAAACGGCAAGTATATACCTCATCAAAAAAGCGGATGGACAAGTCCTCATTAAATTGCTTAAGGGTGGGTGTATTATAAATAAAATGCTGAAAGGGCAGGTAGACCTAATGAAACCAATCAAGGGTGGATGGACAAGTTCTCAAAAGGCCAAGTGGATGTCATTTAACAGTAATATATAGAAGATAGACCTCATATAACTGGAATAACAAAGGGCGGATGGACCTTCTTAAACTCGCTAATATACTAGTAGGCAGGATCAACTACGAATGGCCAAAAATCATTTCAACTAGGGAGTCGGGTAACAGTTCATTTAATATATTGACGTCAGACCAGTTGCTGAGACATATACCTTGTAGTAATTTATACACACAGTACATGTATATATTTTCTTTTCTCAAAAAGCCGTTTTGTCGACATTTTTTATTGATTTGATAAGTGTGTGTTTCATAGGTAAAAGTTTATAAAATTATGGCGGGTATAGTTGGTCACAACGGGTAGTCGATCAAAAACAACTTTTTTGACAATTAGAGGTGTATTAGGTTAGATTTATTTATCAAACATTTTAAAGGGAAACCATAAAATGAATAAAATGTATGAATTAGGTAAGGACTTGAAAATTTGCCAAAAGTACACACCTTAACTTTACATCAGAATCAAATATACCACTGGGTTTCCAATGCATGTGACTATTTGGCAACCTTTCAAGCGATAAAATTGATAATGGGTAACATTGTGTAATGACACTAATCATTCGAAACTGCCTCGGCTATTATATATATACAGTTGACTCCCGGTAACTCGAAATCCAAGGGACTAGGTATTTTACTTCGAGAGAAACGGAATTCGAGTAACTTGGAACTACCGCCATTACGTTGACTTCGTACATGTACATGATTGAATATGCAAAGAAGTAGGTTTCTTATTGTTGTTAGCGGCAAGCTGCAATATTTAACCATTGAAATGACGGTAAATCACTTCCAACTACAAATTATAAATGAACAAAAATATATCATTCAAAATTTAATACATGTATATTAATAGTGAAACATAAACACACAATTATATTTGATTTAATTGATCATTGGCCGAAAACGAAATTAGCAACTATCGTGAACCGGAAGTACAAATTAATGTATGCAATATGACGGAACATTAATTATACAAATATCATTTACTTTGATAATACACATCAATACCTAGGCTGTTATTTGACTAGGCTGTTATTTGACTAACACCCGTCAGACTGGCACGAGTAAACTTTTTTAAAGAAATGTAATTAAATTTTAATTTAGTTATCTAACTGTTAAAACTAATTAAGTCGTGTAACGGATTAAAGACACTTTTACGACGTGTTAATAATACATGATGACCGGCAATTAAAAATTACTATAATATTCCTTATCCGAAGACTGACGGAAAGGGCCGAGTAGTTGCGATTGGACACTAATGGAACGTTATGGGCAAATAGTTTAACCATATGTTCAATCATAAGATTACTTTGAAAGTAATCACTGTTAAAAGCGGGTCCGGAAGTGGTTCAAATAAGCATCAATCTGTCATTATAGTGATGATGAAGCACATCCGCCCGTGTAGGATACAAAATGCAGCTTTCACTGTCGAGTACGGACCCCGAATCATGCCCTTAAAGGGTTAATTTTGAAGCATAGAGTGGTGATAATTTACCTCCATGCAATTTCCACGGAGTATCAGCTAAATATATAGATTTTGAGCCAAAAGTAGGTGACTGTACGGCGGTCAATGAGAACCTGAATGAACAGTACCTGAGACAATATAAAAAGGAGGTAGCCCTGAAAAGGGCTGTACATGACTTGTGATACCAGCAGCCTTTCAAGCCGCCACTTTTTGTGCTAGAGGCTCAAACACCCTAACAAACTTTCTTCGACGAACCTGCCTAGTTTGAAGGGCCACTTTCCTCGGCATTAGTCAGGACACCGGCGACTGGTCCGCAGGATACAATTAAGTTTCGGTTTTCTTTTTAGCCGCCCCAAGAGTTTTACAAATCTTCTCCTGTTATAATACTGATAATGCTTGTTACACTTTTAGATATGATTCACAGCCTTTTTTCACATATTTGGTTGAAACATACACCGGATAATATTTAAACTTTGGTCACTTGGGTTAGGGTCCAATACACTGATGCTTAAAATAGGTTATTACACTTTAGCTCATACAGCTTTTGCTAGAGATTACTAGGGTCACTGTTGAAAAATAAAATAGATATTTACGCTTTTACCTTATTGGCTTATGTGCATTGAATACATTGACAAATGTGCAACCTTCGCCTTCAGAGCTATTCTTGTTTTATTCGTTGTAGGCTGTTTACCAAATGGCTGACGTTAAGCAACTCACAAGTTATTTCGAAAACATTTTCGATGCTAAGGCAGAACCCTTTCCCAGGAAAACTGGCTTCAATCAGTCACTGAAAAAGGACTCTAGCAATTGGGTGCAAAATGGTGAACCAGGAAATTTTTGGAAAGGTAATGACTCGGTAGAAAAACCATTATGTGAAAAAGAAATTAAATACGTCTTTACTCGGGAGGATTACAATAAATTACCAGGTTTGTTCACAGATACAAGTAGACCGCTGGAAAATGCAAGCCAGACTTCTCATGCTAATACTAATAAGGCTACAGGGCGTCAATACCAAACAAATCAAGAGCCCGATGTTCAAAGAACGCCAAAAGAAGGGGTTCAAAACGGTTGTGTCAGAGAAAGGGGTCCCTTACCCGGTTCCAACCGTAATATAGCACACCTAGTTGGCGTAGATCAGGTGTCGGAAAATCATTCACCACGTTCATACAAAGAGCCGTTAAATGCAAGAGACGAAAGCATCACTCATGAAAAGAAGAGGCGATGGAAAAGTACGACATCCAATGGAAGCTCTGGTATTTATACCGGATCTTTCACTGATCGGAGAAGCGTGACTGGAGAAAGACTAAAAGATGAGAGTGATGTTTGCAACACACAAAGATATGTTGAGACCATACCTTACAGTGAACAAGCTCCACTCGTCAAGAAGTTCTCAAGTGGTACGTTACATGTTATATTTGATTTGTTCACTACAAATATATGTATTATTACGTTAATATGCTCATACCAAGTTACATTTAATTAAAATAATTGATTTATTAAACCTAACAATTATCATGTCAACTAAATACTACCACTATCTCAGCGGTACGAGAACTTTATTAAATTTCATATATAGAGGTATTTTCTAGTGATAAAATAGCAACTTTTAAACATAAAAACATAATTGTGATTTCACTCTTAGAATGATTGCTCCAATTGTGATGTCACGAAGTTTTTTATGTAATTATTCACAAATAACGTCAGTGATGCGAAACCTACTAAAACATTAATTCAGCTTTGTTTAAAGTTTTACTCGTAATAATATTACAAGAAATTGAACATGACTATGTATATTATTCCGTCGGATTGTATTTCCCGAGTAGAATGTATCGAGCTGTTATATTTATTTATGTCAGTATACAAATCATTGTTTCAGAACCAACCGTTTTACAACCTATAAAACAAAAAACATATTCTCAAGACAATGTAATTAACATCAACGGCAGCAATGTAGAAATCCATAATTTTGGTATGTGGTTTTATATTTTACTTTGATAATAGTTAAAGGTTATCAATGAATGTTTTTACCTTAACCTAGTGACTTTGCCAATGTAAAGTCATACGTTTACATAATTATGTAAACGTATGACTTTACATAGGCAACAAACAAACACAGATGAACTCAGAATGTTACATGCCAAAGTACTTACATAAATGTTCGGGGGGGGGGGGGTAAATTTAATATTTTCCCTCTTTACATATATTAAGTGATAGTGACTAATTTAGAGAAGAAAAAGAAAAGCAAATACATGTAATCCAAGTGTTAAAACCGCGCCATAATTATTGCTCAATCTGACAAGTCATTTATATATTAGCATCAAATTTATTTCTTTTTATTTTAATTATGTAAGTAACGCTTGCGTTTTTAATTCAGTCATACGTTTGTTTATCAATCAATGTTTATTCAGTACGGATTGTTTATTATCACACAATTTGTGGCCATATAATAATTAACTTGTTAACTTTATTACCAACCCCTTTAATAAATATCGTTACTTCACGGATAATGCTATATGTCCGTAATTTATATATACAAGAATATATATGCATATCGAAATTGTTGGTTTCAGAGTCTGGATATTCAGAAGGCTTGACAGCGAGCCAGATTTGTAAGTATACGTTTATTCCCTTAAATTCCTGTTATTTTTCTTAAAATACATTTCCCATATATGAACAATGCTTCCATTGTTAATCAGAGTTCTGTATGCATATTATTTATAAATTATCATTTCTTTTAACAGCTTAGCTTTGTTGACCGGAACATAAAATTACTGTAAACACATGTCAGAACATACTTATTTAACACTGTTTCGTGTACAATTAGTAGTTATAAAATGATCAATATATTTTGACTAACATTTCGTCCTCTATATAAATGATAAATATTTTCATTCCTTCTGTTTTTGCAGCGGTGTTTTCTTCGTCTGAGCAAGAAATCCGAGATTCAATTGCAGGTGTGTTGTTTCTGTTTATTACTCCACAAGTGTAATTGTATCATTCTTAATATTTCTTTGAGTCTTAAAATATCATGCACATGGATTTTTACAGTGCCTCCTGAATCAGTATCGATCGATATATCATTTGTTGATTTGCATGGCCCCTTTATGACGTTTAGTGCATTGGTTTACATTAACCAACGCATGATTTGTTGATTGTATCTCGCATAGTGTTTGGCATTGACCCCTTAGCGTATCCGACACATGGTTTTCTTTGCCCCGATTTTACGGTGTCAATTTTGTGCATTGTGATGGTATAGAAGTTTCCAAATATCAATACATTTTGTAATTCAGCTTTTTATTTACGTTTCTATGCAACATTAAATAATAACTTGTATATTGCCGCAAAATTTACATCAAAGTATGAATTATGTTTCTTCATAGCCCACACAAAGGTCAGTCTTGAAGAACATGAACAGTGCGTGAAAATTCCTGAGCAAAGACGACTGAAAAAAGCACGTAAGATTTTCGAGGAAGAAGGGTTTGTAATGATAATGGGAGACAATGGTTCCGGTTCTTCGCATCTTGCATGGGACGTGTTCTCGGAGTCCAATAGTAAAGAAAAGTATAACTTGATAGAACTTTCTAACTTTGAAAAATGCATTCACTCAAAAGAATATGTCACAATTCTAGTTGATGACGCATTTGGAGAAGCAAAGCTGCAAGATACCGCGTTGGACACATGTCTGAAATATGTAAAGTTGTGTAAAAGGAAGAAATCCTCAAGGAATGTGAAGATCATTTTCACCGTAAAACACCATATTGCCAGTCAATGCAAACGTCAGCTTGATGATTACAGAAAATGCATAGTGGACTTGGAGGATCCAAAGATACAGCTTGACAGTGACGAGATGTTTGAAATATCAAAGGCGATACTCGAAAATCATAAAGAAGAGTTGAAGGTCAAACTTGTTAACAGTGATGGGAAGGAAGACCGATCAGAACATTGCAAAGGATGGCATTGTATCTCAGAATCGCTTCTTTCAGATATCGCAGAAGCAGCTCATCCTTCGGGCTTTCCAAAGAAATTTAAACAGTTTCTAGACACAAGAGAAAAAATAAGACAAGGTCTGCAGTTCTTTACGCATCCACCAGAGGATCTTTTTGAAGCACTCAATTGTATGAAAAAGTCAAAAAGCCAAGATGATCGTGACAAATTTTTAACATTAAGCCTGATTGCAATATGTGGGGAGAAACTGAAGTTTGAAGATGTCGCTAGGATTGATGACTCTCGTAGTCAACGTGTCTTACCGGTAACGCACAAGAACTCAAAAAAGAGAGGAAAAGCAAAAACCAAAGCAAAATTATGCGAAGATGAGATACCGTGGTGGATAAAGATCGTTAATTTCTACGCAAAACAATGCCCTAAGTCCATGCTAGAATCGGTAAGGACGGGAGAAGAGCTTTTAAGAAACACCCATATAAAGGAAGAGGTGAAAGGAATCTATGTTTTTGCTGCCCCTTGTGTGAAAAATGCAACATTGATAGCCATCGGTCAGGACTTTCCACAATATATAATGAAACTGTCTGATATACGATTCTTCAAGGAATATATCAGCGTCGATACTAATTTCGGAGAAGATGGCAAACGATACATTAATATTGATGTTTCTGACAAATCACAATGTTCTGAGGCAAATGACAGACTGATTGAACTCTTCGAGGCCGGCGACATAGATTCGTTCGCAACCCATAAACTATTCCGACACGAAATGTTTGCTATGCAGTTTCTTGACTATTTTGGAAAAACTAAAGATTGGCTTAAGAGTTTCATTATCAGCTCCTCAAAAGAAAACGCAAAGTGCGTTCTTGATTGTGCGTTGCACGAGTCAGAATCCTTCAATAGAAGACAAAACAATTTGGCCAAGTCCGTTTTCCTTCATAAGAACTGGGGTGAGAAGAGAAAAAATTATCGCGGATGGTCTACACAAAAGGAATATGACATCATTCTGTACTGCTGCAAACATGGCGACGAAGACATGTATTTTAAACTAAGGAATAAGTACAATGTCAATATAAACTATCAATGTCTACATTTAGCAATTAAATGTGGATCATATATAATAGTTGAAGACATTTTGGAATCGATATCAGCAGATATAACGGACGACCAGAAATGCAAATGTATGGAGCTTGCCTTGCTTAAATTTGCTGAAAAGCCAATGAAGAAACGTACTAAGGTAATAAATGTCCTTCAAAGATTCGTACCAGTCGACTACAAAGTAAAAGGTGTTGATCCAGTCATCCACACTGCAACTAAAGACGGCAACGGTTTGGTTATAGTAGCTCTTGAATATTTTAAAGGAGACATTAATCTAATTAACGTACATGGAAAAACTATACTGCACGAAGCTGTTCTGAAAAACAGGGCAGCATTCCTGGACATTGCACTGAAACATGGGGCCGACCAAAAAAAGGCCGATAAACACGGGCTACTGCCAATTCACGAATGTGCAAGGCACAACAAACCATATATGTTACGTCTGCTCGTGAAATCAGACGGTGAAATCCTTTGTGCAACAGATAGCTCAGGCCGACAGCCCCTTCATCACGCAGCTATCAATAGTAGTTATGAAGCAGCCACTTGTCTGATATCACATGGTGTAGATGTAGATGTGGTTGATGATAAGAAAAGAACACCTCTACATTATGCCGCCGAATCTGGTAAAGGAACCGTCATTCACAGTCTTTTGGAAGCCAACGCAAACACAACTAAGCAAGATGGAGATGGGCAGTCTCCTTGGATAATTGCTTGTAAAAGCCAAAACATAGAAGGTATCAAACGTCTACTGGGAGATGAAAACATAGACGTGAATTCACCAATCGATAACTTGTATCCAATACACGTGGTGGCTGCTACTGGAAATTTAAGCGCATTTAAAAGATTGGTTGGAAAGGGGGCAAATATCAACGAAGTAACACTAGATACTAATGACACGGTGCTTCATATTGCCATAAAACACGGTCACGATAAACTTGTGGAAAACTTGCTAGAAATGGATGACTCATTGGTAGACTTTAAAAACAAAAGGAATGAAGTACCGCTGCATACAGCCGCGCAGTACGGGAACTTCTTTGCAACAAATGCTCTTCTCAAAGCTGGTGCCGATAGGTCGGTGATAAACAGAAAGTGTCAGAAACCATTATGCATTGCCAAGCAAAAGCTTGGAGAACAAACGAAGGAAGAAGATTACGAAAAGTACTTATCAGTTTACAGACTTTTGGATGGACACAAAACTAGACGTGAGACTGCTGTGTGAAAAAAGGCTCGAGACTCTAGTTTTTGTTTTGTTACTTTCTTCATTTTTTTATAAAATGTTTGATCGGAATCTTTTGTTGCGCAGTTCAGTTTATTATTTATTTTTCGAAATTTTTCCTTTGTTGTATTTTTTTTATTTATTATTTTAGTGTATTTATATTTATTTTGTTTTGTTTTTAACTACTAACCATACTAGTAGATTGTGGGCTAAAATGCTTATGTGTGCATGTTAAATATGAAATTAAGAAGATATTTTGAAATATTTAGGATGGAAGGCGAAATGAATATGTAGTTTTAAATGTTTGAAATTATTTTCCCAGCAATAAAAATATGTTCTCCACACCCCTTAGTATTGCTTCTCAGGTCGAAATATTTGAAAGTTGGGGTTTTACTGAGAAGCAGACACATATATAGGGGTAAGTAATTTAAAGTAACTTGCAACAAAATCATAATACCCTTTCATCTGTATCTTGTTTTTCGTTTCGTCAAGATACCATGATGGCAATAAGGGGAAAGGCAGATGTACAATTTATTAAACAATAAATCACCTTGTTAATAATTATGAAGATAAACCCTTAATCTGCTTGAATCGCAAATGATTAACCTGTGTCGCCAATATAAGTTTAACGCCAGGCCAGCCTGCAAATCCGTCCAACCAGACAAGGCTACACCTAAAATTTTGAATTAACTGCTAAAAATTGAAAGCGAGACACTTCCATTACGTGAAGTCAGCAGGTTTGGGGCTAAGCTCAATATTCATTCTTGCATTTTGTTTCGGCAAGAGGAAACGAGAGCTGCGTGCATGAATATTGTTGGAATTTACTTGGAAACCTTTAAAGCAAAAGATGCATACATAAGCCTTTTACCTATCACATTATTATATTGCATTTAATCAGTATTTATAGAACGCATTTATATACAAGTTGTATATCTTTGTTATAATGACTTCTAATGTATGTACATTGTGTAGAAAAAAGCAACAAATTGTTCTTTTGATATCTAGGTAAATGCAGTGGTGTATTACAATTGAAGAACGTCGCACTCGTTATATAATACTCCATTTACTTTTAATGCATTCATCCGAGTTAGTTCCTTCTTTTTTATTGTCATATAATTACATTGCTGGTAGTGTTTTCAGTAACCTCTAATCTGCCATATCATCACAAGTTATTTTTTCTGAACTTATTTCACCTTGCTGTTAACAAGATCACAGTACGCACATATTGTTAATAAAACTGGTATCAAGGCTCGATAAAAAACAGTAGTACGGCGGAGATGTAATAAAATAGTCAAAGTTTATTACATGGCTTTAATTAATTGTAATAAAAACAAATGCTTAATAATGCTCATAGTTTTAACTCCACTGGTAGCAACAGATCTTACCCAAGATCAACCGATGTGCCTCAATGTGATCATGGTCTGCACTGTTTGCTATTCAGTCAGTTCATATTTTGTAATTTTCCCGAAAAATTATCAGTTTTGGACGATTCTATTTATGATATTGAGGACAGTAATGTTTAATACCAATACAATGCTCGAAGCTTATAACCCATTCAAAGACGACACACTTCAATAAACCTTGAATCCATTCAAGATGTCATTCTACTCATGTAAGAAGATTCATAGAGTTTTTTTATGTAAAAGTATTCACATTTTATGTACTCAATGTTTATAATCTCTTACTAGTATTTTAAAAGCTGTTATATACATGTATTTTAATTATGTACAATATATTTTTGTTTAAAATATTTACATCTTGACTGGACACTAAAGTATTTTCTTTATTGGTATAAAATAATGCATAACTTTTTCTTTGAATTTTTCTTCGATTATAATTTACAAAAAGGTACTTTTTGATGTATACATTTTACCCATGACATTCAAGTAAATTACCAATGACAAATGTTTCTTTTTCCAGTTTATGTCATGTTCTTATTTCTGTAGTTTTTTGTTTATTAATATTTAAAATTAATACTATGTTATGTTTTTAATAAAATATTTAACAGTAGTTTATTTTTTCTCCTTTACTGAACACCAGTGGACAAATACTATTCCAATTTTTTTTTGTAAAAATATATGGTATCCCATCATGTAATACTGAATTTGAACCAACAGCAAATATATTTGGTAGTGATGTAATAAACTAGAAATGTGTCGTCACGCCACGGATGCCCCCCCCCCCCCCCCCCCAATGCAGCCAAAATTTCAGATCTATGTTATAATATTTAGTTCCAAACTTGTTTGCACAAACTATTTTTTTTTTCATTTTAAGTTCGAAGTCCTTAAAACTATTAAATGTTAACACAAACCATTTTATACAAAGTTCAAGGCACTGAAACTATTCAGTGTTAACCTTTTGTAAATTGCATATTTGTAACCAAAATAATGACTGCTGAAACTGAAAATTCAAAATTTTTCCAACATTCAAGAGAGATAACTTTGTCCAAAATCATTGAACCACAACCAAATTCAAACTTGAACTGCTTATTCCTAACACAGGCAGTGACTTGGATAGTGTATATGTACATGACCATGCCCACTTATTTTTATAAAAAATCATTTATAAAAATAAGGGGGCGTGATCATGCACATATATACTGTCCAAGCCATGCACCGACTGCCTTTGATTCCTAAGATGTATCTATATGTCAACTTTGAGATGAATGTGTACAACCATTGGGGGAGATAATGAACAGAAACTAAAAATATCTGATCTTTTTCAAAGTTCAAGAGGGATAACTGTCAGCTATCATCAAAACCATGACCAAATTCGAACTTGACCAGTGTATTCTTATGACATATCCATATGTACATGTACAACTGTTGGGGCGATAATGAACGGCAACTGAAAATTTCATATTATTTTCAAAGTGAAAGGGGCAGAACTCTGCATAGAATCATTAAACCACGACCAATTACAAACTTGACCTGCGCATTCTTTTGATGTATCCTTATGTCAGATTTTAGTTGAACAGGGTTCGTACAGACATCCAATGCCAAAATTCAAGGACTCTTAAAGCACTATTTAAGCATATTTTTTCCATTTTTCAAGCACATTTGTTACACATATTATATCGATGCAATCTTCAACTTAAGAAGTATAGTTTTTTTGTCATTTTTTGTTGAATGCACATTTTCTGGCCATAATTTTAATGATTTCGTAGAACAATAACAAAGGGCCCGTCAAATACAGATTAGTTTAAAACAACTACAACTACAATTTGTCCTGACTTACTATTACGTCGAGCAAACATTTTCTTGATTTTGATCCTTAATTGGATCATTCTTTTGATTTTGTTAACTGTTGATTTTTATCAACACAATGTCATTCAATCATTTTCAGCAAATTTAAGCACTTTTCAAGAGAGTAAGCAAATTCAAGGACTTTTAAGCACTTTTTACATTTTTAAGCATTTTTTAAGAAAGGGATTCAAATTTAAGCACTTTTTAAGACTGTACGAACCCTGTTGAATGTGTGCAATCCTTACCAAGATAATGAACAGAAACTGATGATGAGGGAACAGGGTAACACTATGTGCCCCTGCCATTTTATGGCGGGGGCATAAAAAGTTGCATTTGACATGCAAGTCCAATCCACTGCTGTGACCTTTTGACATGGGTCTTGCACAAAACAGTCATTTATTTTGTACCAATTTTATAAAAGTACAAAATCTGTTTTTTTATTGTGTTCACTGTGTTGTCAAGTCCTTTATGTGATCATTTCTGATTTCATTGGAATCTTAAACTCTACCCTTAATAATTTGGTCATATTTGTTTGTTTTGGGTTTTTACGTCACATCGACACAGTATAGATCATATCGCGATGTTCCAGCTTTACTGGTGGAGGAAGACCTCGGGTGCCCTTCCGTGCATATTTCAGACACGAACGGGCACCAGTGTAGAACCACCGACATTCCACAACAGTTATTAATTTAGGGAAAAAAACTATATAATAACTATTATTGGATTTCACCATTTTCATAAAAGGAATTATCCTCTTCTTAAACAGTTATATAAGTTATTAGGTTTATTCTCAGATTTAAACACCTTTTTTATCTCAACGGCTGATCCATCAACCTGGCTAACTAACCAGTACTTACAAATTTTTCCACAAGTGTCGACTACTAATCTTTAATTTCTGAATGGCAATGAAAGAACAGTTAGTCCAATGTTCGAGATAGATTTTCTAGTGAAGGGGATAGAAAATATTCCCAAAAGTGCAAGTTTTCAGCTTACAGTTCCAGCAATATCTTATTTTCTCAAAATTAATGAATTGGTGAGCAAAATGATAGATATTCTATTAGAGAATTTATGCATTGGTTTCCAAATTTCCATCTGTGTAACATGCCACAACATAACTCGTGTCTATAAGCTTAAAGCTTCCTACACATTGGAACTAAAGTAAAGTTCTGTATAAACTAAAATAGAAAGGCTGAAGTTCTTTGCTTTTTTTATTGACAGAATGTATGTACAGTTTACTTCTTCTTTGACACACCGACAGTTTTACCAGTATGACCAGTTGTTTTAGTATGCTGACCTCTTACACGGAGACTGAAAAATATGAAAAAGTTCAATTATTTTATTACATTTAAAAGCTGATGAAATTATCATAATCAAATCAATTATATAGCTTGGGTCATTATTCAAGCTCGTTATTGCTGAAATTGAACATTGGCAATGGGATATCGATATATCCTTCATATTCAGTATCAATTCACAATTAAGAATATCAATACAATTTAAAACCTATCTTTCCCCGTCTTGCGAGAATATTTTCCCATGAAGAAATCTCTCTTTTTTGTCACTCTTTTTTGTTATTTAATTTTCAGAAGTCGGTGAGAAATAATAACCTAGTAGCAAACTTTCTTTTAGCATGCATAACACCATGTTATAAAGTAACAGTTAAAATATTTAACCTTTTCAAAAGTATGAGGTATTTGATTCCACAATGTCCTCAGTATTCAAAATTTTCCATCAATAACAACCCTAATAGAAGCAAAACATTTGCACCACATACACAACAAAATGGCTTACAAAGAAATAACTATTTATAATCAATAGCAAATGATATTGACAATCATTTACTGCTCAATAGAAATCATTCCTTATTCTTATGGTCTTAAATGGCTTCATTGAAAACTTTCATTCTGGTTTCCGTTGTTATCCAAATATAGCATAAAGGAAGTAATCATAAAATTGCTAACAAAGAATGACTTATTTGCATTCTGAAGGATAAACAAACTACTATAACATACCCCCAGTAATGTCTAAGACCTCTGTGTGTTCTAATTTTCTTCAGTCTCTCCAAATCTTCACGAAGTTTGTTGTCAAGGCCATTTGACATTACCTGAAAGGATACACACATGTTTTACTTGGTTAACAAGCAATTATCATAGTATTGCAAGCAATCCATAAGTCCCCTACCGGTTAGAACCCCAGCAACATTCTGATGGGCCATTGGCCATTCAATTTTACCAGTGATATTTTCATATTGTCATATTATTACGATGTGGGATTTTAAAGTAAATCCTATAAGGAATGAAGAAGTTGGAGTGAAAAATACCAATTTCTCGAAAAAATCTAAGTTCAAGGGGGACATAATTCTGGAAATAGTCTTGCTAGAGTATTTAACCTTCTCAAAAATGTTGAGTGATAATAAGAAACATATATATGAAGTTTGAAGTAGATACATTAGGAAATAAAGAAGTTATTTAAAAAAGACAACATTTTTTTTGATAAAAATTCTTAGTTCAAGGGAGGTAATACTGATAATTTTTGTGCTAGAGTTGTAAACCTGGTCACATATGTTGTGGTTGATGACCAGAATGTTATATTTAAAGTTTGAAGTAAACACCTTAAGAAAAAAAGAACTTATAGTGAAAAAGCAGAAAAATTCAAATCAGAAATCTTGAAATTCAGGCTATTTGTTGCCATAGCAACCAGATTTTTCAACATAGGAAGAAAAGAAAAATATGTGCATAATTTCCAGACTGCCATCTACCCATATTTCCAGTTTCATAAAAATATTTTCAGTACTTTTTGAGTTATCACTGGGTCCAGTTTATGTGTTAAATTTGCCATATTTTCAGACTATTTGTTGCCATAGCAACCAGAATTTTCAACATAGGAAGAAAAGAAAAAGATGTGCATAATCTCCAGACTGCCATCTTCACATATTTGAAGTTTCATAAAAATATTTTCAGTACTTTTTGAGTTATCATTGGATCCAGTTTATGTGTTAAATTTGCCATATTTTCAGACTATTTGTTGCCATAGCAACCAGAATTTTCAACATAGGAAGAAAAAAAAGACGTGCATAATCTCCATACTGCCATCTATCCATATATCAAGTTTCATAAAAATATTTTCAGTACTTTTTGCGTTATCGCGGGATCCAGATTTGTGGACAGACGGACTGACAGACAGACGGTCGGAGGGTAAACCTAAAGTCCCCTCCGGTTAAACCGGTAGGGGACTAATAACTTAAGATCACAAATTTTAATTTTTTGGTTTCGCCTAGAGTCACACATGCACTGTTAAGGTTATATGGAAATCCTCTATTCAGGCAGAAACTGGCACCTGTGTAGAACCACCGACCTTCCGCAAGCTAGATTCCTTACATTTTAAGTCCCAGAATAGACTTAAATCAGCAATGGAAAGAGGCCAGCAGGTTGAAGTCGCTGACCTTAAATGCTAGCCACACATGCCGACAAAAAAGTCTAAAACATAAATATTAGTCTTACAAATACATATTATGTAAAACAAGACGTGACTGACAAGTCAGCAGTAAAACTGGAACCTTGTTTACGCCAGAAGTTTATTAAATGGGTGATTTTCCTTCCGATTTTTTTTTTGTTTTAAAGGGGATTTTTTTCTCAGAAAGAAGAAAAAACATACTACTTTAGGAGGGGAACGGGGCCATTGATATTCTGCCCCAAAATCAACTTTCATAATTTATGCAATTTTACGATCTGATGATGGAGCATGTTGGCTTTCACAAAGCTGACAAGTAATTGCCTACCAACTAAACTACATGTAATGGCCTGGTAAGACAAGACATTATATAATATTACAAATACAGACCTGTGAAAATTTACCATCCTTTACATCTTTCTGTCTGTTGAGGAACCAGTCTGGTATCTTGTACTGACGAGGATTCTGGAGAATTGTCATAACCCTCTCAATCTGAAAGTGAAACTCATCAGTTATGTACATTGAAGTGACATTATGCTCATATTTCAGTTGTCATGTTGAGCTTAATTAGCTACATATTTAAAACGATTGTATATTACATTTGATTGACCAATACTTAATGACAAATGCTTGGGATAAAATATTTGAATTTAACTTCATTAAATTTTGTCTTTGTCAGCCATGTTCGATTTTCACTAAGTGGATGCAAAGTGAAAGAAGGCCTTTCTTTAAACTATGAATGTCAAAATCCAGTTTCAAGTGCTTTGCATTTTTTTGTTGGGTTACATGTCACACAAACACAGAAAAGGTCATATGGCAACTTTCCAGCTTTACTGATGGAGAAAAAACCTCAGTGCCCCTCTGTGCTTTAAATTAAATCACAAACAGGCACCAAAGTAGAACCATCTCCTTTACGTAAGCTAGCTGGATAGCTGTCTCATAACAATTCTGAAGAGACATGGGCAGCTCAAACCAACAGTGGTGACAGGCAAGTGGTTTGAAGTTTGACACTTAAGTCATAACTTGCAAGAATTCAAATTGTTTGTAGAATTAAGACTTAAATATGTTCAATTGTGTTTTTATTTTTCAAATGCCCTTGTCAGGCAAGCTACCTTAAGAAACAAGCAAATTCGTTGAATTTATATACCCCGCCGAGTACTGCTTATTATTAACACAACAACTGAAGACATAAGGCTTTATTTATATATTAATCATGGCATAAACAGTAATATTCTTTTAACTTGATAAATATTTAGGGCAATAACAGAGCCATAACTTTGTGTTAAATAGTAAAATCTGGAAATGCCAATGAGATGTATGCATACTACATAACTAATCAAGGGCCATAAATCTGAGTTATAAGTATCTGACTAGAACAAGGCGACGATATGCACATCTCCTCTTAGTATCCCATAAAGTTTCATTGAATTCCAGCCAGTAATAGCAGAGAAGTAGCGAGGAAACAAATATTTTTCTATATGGATACTGCATAACTAATCAAGGGCCATAACTCTGGGTTAAAGTGTCTGACCGGAACAAGCTGACGATATGCGCATCTCCTCTTGGTATTGAAGGTTCCCATAAAGTTTCGTTGAATTCCAGCCAGTAGTTGCAGAGAAGTAGTGCGGAAACGATTTTTACTCTATATGCATACTACATAACTAATCAAGGGCCATAACTCTGAGTTAAAGGGCCTGACCTGAACAAGCCGACGATATGGGCATCTCCTCTCGATATTAATGATTCCCATAAAGTTTTGTTGAATTCCAGCCAGTAGTTGCAGAGAACTACTCCGGAAACGATTTTTACTCCATATGCATATTGCATAACTAATCAAGGGCCATAACTCTGAGTTAAAGTGTCTGACCCAAACAAGCCGACGATATGCGCATCTCCTCTTGGTATTGATGATTCCCATAAAGTTTCGTTGAATTCCAGCCAGTAGTAGCAGAGAAGTAGTGCGGAAACGATTTTTACTCTATATGCATACTACATAACTAATCAAGGGCCATAACTCTGAGGTAAAGTGTCTGACCGGAACAAGCCGACGATATGCGCATCTCCTCTTGATATTGATGATTCCCATAAAGTTTCGTTGAATTCCAGCCGGTAGTTGCAGAGAACTACTACGGAAACGATTTGTACTCTATATGCATACTACATAACTAATCAAGGGCCATAACTCTGAGTTGAAGGGTCGGACCGAAACAAGCCGACAATATGCACATCTCCTCTTGACATTGATGATTCCCATAAAGTTTTGTTGAATTCAAGCCAGTAGTTGCAGAGAACTACTCCGGAAACGAAATTCGGACGGACGGATGGACAACGCCAAAACTATATCCCCCTCCCGATTCCATCGGCGGGGGATAATTAACTTGCCCTGACACAACTTTTAGTTATCCCAGGCAGTCCAACAACAATTAATGTCGAGCCCTGAAAAGAGGGAATGTTTTTTTTAAGAATATTGAATTACCTCCTCTTCAGTAAGTTCACCAGCTCTCTTGGATAGATCTACATCTGCCTTCTTGCAAACAAGGTTGGCATAACGGCGACCAACACCCTGAAAAAAAAACAAAGTTTCGAGTATTTACATGTAAGTATACTTATATCATAGTTTGGAGACTTTTCCAATGAAAATGTGTCAGAGTTAAATCGTATACCCATACAGGCATGTTAACTTGAGTGCGCAACTGTAAGCTACCCCACTCCGGTTACTGTAATATACATAGAGCATGTACATTTTTACGGGGGTTTACTTATGATAACAAGGAAATGGTTAATAACAGAAAAATCATATTTAGATGCTCGTACATAAATTATTTTTTGTTTGGGGTCAACATGGAGTGTTTATATTTTTGCCTATGATATTATGAACACCACAACAAATTTGGTAATTATTATATATCTGACTTTTGCAGACAGAAGAAATAAGTGAACACGATCACATGTTCACTATTATCAGACTCAGCTCTGTACTGTGTTCACTGTCTAACATCTCATTTATTTTTCAATTTTAAATATTATTTGTAAAGAACTTATACTATTTCAAAAGTTACAAAATCATAAAACACTTTATATGAATTGTAAACAACTGAACACACCTTGATAGCCGTGAGAGCAAACATAATGTTACGTCTTCCATCAATATTTGTGTTTAAAACACGAAGAATGTGCTGGAACTTCTCTGGTATCACCAACGACTGAAATATTAATTTATACTTTTTTTAAAGCAAAAAAATAATATAACATGTATAAAAGCAGACATCTTTTAAACACTGGAAATAAGGAAACGAACAAACATACTTCTGACAACCAAATAAATACCATGTTTAAATCATAATTATCATTATTATGCAATTATCATGAAATTTTTTTTCCATATCAACATGTTAAAATACAAAATAAGAGTTAAAAAAAATCTTACACCAGTTGGTTCATATCACTGTAATCATCATTAAAGACAGGCAAAAATAAAATACCATTTCACAATGATCATAAAGACAAAATGGATGTGTTTCCCGGACTGGATGAAAATACAGTTTGTTTGATTAGGTTTTACGTCACATCTATACAGTATACAGGTCATACTGTGACGTTCCAGCTTTACTGGTGGAGGAAGACCTCAGATGCCCCTCTGTGCAATATTTCAGGCAGAAACGGGCACTTGAATAGAACCACCGACATTCCATAAGCTAGCTGGATAGCTTTCTCCCATGAAAGAATCCAAGTCACTGTCGGGATTCAAACCCACAGAGGTGAGGGGCAAGTGGTTTGAAGTCAACGATGCAAAACAATGTTAATTTAGCCATTTTTAAACCACTAGTTTGGGGTAATTTAATGTCCGATTTTAAAATTTATTACACCAATGAAAAGCTTGTGATCTTAGCTTCGTCTCAGTATATATTTCAACAAATTGTTTGACACTGAAGGTATTTAAATTTACAGTTAAACCTTCCACAAGTCAGACCATTTTACATATGTTTAATACAGTGAGATACGCAATCAGTTATCTTTACTTGCAATTCTACTGATAAGAAAAGCCTGTCGTCTGCTAGTTCGGAAACTGTCAATCCATGTATTCCATTGAATTTGTAAATTCTTTGCAATAAAATAATGTCAATGACAATGACCTATATGTATTATTTTTTTTAATGAAAATTAATTATTGCATTTTGTTTGGCTTTACGGCACACCAACAAACTATTAAGGCATATGGTACCTGAACAGGAAAGATCACCTGGCTAACCTCAGGCATAACAAACTTAAAGCAACACCAGTGCCAGATCGAAACTACCTAACCTGCTGAGGCTAAGAAATGCATAGACTCTGGTAATTCAAACAATCAAACTACTCTATCACACAGTGATACACGGTATCTGCAATTTTCATGCCTCAATCTTGCATCCCCTCAGCCACAAGGGAGTTTTTAAGAGAGTATAAAGCCCGATGTAGAAGGGTATGAACATCTTATATACATCATTACATGTACTCCTGGTATATTTCCTGGGATCGTTTCCTGGATAAGGCCCAAATAACAAGTATTTTAACTATTTTCTTATAATAACCACTGTGCATTATGCCGCATACCCTCAGATTATAATTATATCCGGCAGTATCCAAGAAAACTTACCTACACTACTTCTCAATGCAAAATAATACTAATTAAGGGCGTGCGGAACGTCATAAATGTGATAATTCATACAGTGATATAATACATCATAATAAATTTAACTATTTTGGACCGATTAGTCAGTTAACAAGTGTGATACAATGGATTTGATGTAGTGTTATTATTACTGACATACCATTTTGGTGGTTCAGCGGAAAAGGAAGTTTGTTGTATACTGGTCCCTTACATTTGAGCATGTTTGCGGCTTCTGAAGTAAAGAATTTTCAAGCCGGGATACAGCCTAACAAAATGGAGCCGGACAGCTGTCATCGAACCAGAGTAAATATTTTTATTTTGCCAGAATCACGAAATCATAATGAAATTGATTGTTTTTGCAAACATTTTTCATGATTACTTTTTCGAAAATAAAATTTGCTTTTAAAAAAGATAAAGATGTTTTTACTGGGTGATGCTAATGTGAATTGTTCTCCAACCACCTTGATTCGTCCTCATTTAGTTTCGTACCTAGGCTTGTTTTTATGTTTGCTATTTGATGATGCCCAAAGGGACATTTTTAATTTGATTTAAACTGGTCTATTTTGGTTAATACAATGCCATTTATTTCTGTTTAGAAATCCAGAAACAGAGGAAAATGTTTTTTTATTTGTTTACTTATGTTTTCATGGAAGTGGCTAGCTGTACAGACCCGTATGTCTAGCCAAAATGCTAGCCGTACGCGAGTCAAGTACGGCTAGCCAGGGCAAACTTTATTGTCTAGGCGTAGGGCAATTTTAAAAATTATATAAAAGTCGAAAATGCATAATATTGTAGATCTATGTCTTTAAACAAGGATTTTAACCCTTTCCCACATGAGCATATTGTGAAAAATGGCCGTTTTCAGTGAAAAGCCTCCTGTTACAAGTTCAAACTGCTATGAAACTATGTAAAATGCTTCAATACTAATCAAACTTGGCACAAATGTTGACTGGACCATTGCCTATTAAGGACATGCTCAGTCTTAAATTTCCTGTTACCATGGCAACGAGGGGACATCTCAAAATTGCCAAAAATCACTATTTTGCCTCGATTTTTTCCATCAAAATTAATTTCAAAGAGCTGCAACTTCTCAAGGGATTGAGATAGAGTCAAGGCTTTTCAGCGTTGGTTACACGTTACCTTATGATCGACCTGGGGTCATTTTCAGCCTCTCACAAGTCCAAAATTTTCTTGGCGATGAGGGGGACTACTGCCCCTCTTCAAACACCCCAAACAGAAGGGGGCACATCCCCCTTCTGGCAACCACCTGATCATGTGATGTACCATCTTGATAGGGGGCGGCGCCGAAAAAATTGATAACTTTTTTTAGCAACAGTTACTTTTCCCAAATGAAAAACAGTTTTTGGGGTCTAAATAATTTTTAACTGTTTGATGCCTCGAAAGGGATGGGGGTGTCAAAAAGCCGTTAAAACACGTCTGTATGAGGTAAAGGGTTAAAGACAAAAAATAACATATGCATTTTTTTTACTTTCATATAATTCTGAAAAGTGCTGTACAGCTAGACAATGCTGTGTGTTCTGGCTAGCCATACATGACTCAAGTACGGCTAGAACTTTTGGCGAGTCATACAGGCCCGTACGGCTAGCTACTCTCTATTTTCATAGCTGTTACTTTAGACCCTTTACAAACATAAGCAGAGATTTACGCTGTATTTTACCAAATTATCACTGAAATGATGATCACCGAAAGAATTTTGAGCATATTATGTTATACCCTCTGGCATCCGTCTGTCAGTCTGTCTGTTAACAATTTGGTTTCCGGAGCATATCTTAAGTTCCATTTGGCCCACAGTGTTCAAACTTCATAGGATGATTGTCCATATTGGGTTGAAGACCCCTATTAATTTTGGGGTCACAAGGTCAAAGGTCAAGGTCACTATTACCTTAAAACTGAAAACAGTTTCCGGAGCATAACTTAAGTTCCATTCAGCCCACAGTGTTCAAACTTCATAGGATGATTGTCCATATTTGGGAGAAGACCCCTATTGATTTTGGGGTCACAAGGTTAAAGGTCATGGTCATTATTACCTTAAAACTGAAAACAGTTTCCGGAACATAACTTGAAATTCATTTGGCCCACAGTGTTCAAACTTCATAGGATAATTGTCCATATTGGGTAGAAGACCCCTATTGATTTTGGGGTCACAAGGTCAAAAGTCAAGGTCATTATAACCTTAAAATTGAAAACAGTTTTTGGAGCATAACTTAAGTTCCATTTGGCCCACAATATTCAAACTTCCTAGGATGATTGTCCATATTGGGTAGAAGACCCCTATAGATTTTGGGGTCACAAGGTCAAAGATCAAGTTACTATTACTTTCAAACTGAAAACAGTTTCCAGAACATAGCTGAAGTTCCATTTGGCCCACAGTGTTCAAACTTCAAAGGATGATTGTCCATTTTAGTTAGAAGACCCCTATTGATTTTGGGGTTACAAGGTCAAGGTCACTATTACTTTCAAACTGAAAACAGTTTCCCGGAGCATAACTTAAGTTCCATTTGGCCCAAAGTGTTCAAACTTCATAGGAGGATTGCTATTTGAAGGACCTAATACTTTTTAATTCCCATGTCTTACAAATGCTTCATCCTTACTTAAAAAAAAAACACATTTGGGCATATAATGCTCCGCCTAGCGGTGCTCTCATTAATTATTTTGGATTCTATTTTATGTGCATTAATTACAGGAGGTTGAAGGGATAGCTCTCAATCTAGGAGAACTTGATTTAACATCAGATGACTTCCTACTAGAAGAGGTGGATGGTGAGTATTAACCTTTAACTTAAACATGCTTAGGAGATGTGTTACATAAGTATTTGATACTTGTTTTTATATCCAATTCCAAAATGTATAAGAAATATATTGTGACAGTGTTTGTTCTTTTTTTTCCCATAATATGTTAATATATATTTTATTTTGGTTGTGTAAACTTTTTAATTAAAGTCATGCCTGTGCTGTTATGTCATATTGTGACCATCTAGCTTTACAAATGAAGGAAGACCTTGCACCACTCTATGTATACTATTTCAAGCAAGGCTGGGGAAATGAGAGGAACTGCTGGCTTATGTAAACTACATGTTAATGGATATCGTTCAATTGTGAAAGTCACTAGTGAGATTTAAGCTCACAGGAATGAGCCACTGAGGCTTGCTGCTTGCAAGTAATCAGTATTTCAGTGATTGTTACCACTTAGACAAAAATCAAGGTTCCACTATTAAGGTCTGAAAATTTTAGCCTCAGAATAATGTTAAATCAGGAGGGGATTGCTTTTTTGGAGTTATATATCTGTTTTGTCTTAAATGTCCAATATGCCTCAGATACGGTTTTATTTTTATTTCTCAAAGGCTTTTCTTTTGGTGTCCTGTTATAGTTTCTGAAAAGATGTTCATTGGTTAATTAACTGTACCATCTTTTGCTTCTATTGCTTTCTGACAATTAGTACAATTATAGTGATTTAAGTAATTTTTATGGAAGTCAAAATACTATTTTGTTTACATTTTGCTACTCTTAGTATTGACATAAATTTTCACAATCAATGCTAATTTCTTACAATAATAAACATTTACCTAGCATTTAAATGGTAATATAATCATTTTTTGTCCTTTCTGAAGAAGGAAAAGATACTCTTTTCTGAGGCATAATGTACTTTTAAAGCATTCTCTGTTGCTCAAATCATTCTCTATATGTTGCTGCATACATGTACATCATTCATTTTGTGTGTATGACTACCTCCTTATAAGTAATGTATTGAAGCATCAACTATAAAATATAAATAAAGGGCAAAGATAATTGGTAAAAGTGCTGATCAATGTCACAAGTGCCCAGTGGTAAAAATACACTATGTTTTATTATTTTATGGTTCATGTATTCTTTCTTTATTTCAAAATAAATATTAAGTGATGTACTTTTTAGCCTGACAAATGGAGCTTAGAAATTTTAGAAAAATGCATCATCGTTTGATGAATTCAATGAAAATATGTAAGTGATACATGTACATATAAACATAGTTATTGTTTTATTCTTCTACAGTTCATATTCAAGAAAATTTAGAAGATGAGTTTGTAAAGGAAGCATTAAAGACTGTAAGTATTAATTAATAAAGAAATAATATATCCAAAACTGTGATGTTATTGCTCAAGAAAATCACTGTTTGGGGTTCGAGTGCGAGGAATTATATCACGAGGGCACAGCCGGAGTGATATAATGATGCGCATCCGAACAACAAACAGTGATTTTATCAAGTGATAAAAATCACCGATTTGGATATATTATTTCAATTCTAACATGACATCATCAAGTAAATGCTGCCGTACCTGGGGTGCGTTTCACTAACATACTGACGTTATTGTAACTCGAGTTTGAACCTAATGCGGGTCGTGTTAGAATTAATTATAAACAATATATTTTGTTCACCTTTAATATGTTTGAAAAAAATATTGGTAAAATGTGACCTATCTGTGACATAAAATGATTTTTCAATTTGTTACTCTATGCATCATTCATTGTGTGTGTGTGTGTTTGACTGTTTTCTTCATCAACTATAAAATACAAAATAGTTAATGACAACAAACTTAATACCTGGTAAGTGATAGCACAAGCTGATGAAATACAATGTAATGTCATAATGAGGTTGTCTATGAATAAATTTTCATCATTTTTGGATGATGTAAAACAGTATACTTACCAATGCGGCCGCCCTATCTCCTTACCCTTCAACCCCCCTCCATCCCCAAAATACAGTCTAATTTATACTTGATATTAAACCCTGTTAAGCTCGAACTTACGCTCTTTGAAAACAAAAATTGTGAGTACCTCAGAGTTAGAGCAAATGAGGTTGGGCTTTACACTCTCTTGACCTTTGACTGGCATTATTGGATGAATTATTCAGGTGCTCTAAGTTTAATCTCCCTTTAGACTCAAAAAACATTTTTTTTTACAAATAACATATAAATGAATATTTTATATTCTGTGTATTTCAGGGAGTTGATCTACGACAATATTCTAAACAGATAGAGTCAGAATTACTTCAGGTAGAAAATGCTTCGATACAGGACTGTATCCTTAAATATATTATATACATGTACTTGCATTCAAACATGACAAATGTTCCTTCTGCAGTGTTGAAATAAAGAAAATTGATTAAAAGAATTCGGTGGATGATATGTACAAGCATTGAAAGCGATATCGAAATCATGGAAACTAAGGAGTTTGTTGTTATTTCTTGAATGTTAATTTTATTGTATATTAAATATGATGGAAAAGTATTCAGCAACTCGTGAATTAAAATAATTCATCTTATTAAAGAAGATCAAGTTAGTTAAGGGATTGATATAAATTTTATTGTTTTGCATGTTTTGAAATCAAGACATGACTTGATATTTTCAGGAAAAATATATTTATATCTGAGTGGCTAAATCATAATGCAGATTGGTGGTAGCATTTATTTCACACTCAACATCTATTGACAGAAAAAAAGGGTCATAAAAATTCTTTTTTTTATTTGGTCTTACAAAGATTTGTTGTATTTATAAAACGCTCCATTGTGAGCTTTTGAAAATAATTGCAGTTGAGGATGGGGATTTATCTATGCGTATTTTATGTATCTCATAACATGGACTTTTAATGAATTTTTCCCCTTTGGTAAGTACATAATAAATAATATGCTGTCTGACTGACAGCTCTTGTCCTATTGATTTGATTCTTTTAAAGATATCATTAATGTACAGTATATAGGAGAATATCAATCTTTAACATAACAACCAGATATCAAGGAGAGTGAGAATATTGCCAGCCTCCATAAACAGATAGCAGCTTGTGATACCATACTAGAGGTAATTCAGCATTTTTATTTTCTTTCACTTACAATACTTCGCTGAGGTTGTGTGTATAAAGTCAATCCTATAAATATGGTTGAAAATTCCATCTACAAGACAACCAACTAAGACAGGATGGTCGGTCAGGACCTCCATGTCATCTACTGGACGGTCAGTCAAGATCTCCATGTCAGTGTGGTCAAAGTTGCTGACTTGACTTCACTTTTCCCTGCCAGTTATGTGTTTGAGTCCCACCAAAGCCTTGATTCTTTCACATAAGGCAACTATTCAACTTACATACTGATGGTCAGTGGTTCTACTTAGATGCTTGCTTCTACCTGAAATAATAATATAAAAAAACATAAGATCCTTCTATTGATTTGCTGGTCAAAGGTCATATTTTTAGAAACTGTTAATTTAACAGTTTTTTCTCTTGATAATATTGCAGTGGATTTCATGCTATATCTACCAAGCTTAAGATAGATCCACAGGCAAGGTGAAATTTCTTTGTGACAATTAACAACAGACATGGAGTATATTGACCATTGGAACCGCCTCCATCGTCGAGGGGTTAGAGTCGATATCTTCTAATCCAGTTACCTCTCTGGCGTGGGTTCAATCCCCGGGAGATGCTTTAGTTGTTTAGTGCGGAGGAAGGTAGTCTAGTACCTGTGTAACTCTCTAGGAAACTATACCCGCCTATATGACTGAAATACTGTTGGGAAAAGGCGTAAAATGAAACAAACAAACAAACAATATTGGCCAATGTCTCTCATTGCTGAAACAGAAATTATCTAGGATTAGTAGTGGGTCTTTTGTTTAGAAATTGGTAATCACTTGCTAGTTATCCAGAACAGCCGCTTAACCCTTTCCCTCATGAGCATATTGTGAAAAATGGCCGTTTTCACTGAAAAGCCTCCTGTTACAAATTCAAACTGCTATGAAACTATGAAAAATGCTTAAATACTAATCAAACTTGGCACAAATGTTTATTGACCCATTGCCTTTGTAACGACATGCTCAGTCTTAAATTTCCTGTTACCATGGCAACGAGGGGACATCTCAAAATTGCTAAAAATCACTATTTTGCCTCGATTATTTCCATCAAAATTTATTTCAAAGTGCTGCAACTTCTCAAGGGATTGAGATAGAGTCAAAGGCTTTTCAGGGTTGGTTACACGTTACCTTATGATGGACCTGGGGTCATTTATAGCCTCTTACAAGTCCCCTTCTGGCAACCCCCTCATGTATCTTTTGGATGGGGGGCGGCGCCAAAAAAGTGCTCACTTTTTTTAGCAAAATTTCTCAAACGAAAACATGTGTTTGGGGCCCAAATATGACATTTTTATACTATTTGAGGCCTAAAAAGGGGGGGGGGGTCGAAAGTGTGTTGTTTCACATATATATGAGGTAAAGGGTTAAGTGATCGCAGAGAAAATGTGTTAATGTGGTAGCAGAATGAACAAAACCTCTTGTTCAGGAATAGAACTTCCTCTTGTTTGGGAATAGAACTTCATGGTTGTTAGAAAAGAAATTGGGTGATGGTCAAGATTACTAAAATACTTATCCAGCTAAATATAACTTATAGTCCTTTTAAATAAATTCTTATTGAATTTTAACCCTATTAATCTATGTGTAGGTGTTCTACATTGTGCAAAATGAGGAAAAAGCGCCTATTTTTAAACTAAAAATCTTTTCAAATTTTATTTTGAACTATATCTCTGTAGACAATCAGTAACAATTTGACTTCTCTTGAATTTGTTTGCCCATATGTTTTTCAAATGGCTAGTTTATATAAACATATGTAAAAGAATAAATAGATTTAATCTCTGCATAGTGGCCCTCTGTAACTAAAGCAATAGCCTCTTTACAACAGCAGTATGAAATAAATTGCACCTTTTTTAGCAACAACCAGATTTTTTTGTCTTCCTCTTTAGAGGTTGTACTATATACATGTATGGTAATATTTGATGGACTGGTTTATATTTTAGAGGATGGAGGAGATGTTGAATGGTTTCCAGTCTGATCTTAGCAGTATAAGTACTGAGATACAGTCACTACAAGAACAAAGTATAGCCATGAATGTCAAGTTGAAGAATAGACAGGTATCTTGATAATATCATATCGTGCCATGACAAAACCAACATAGTGCATTTGCGACCAGCATGGATCCAGACCAGTCTGCACATCCGTGCAGTCTAATCAGGATCCATGCTGTTCGCTATCAGTTTCTCTGCTTGTTATAGGGTTTGTAAGTGAACAGCATGGATCCTGATCAGACTGCGTGGATGCACAGGCTGGTCTCGATCCATACTGGTCGCAAACGCTCTTGATTGGTTTTGTCATGGCACAGCTCATTAATTTATACATTATGACACTGATTTATATTTATACTGTACTGAAGTTACTGAAATTTGTTTCTGGATGCATGAAAAATATTAGAATTTATTAAAATGACATAATACTCATATTTTCACTGTTTAACTGAGATAATTTAGTTGTATATTTCAAAAGATTGACTATTTAAGTTAAGATTGAACAATAATTGATAAACACGAATGTTTAGGATATAAATATATATATTATGCATGTATAATCCTCCAATTAATGTTATAATCTTTAGCATGCACAATATCAATGTACTGAAAATTGTGAAATTCATTTTTTTTGTGCAAGATAGTATTGAAATTTAATAGAAACTACTGAAAATATCTTAAATAAACTTTTCCATCTTTCAATCATATTTCAAGATAACTACTGACTGAATAGTGAACAGTGTAGACCCTAATGAGATGGCATAGCTGTTGTCTTGGTCTGCACTCGTTGCATGGGTACATTCAATCATGGCCAGCAGGATAAAAGTTCAAAATTTATGTAGTTTTAGTTTTGGTAAAAATGTTTTTGCTAAAATGTGTTTCAATGTTTCAGTCAATACGTGGGGAGCTCAGTCAGTTTGTAGATGAAATGGTTATACCAGAATCAATGATCAAGTAAGTACATTAAACTATTTATTATTTATTTATATATTATAGAGTTGCAAAGTAAGTCTTATTTTATATGAAATAAGTATTAATCAACAAAGACTGAGTGAGCCGCGTCACAACAAAACCAACGTAATGCGTTTGCGACCAGCATGGATCCAGACCAGCCTGCGCATCTTGGCAGTCTGATCAGGATCCATGCTGTTCGCTTACAAACCCTATTACAAGTAGAGAAACTGATAGCTAACAGCATGGATCCTGATCAGACTGTGCAGATGCGCATGCTCGTCTGAATACTTGTATACGGTTTTGATTCACAGTATGTAAAGTCCGTGAAAAAGAAAATCAGTAGTAGATACTGGTATATTGCTAAAATACAGTCCGACCCCAGTTATTCGACAACCCTTTATTGGAATACCCGGCATTATCCGAAGTAGATCGGTGATCCTGTTTTTATCTCTATATAAGTCTATGTAAATACGAATGTATTATTCAAAATGCATTATCCAAATACCTCCTATTTTTATAACTAAAATTTCGGTCCCGTTTATACAGTTATGAAAGAATTTCACACCTATTATTGTCGCTATGATTGGCGTATGGCCAAAGTTGAATAGTTGTCTTCTGTCACAATATCTGAATTTCGATTATTCAAACCCATTGATTATTGGAAGTAAATTTTCAATCCCACGCAATTCAAATAATCGAGGTTGGACTGTACTGCCAAAGTAAGACTTAGAGTTAAGCAATACCACACTAAATATCTTAAGTTGACGTATCCATCTTTAAATCTTGACAAAAACTCATAAATTGTAGCTATTTTCTATTTGGAGCCTTAATTAACTCTTACCATGCTAAATACCTTATAAGTTTCATCCATTTTTCAATCTAGGCAAAGCCATTCATCGATTTTAGGTAAAATTTCATACTGAATAGTGAATTGATCAGAAGGCACATATCTGCCAGTTGATCTTGGTTTGCACTGGTTGCATAGGTAGAGAATCAATTGCTGCCAGCATGCTAAGAGTGCCTTAGAAATGAAAAAAAAATCCTTCTTTATTAAAGGCAAAATACAAAATCACTATAACTTTACTTATTTCCAAAAAGGAACAGAAGGAAAAGATGGTTCAGATAATTGGCCATTGAGTAACATTTTAGACACCACACATAAAATGCTTTTTGAAAATGAAAATATAAGCATCTCTGGGGCACCATGGGCCTTTTAAATCATAGCTATCTATCTCTCAATAGCTGAGTGAAATAAAGTTATCTGCCTGTCTGTTCGCCTGTCAATGAAGTCATACCCCTGATTGGGGTGTAGACATGAAAAATAACTAAGAAATGTAGCTATTTTATAATGTTCTGAACATGCTGTTATAATTTTTCAGTCATATATTGGACACACCAGTGACAGAGAGGGAGTTTCTAGAGCAGTTACACGAGCTCAATCATAAGATAAACTTTGTGAAAGAACAATCATTTAGGGATGCTAAATCATGTCTAGATGTGAGAGATATTCTGGAAAAACTTAAAATAAAGGTATATTATGTACAAAAACCCATCTATGTCCCAACATGGTTATTTTATGAATAAATTTCTCTTGTTCAAAATACATCCATGCTTATACAAACAAAACAGTCAGTACTAAACAATAAAATGTTCTAGGTTATACGGTAGTAAATTCTTCATTTGTTTATTAAAATATAAAATTATAAAATTATGAGTATTTTGACCTGGAACTTGTAAAGTTTGCTGGACCAGGATATTGCATAAGACAAGAAAGCATATAAAGTGTGTTACATTCTAATTAAATCATAGAGTTTAAATTTAAATTGTTCCATTCTTTCATGTATTTATTATTATGTTCATTGCAAGTTGATAAACTAAAATTGATTAAAAAACTTTTTGAGAATTGTTATTTAAGTGTGATATAAAGAATTGTGTATTAAAATGGTAAATGTTAAAGTTTTCATAAAGAACTCCAACAAAAACTTTATTATTTTTTTTTTAAATAATGAATGTGCTATATTTAAAGGTATGGAAATATTTTATTGATTTACCATTACCTGTGTATCATAGAGAAAGAGCGTTCTCTCTGTATATCTTTCGTATATTTTTTATTAATCTTTATTTTCAGGCCATTGCTAAAATTAGAGAATTCCTTCTAATGAAGATTAATTCATTCAAAAAACCAATGACTAACTATCAAATTCCTCAGGACACCATGTTGAAATTTAGGTTTGTCATTATTTTAATTATACATGTATTTAATTTATTATTTTATGCATAAATATTACAAAACGTGTTGAATTTGAGCTTTTCAAGCATACAGATTTGTAAATGAGAGATTACTGTGATACTAAACTTTATTATTATTACTGTAAGTGAGATGATTAAAAATAACAGTAAAAAAAATCTTATATTAAATCTTTGAGCCCGCTTATAAGGCTACCCATACAATATTGCTTTTTCAAATTTATGGGAAAAGCCAGTCTTATGGTTGGGTAAATACAATAATAGTACATGTACTAGTATAATGAGGCTACTTTTGTTGTTTTCAAGTAATGAAATTCAATCATTTTGACAGGTTCTTCAATGAGTTTTTGATGACAAATGAGAGGCATGTTGCTAAGGAAGTTCGAGATGAATACATGGATACGATGAGTAAAATCTATTTCTCCTATTACAAGGGCTATCTTAGCAGGTTAATGAAACTGCAAGTATGTACTGACACAGTTAGATATTTTCCAATTATATTTATGACCAAATAGTTTGTCACTTTATCACCTTAGTGCAGTAACAGGTTAACTCCTTATATAATTTAATAGGAGTTAAACTGTTACTGCACTAAGGTGACAAGGACACTCTCTACTGTTTTCATATCCTGTGAAATCATTTTTTTGTCCAAGACTGGTAACATTTGTGCAGATATTTTCAAAAATATACCACTTCTGAAAAATTATTTCAAGCTGAAGTGTTGCATGCAAGTTCTGTATTTTTCAGTATTACCTTGAAATTTTACACAATATCTTTAGGATCAGAAATGTATAACTGTAGCTTTGATTTTTACTGAATTATTCCCTGTTGGGATCATAGAATATTCTCTGTCATAGGGTATAATATATGACTCTTGTATTACTAGTATACGCTGAAAAATAACAATCACACTGTCTGTGCATTCACTTATTAGCTCACCTGTCACAAAGTGACAGGGTGAGCTCTTGTGATCGCTTTTCGTCCGGCGTCCGTCCGTCCGTAAACTTTTACTTTAAATGACATCTCCTCATAAACCACTAAGCCAATTTCATCCAAACTTCACAGGAATGTTCCTTTGGTGGTCACCTTTAAAAATTGTTCAAAGAATTTAATTCCATGCAGAACTCTGGTTGCCATGGCAACCGAAAGAAAAAACTTTAAATATCTTCTTTTAAAAACCCCAAAGAGCTAGAGCTTAGATATTTGGCATGAAACATCTTCTAGTAAGTGTCTACCAAGTTTGTTCAAATAAAAGCCCTGGGGTCAAAATTGGCCCCGCCCCAGGGGGTCATTGATTTTCCCTATATACATATAGTAAAAACTTAAAAATTCTTCTTTTAAAGAACCCATGGAGCTAGAGCTAAGATATTTAGCATGAAACATCATCTAGTAAGTGTCTACCAAGTTTGTTCAAATAAAAGCCCTGGGGTCAAAATTAGCCCCGCCCCAGGGGGTCATTGATTTTCTCTATATGCATATAGTAAAAACCTAAAAAATCTTCTTTTAAAGAACCCATAGAGCTAGAGCTAAGATATCTAGCATGAAACATCTTCTAATAAGTGTCTACCAAGTTTGTTCAAATAAAAGCCCTGGGGTCAAAATTGGCCCCGCCCCAGGGGGTCATTGATTTTCCCTATATGCATATAGTAAAAACTTAAAAAATCTTCTTTTAAAGAACCCATAGAGCCATAGCTAAGATATTTAGCATGAAACATCTTCTAATAAGTGTCTACCAAGTTTGTTCAAATAAAAGCCCTGGGGTCAAAATTGGCCCCGCCCCCGGGGGTCATTGATTTTCCCTATATGCATATAGTAAAAACTTAAAAATCTTCTTTTAAAGAACACATAGAGCTAGAGCTAAGATATTTAGCATGAAATATCTTCTAATAAGCGTCTACCAAGTTTGTTTAAATAAAAGCCCTGGTGTCAAAATTGGCCCTGCCCCAGGGGGTCATTGATTTTCCCTATATGCATATAGTAAAAACTTAAAAATTCTTCTTTTAAAGAACCAAAGAGCTAGAGCTAAGATATTTAGCATGAAACATGTGCTAATGGGTGTCTACAAAGTTTGTTCAAGTAAAAGCCCTGGGGTCAAAATTTATTGCTATACACATATAAGGAAAATCTTGACCTTAAAAATCTTCTTTGAAAAAACCCAAATAGCTAGAGTTTAGATATTAAGCATGAAACATCTTCTAGTAAGTGTCTACAAAGTTTGTTCAAATAACAGCCCTGGGGCTAAAACTGGCCCCGCCCCAGAGGTGTCATTGTTTTTAACTATATGTGTATAGTAAAAACTTAAAAAATCTTCTTTTAAAAAACCCAATGAGCTAGAGGTTAGATTGCAGGAAACATCTTTTTGTGGGTGTCTACCAAGTTTGTTCAAATAAAAGCCCTTGGGTTAAAATTGGCCCTGCCAAAGGGGGGGGGGGGGAGGTCATTGTTTTTCATTATATGTGTGTAGTAAAAACTTAACATCTTGAAACATCTCCTAATGAGTGTCTTCTAAGTTTGTTCAAATAAAAGCCCTGGGGTTTAAACTAGCCCCGCTCCGGGGGCCTAAATACAGGTGAGCGACCTCAGGGCCATCATGGCCCTCTTGTTAATAAATTTCCAGCTTTAATTTTGTTATTGTCTAGATTTCAATTGTTTTGACCATAATGATCTTTTATTATTTCAGTTTGAGGAAGGGGCAACAAAAGATGATCTGATGGCAGTGGACGAGACTGCAAAGAAAGATATCCTTTATATTTTACATGTCAAGTTTTTAAATATGATACTTAAATTCAATGTTTGACTTATTATAGCTATGATATACAGTTGACTTTCGATAAGTCAAAATCGCTTTACTCAAAATTCCGCGTTAGTCGAAGAATTTCTAAAGTCCCGTCAAATTTCCTTCTTTATCTTTGTATTTTAACTCTGCTTAGGTCAAATTTTGACTTACCGAGACTCCTGTTTAGTGGGAAAAAAAAATTTGTCCGGTCGCTTAAAGTCCAACATATTTTCATCTCAATTAGTCGAAGTGTGAAAACAGCCGACTGATCAAAGGTCGGCAACATCAAGGTGAGATGTTGTCACTCGTGATTCACACTTTTTATAGTAATTTTAATTGCCGGTCATCATGTATTATTAACATGTCGTAAAAGTGGCTTTAATCGGCTTCAGGACTTAATTGGTTTTAACAGTTAGATAACTAAATTAAGATTTAATTACATTTCTTAAAGAAAGTTGACTCTTGCCAGTCTGACAGGTGTTAGTCAAATATCAGCCTAGGTATTGATGTTTGTTATCAACGTAAATGACATTTGTATAATTAATGTTCCGTCATATTGCATACATTAATATGTACTTCCGGTTCACGATAGTTGCTACTTTCGTTTTCGTCCGATAATCAATTCACTTCAAATATTAGATAAATTGTTGTTAGTCAAATTCCGTTTCTCTCGAAGTAAAATGCCCAGTCCCTTGAATTTCGAGCTACTGTATAAATTCTTTAGAACCTAAATTTTTAGGTTGACTATTCCAAAAATAGGGAGAGTTATCGTACTCACCAAGACATCAAGTAACTGTCACACTTTTGTGCAAGTTGTTATCTCCAAAACACCTTAAGGGAATGGATTGAAACTTGACATACTTCTCTGAGTGCATAATAGGGGGTCACTGTCCAAGACCCATAACACTTATGTAAATTTTAACGGAATTATGGCCCTTTTTGAAAATAGAAATTTTTTACAATATCTGGGCTCTGTTTTAATATCAAGCACTGAGAATTGTAGAGCCTGCTGTCCTAATGACAGCTCTTTTTGTTGTTTGATATAGGGTTCTTCTACTGAATAGTTTTGTAGTCCTTGAGAAATCAATTCTGCGGATTATTATAATTGTATCTATAGAAGATTTTGAACTTCTCCAATTTTATATGATAGTTTCTTTAACATTGAGTAAGTTTTTTCACTAGTAAGAGCACATTAAAGAACAGATCAACAGTGTTTACAGTAGGTAACCGTGGTGACGTTCTGACGACCGAGTTAGAAGCTCCAATCATTGTACCTCATGCTGCACAAAAATCTGAAAACAGGGTTTGTATTTATTTTTTTTTGGAGGGGGGGGGGGGGGCAGGGGGGTGTTCGTATTCGATTTGGTAGTGCTTTTAAGTCGCAAAAATGCTGTGAATTTTAATAGTCCAAGGTGCAGTCAATGAATTATTATAGGGCATGAAAAGGCTTCTGGATAGGACGATTTATACTGTGTTAACAGATAGAAAGTTCCTACAAATGTAGGAAGCTCATTTAGAAAGATTCAAATTCACATCAATGATTGTTATATGTTTAAGACAGCGCCTGTTACCCCTCTGCCATGGAGACCCTGAATTGTATATTCATATATTTAAATCTTCATATTCATAAAGAATATGATTTTCCATAGAAATTATAAAAAAAGAATTTTTTTTTATGACTGGACTTACAATATTAATGTTGATTTTTGTTTGATGTGAATATAAATTGATGTTATCAAGTTATTATTATCAATTTGTAGAGAAAAAAAACAGAAAAAACAAAAAACAACTGAAATTGTAAGTGGTAAGAAATGTGATATTTTCTTGTGATATATTTGTATATGTTCTATATTTTACAGTACACATTTGAGAGTTTATTCCGCAGTCTACATTTTGCACTGATGGATAATGCCTGTAGGGAGTACTTGTTCCTCACTGATTTCTTTATGGCGTCGGGAACTTCTGCGATAGATTTGTTTAATACGGTGTTTGGTAAAACACTCTCAATATATCTGGTATGTTATCTCTATAATACTGTATGTTTGTAACATCGCTTTTCATTGGATAATTGTGGCATTTAAATAGTTTTATATACACAGCTGTTGTCAATTTATGTGAAAATCTCACTTTTTTCTCTAAAAATCTAAAAAAAATGATATTTGCTGTATTGTTACAAATATTTCTGACAGGTTATATGACCGTATATAAATGGTTGTTTTGCAATATAACCCTTGCCTAGCGGCTTGGGTTATATTTACAAACAACCATTTATGTAAGGCCATATAACCTGTCAAAAATCTTTATAACTAATAATATAAACTATGATGAGGTTTTTTGTCTTTTATGAAGTGCAAAAAAGAAATGGTTTATGACAAAGTGTTGTAGGGATATTAATAAAGTTCAGAGATAACTATAGTTACTGTAAAATCAGAAATTATCATGAGGTATCAGTTTTTACTAATTGAAGATTTAAGTAAAAATAACTGTTAGCTATGTATCTACTGGTTGGGGACCACCAAAACCGGACAACCACCAAACCCGGACGGCCCCGTAAATTCATAATTTAGATATTTTTCTTTGTTCGTTGGTTGTCGATCTATCAGTCACTTTAAATCAACAATACATGCATGTTTCTTCTATAATTAAGTAATTAAATTCATTTCAACAGTAATATTTTAATGTCTATTTCAAGAATGCTGACATTGAAAATTTGGGGGTTAAGAGTGCAATACCTGGCATCATATACCAGCTATAGTTATTGGCAGAGTAAACTAATAGAATATCCAAAACGTCAGCATTTGTTGCTGAAATATTGTATATTATGTTAAAAAATAAAAAATTTAAACACCCTAGCATTTAAATGAATTAAATCACATCATGTACATATCTGTCCGGACACATGGTACTGTAGTGTAGACAATTTAGGTAATTTTGATACCCTCCTTGACGAGCCTCAGATATAAGTGTCAATATAATCAGAAATAAACAAACTAGTTTGTTAGTTAGGAGAAGAACCTAGCTGTACTGTGTCAAATTTTCAGGTCTCTAGGTTTGAAATTATGAAATCTTTATGGAAAAATGTTCAAAAAGTGTCCGGTTGATGGTCTCCGACCAGTACCATATAAATTCAACCGAATATAAGGTAAAACAAATCTTTTATCTTGCCAATCAGTCCGAAATGTTGATTTTGCGAATGTATTGCTTTGAGAAAATATCTGATTCCTTGTCATCGTGTTGATTAAATTTGTAGACCTAAAAGATTTTTATTTTTACATAAAAATTCTGCAAACGTGATAAAATATAATAATATTGAGAGTTGCAAACAATGAAATGGCTTTATGACAGTAAGAGATTATATGACATCTTAACCCACTCTACACTAAAAATCTTTCATGGACTTGTCCATCTGAAATTTCAGACTGGGCAAAAACATTCATTGTTTTTAGGGGAAATTTTAAAATATATACTGAATGAATAGGAAATAATGTAGAATATGATAAGATGGTGTTGGATGTGATTTAAGGCTCAGAAATAAGTATTCAGGAAACATAAGATAGCTGTTTGTGATAAATCTGGGGGTGTCAAGTTTATCAGTTTTAGAAGATTCGTTCGGTTTTAGCCTAAAACTGATCAGAAATTTCAAAAACCGAGGTTAGCTGAAATCTTAAGAAATTTCAGATTTATTTTAAACATAACATTTGTTTCTTTTAGTCAAGAAAAGACATTTTGTTTATAAATCAATTTTTTTTTCGATTGCATTCTATCTTACATGTATGTATGGTATGGTCCTTATGGAAAACAGTTACTACATAATAGAATGTGTTTTGTAATTGTTGTTGAATACAACAAAATACACACAAAATGTGTTATCTTTATATTAATAAAAAATAATTGATGTCACAAATCAAAAGAATTCTTTTTGTACGGTTGGTTAAACATTTAACACGGTTATTAAATACTGTTTAAACAGTTAACTTTTTTGTTAACTGTGACACCCCTAGATAAATCTCAATTTAGTCTTCAATATCTTCTGAAATGGTTTAATTGTTTTGCTATGGATGATTTTTGAAGCTGTTTATTTCTGATTATTAAGTGATTTTTGTATTTCAGAAATCCATGGAAGAGCATATAAATGAATGTTATGATTCCATCGCCATATTTCTGTCAATTCATATAGTACACCGGTTCCGTTCTATCATGGAAAACAGAGGGGTACCAGCACTTGAAAGGTCTGTTCAGATGCTTTTTGCATTATATGCATAACATCCTTTGGAGGGTCATTCTGAAGATAGTTATATAGCATATATATTATTTAACATTACATGAAAATCTCTCACAATTCCTTAATCTTCATGTAACCTTCTTTTTCTTTTTCTTTTGGTCAAATATATACATGTATGTATTGAAATATGGCTTTCAAAATGGCTGCCACTTTAGTCAAGGGAGTTGAATATTGAAAACATCGGGTAACAGCATGTACACATCTTATGATATTGTATAAAATTACAAGACTCCTTAGGAAAACCTTTTGTTTTTGCTTCCAAAAGTTTTCAATAAGCAATTAGTCAGATATCTGGAAAATTGCTGTTTTCATTCCAAAATTTTATAATATTGTTTTACTTGAACCGTTATATTATAATGTGATATATAGAGAATAACATGCTACTGTCTTTTGATATCAATTTTATCAGGCGAGGCTGATATGGGCTAGAAAGGGCGAGGCTTGTCGAGCCCTTTCTGCCCATATCAGCCGAGCCTGATAAAATTGATATCAAAAGACAGTAGCATGTTTTTCTATTTATCATGTTACACATAATAACTGTCAAAATAACAAAATAATCTACTTTTAAATAGCGAATTTTGTTAAAAAGGAGAATTTTTGTTCAAAGAAATAATTCTTGAAAACAAATTCATCCGCCCCTGACACTTAGAATTTGTATTTGGCGGCCATTTTTTCTTTCGACTCGGGTAAAAGATACAACAGAATGTAGGCCTTATACGATAACATTCTTACCTTTAATTTAAACATCGATCCAAAAATCCGCTTAGAATCACATAAACTAAACTTTACTGCAATTTTTGTCTTGAATTGTCAAATTCAAAAGTTCACGATAATTTCAATCAAAGAAATGTCAAATCGGCAATCAAACACAAGCTACACAAACATGCGTCTTATTTTTTAAACGAAACAATTTGTTCACTTATTAAATAATAATCCGGCGAAATAAAGTAAACATTTACAAGTTCTCAAAGAAAATCGTCAGCCTGTTTGTTATGATTACATGTATAGTATGACGTGAACATCGATGATGTCATTTGCAATATAAATTATGACGTCACTTCATTTAGTTGGTGCTAAAACTATTCGCTATCTAATTTATTCGTAATTGAAATCGAAATAATAAATAAATAAATTTCGCATATTGATCCAAGACTTGTAAGGGTATGAGATTACATTGTAGAATTCACATGCTGATGAAAATGCTTGAATATAAGCAATTGAAAAAAGTCCGTTAAAATGGGCGGGGCTAATTTTTGATATCAGGTTACTGACGTGATATCAAAAATAATTATCAGGCAAGTGTTATCGGGAAGTTACCATAGCAGTTGCATGATATAATAGATTATTTTTCAGCAAATAGTTTTTAATTTTAACTTTTAATCAAGTTATGTTTTGTTTTCAGATACTGGGATAGTGTGTTACATGTAATGTGGCCTCGTTTTGAATATATTCTTGTCCTCAATATTCAGAGTGTCAGAGACTGTGATCCCGAAAAGTTAGGCCATATTGATGTCAGACCTAATTACGTAAGTTTTAACATTGCTGACATTATATACTCAGCCAGACTTTAAAGACATTATGATGTCAGGCCAAACTATGTATATTGTTAGATATAAGGTAAGAACATATTCATGTTGGACCAAACTATGTTCATTGTTAGGTTTAAGAATTATTACTATTTAAGTTACAGGTTTCAAGACATAATTATGTTAGGCCAAAACTATGTAAGTTAAAAAAATAAAGACAAATTGATATGATGCCAAATTCTGAACAATATTTTATAGCAACTGAAATAGTATCGTGCATTTTACCATTACATCATGACATCCAGTATTGTTTTTCGTGACATTTTACATGTTACAATATGTTTTGTTATATAATCAGTTCAATAAAAACAAACGCTTTTCTTAAGCTTTCGACGTTTAGTCTTCTTCAGAAAAAATTGACGTTTATCTGGTTTCAGATACTGGGATAGTGTGTTACATCCCTAGAGGAGACAATGAAAGGAAACTGAAAATTTCATTTTTTTTTTTTAAATATATTTTGGTATAATCTTCACTAACTAAGCATGACTGGGAATATTTTATCATACAGATAACAAGACGATATGCAGAATACTCAGCGGCAATCCTTGGTATCAACCAGTCCTACCCGGATGAAAGAGCAGACAGAATTCTAGGACAGCTACAGACCGAAGTAGAAAATTTTATCTTAAAACTGGCGGCAGAGTTCCCACACAGAAAAGAACAGCTTATCTTCCTGATCAACAACTATGACATGATGTTGGGCGTTATTACAGTATGTTTCAATGATATATATCCTATTTTTAAATTAACATTTTATTTTTTCAAGATAAAAACATATTTAGATATTCATTATTCTGGGTCTGTGAGATGAATGTTTCAAGCTTGCAAAAACTAACTCGTTGGTTTAGTGGCACAATACCAATCTAGATATAAAAAAACATAAAGCTGTATCAAATGCTTTCTTTACCTTAGAAGAGAAGAAGATAGAATTAGTGTCAGTGTCAAACATTTTAAATGTCATGATTTTTACAATGTATAGGAAAGGACAACGGAAGATTCAAAGGAGTCTGAGAGTTTTAAAGAATTGCTGACAGCACGTACACACGAGTTTATTGAGGAGGTTCTTACGCCACATTTTGGCGGAATGATCATGTTTGTTAAAGATCTTGAAGGTCACATAGAGCGTGGAAATATGGAGGCTCTACGTAATGAAGAACGTGAGACTTATTTATTGTTTTGTTTTAAGGAAACAGGTTGTTACCCGAGTTGGGCTCGAACCCTCACTCTCTAGGTTGGGAGTTAGGCTCGGGTTACATGTGAGATTTGTTCATAAATTGACATCAGCCACAGCCATCATGTATTGTTTATATAAACTATACAAACATCACGATCATCCAATGAAAAGTGACATTACAAACGTGCGGTATTATAAAGATAATAGCCACTAGAATCTGATGAAAAGCTAAAAAAAAGTTAATAGCCCTGTTGGCTATTATAAAACATTACATAACTATGGCGCAAGAGTGTGATAGAGTCATTTAATAAAAACAATAATTCACTAGTGTATTAATTTGACATGATGTCATTTGCTATTTCTATTTACAGACTTAACATAAAAGTTTGCTAAATTTCAGCATTACAATGTAATCCACTTCAATGAAAAATGATTCTTTTCTTACTATGTTCACTTTTTATTTTGTGTGCGTGTAGTTCATTACTTAATTAATTGAACTTGTTCAATTAAATAAAGTAAAATATTATATTGGTGTAGTTCATTAGTAAATTTATTGAGCTCACCCAATTAAATAAAGTAAAATATTATATTCCTGTAGTTCATTATTTGATTTATTGAAATTGCTCAATTAAGTAAAGTAAAATATTAAATTGGTGTAGTTCATTACTTAATTTATTGAACTTGCTCAATTAAATAATATCATGTTTGCTAGATGATCCCATTATATGATTATTATCAAGCAAGGAATTCAGTATTGGACCTTCAACCATTGAATATGTTCTATTTATCACAGAAAGGGTTACACAGCTTGTGAGAGGTTTTAACAGTGACTGGAAGCGTGCACTAGAATATATAAACCAAGAGGTGATGAGATCTTTTACCAACTTTAAAAATGGAACACAAATATTACAGGTATGTACAATGTCTACTATTACCAGAAATTACATTAATTGAGCCATACCATGACAAAACCAACATAGTGCGTTTGTGACCAGCACGGATCCAGACCAGTCTGTGCATCCACGCAGTCTGTTTAGGATCCATGCTGTTTGTTGTCAGTTTCTCTACTTGTAATAGGGTTTGGAGGCGAACAGCATGGATCCTGATCAAACTGCATGGATACGCAGGCTTGTCTAGATCCATGCTTGTCGCAGCAAACTTTGTTGGTTTTGTCATAGCGCGGCTCAATTATAGCTACCATTTATTCAGTGCAAAGCATATCAACGATATATCGATATCTGATGACAAATATCAATGATGCATCAATATATCGATAATTACCTATAAATAATTGTCTGTCATTTACTGTTTCATACCTATTTAAATGATTTCATTGAAATACATGTTCTGTTCAGTGCCTTGTTTATAAATGCCCATTGCATGATTTTTTTCCTGACCATTTTTTGTCATATCTGCTACTTTAGATGTAAAAGTTGGTCCTCCTCCCCCAGTAACGTGGTCACAAGACCTTGACAGTGTATTTGTTACTTAATTTAAATTTTATAAAATGGTCATAACATATTTATAGCAAGTGGCTAGAATTATCCAAAACCTTTAAGTTTAAAAAAATGGACATAGCCATTTAGCGAGGGAATAGAATTATCCTTCAAAAGTATAGCTGGAAAATAATGATATGATATGAAACAATTTTGATAACTTAATATGAAACAAATTAAAAGAATAAATTCTTTAAAGTGGGAAAAAATAGAAGGCCCTCATGATTTTAGTGGGTCATATTGAATGTCGTAAAACTTCACCTTTTTTAAGCAGACATTGTACTGATAATGATTTCATACATCATAATATTGTTCTTCTACAAAACTTTGAGTGTATATAAAATGCTGGGTTATATTACAGGGAGCTTTAACACAGTTGATACAGTACTACCATAGATTCCAGAAAGTATTGAACCAGGGACCACTACGTAATCTACAGATACGAAATGAACTCATCAATATTCATCATGTGATGGTTGAAGTGAAGAAATATAAACCTACGTTCTGATTGGTTTAAAAAGTCAACACTTTTCTCATCTTTACAGTCCTGTTTATTTTATGCCAAACTAAAAGAAAGTGCAAGGATGCCAACTGTATATGCCCCGTGCAAGGATGCTAACTGTATATGCCCCCACAATGGGGGCATTTAGTTTTGCCCTTGTCCATCATGCTGTGGAATTTGGGGGGATATGTGTCCTATGAACACATTTCTAGTTCCGATATTGTTAGTAATCTTGACTTACCCAGACTGATGAATTAAACACTCAAAAGTTAAAATATTATTTTATGGTTATTTATGATATTCAAATTCAAAATTATTTCATTCTTTATATTATGTATTAAACCATTATACTGTAATTATCATTCCAAGTAAAATATTGTACATCCTGTTATTTAAAGCTGCATTTTATAAATTTTGTAAAAAAAAAATTATGTAAAAACAGAAACAGCTACATTTCATTAATAAAATGGGTTTTATATCTAATACCATTCTTATTTTGGTGTGCAGACAACCAAAATGAGCTTTATGAGCATAAATGTCTGCAACCTCATTGTGGCGATATGAAAAGATATAAATTTGCACAACTGTTGATTTCTAACAGTTTAACACTGACATAACGTATACGCGAGGTAATTATAGTCTTCATTTGCATGTTAAAATTCATATACAAACTATCATAGGGTTTCCTTTTAAAATTATAATTTCTGAGCAATATTTGATTTAATTTATTATAGCATAAAATCGGCTATTTTTCCCTTTTTTAGCTCGACTTTTCTATGAAAAGGGGAGCTATCCTACTCGCCCCGGCGTCGGCGTCGGCGTTGGCGTCACACCTTGGTTAAGTTTTTCGTACCACCCCACTTTATTTCAGAAGTATTACAAGTATGGCTTTGAAACTTACCATACTTGTTCACCATCATAACCTCCATCTACAGACAAGAGTACATAACTCTGTCAAGGTTTTTGACAGAATTATGGCCCTTTTTTGACTTAGAAAGTGTATTGAGCTTGGTTAAGTTTTTTGTACCACCTCACTTTATTTCAAAACCATTGGAGGTATTGCTTTGAAACTGACCATACTTGTTTACCATCACGACCTTCATCAACAGACAAGAGGACATAACTCTGTCAAGGTTTTTGACAGAATTATGCCCCTTTTTGACTTAGAAAATACATTGAATATGGGTAAAATCCACTTATTGCCTTAACCCTTTGAGATATTGCTTTGAAACTTTTAATGCTATTTCACATCATTACCCCCATCTGTACGCAAGAGAAGGTAACTCTGTCAAGGATTTGTTTTAAAAATTAAGGCCTTTTATCGACTTAGAATCTTGGTTAACTTTTTTGTACCAGTCAACTTTTTGACTGAACTGGTTGAGATATTAAATTGAAAGTTGGAATACTTGTTTACCATCATGGTCCCAAAACATGGGCAGGAGAAGGTAATTCTGTTAAGGATTTTATTTGAATTATGGCCCTTTTTGACTTAGAAACTCAGTTAAAATTTTCATTCTTGTCCACTTGTTGACTTAACCATTTGAGATATTACTTTGGAAGTTGGAGTTCTTATGTGCCATCATGAGACCTATCTGTAAGCAAGAGAAGATAACTCTGTGAAAATGTTTCTTGATTTGTACTTAGAAATTCCTAGTTAAAGTCTTGTGTGCCCTTAACTGTCAAAGTTTTGTTTTATAGGCAAGCACTAAAAAAGTCGAGCGCGCTGTCCTTCTGACAGCTCTTGTTGCCCATGTTATAACGGGACCAAAACCATGTGTTAACATAGTCACGCGCTCTTGTTATAGCCCGGTTTCACCTATGCGCAATACATACAGGGCCCAGTAAACAAACAAACAAAAAATGACGATTTGGCCTGTTTGCCGAAGAGTCATTCGTTCTTGTTGTATTGAGATTTATTGATTCGAGGGCCTCAGTCGCATATTCCAGTAACTATGCCGGAAAAACGGCGTATAGACATCGGTGCTAATCTTGGTTGTCGCCCTTTCTAAGAAACGGACAGTTGTCAATGTAAACAAATACAGTAGAATCTACCTGTCATTCAGTTTAACACTCCGATTAACTTACAAAACTAGATAACACAAAATTAATATGAGAAAATGTTTTTTATTTATGTTAATGTTGGTAAATGATCTTTATATTTCTTTGAGAGAATAATGCTTAGTGCCTGATTTTTTTATAAACTTGCATGTTTGCTTGAAAAAAAAAAACCGATTCCTGACTGAAGATGATGTCACTGATCTTTTTTCTATCGTCAATCTGAAATCACTCTAAGAATTTCTGAGGGTCATGTTTTGTCTTGGGTAGAAGGTAGAGTAATGTAACGTTTTTTTTTCTTGAGAAAATAAATATCCAAAGGCCAAGCTTTGTTAAATCAATTAAAATTCAAAATTTCGTTGGGTTCCGAGAATTTTCCAAGTTGTTGGCCCCGGAAAAATGAAACGCATACGTAAAACATAGAATTGGATAAATACCGTCCAAGCACAAGAATTTAATGTAATTGTGTTTTGCATAAACTATACATCACGAATCTGTTTGAAAAGTTTATGCTATAATAGCGTCAACGCACGTTTATTTCGTGTTATAAAGTCTGCAGAGTCCCTCGGAACTGTTGGAGCCCTCGCCCTACCGGGCTCGGGCGCCAACCGTTCCTCGGGACTCTGCAGACGTTATAACACGGAAAAACGTGCTGTTAAACAGGTTAATGAAACTGTAGAATGCTTGGTTTTTAAGCCGACAGCAAAATATTTTTACATATGTATAAAATGCAGCTTTAAAAGATATAATGGATATGTAAAATTATATTGATATGTATTGAATTTTATATTAAAATTGAATATTATGCTTATTAAATTTTATTTATACATACAAAGTGCTTGTTACAACATGCTGTGCAATAAATGTGATAAGAATGAGAATTTTTTTATGTGTTTTCATGTGACATTAGATTAATTCCACCATACATTGTTTTATGTTACACTTACTGTTATGGTTTCTATTGCTTGGAGCAAGTAAGTTTCTGTATGTTAAGTATCTATATGTATCTGATACGAAAAGAATAGGAAAATTAAATATTCAAAATAACATGGATAGAACAAAAGTCATTATTATGTCAGTTAAGATACACGTAGATATATTTAAACAATCTAGAAAATTTCACATTCATTTTTCCTATTAATAAATATACATGTATATAATGTGAATACAATGGGTAAGAGATATGGATTATATTTCATTGTGAAAATAATAAATTTCATGAATTAGAATAAGATAAGCACTGCAGTCCTTGAAGAAGATTACATACATGTTGACTTGGCAACAAAATCTCCCGAGGTCCCCCACCTGCCCCTTGCAAAAGATTTCCCCACTTCTGATAAGTGTAAATGAAATATTCTTGTGTAAAAATTCATATTTAAATATTTAGGACAGAAAGCCTTACAGAAAATAAAATTTCTCATTGAATTATTTTACTGATTTACTTTCTTTACCAACAAATTAATACTTGATTTATCTTCATTTTTTTTAAATAATGTTATCTCCCATTGACTGTCTTAAAATAATAAAATTTTGCAACTGTTGCAAAGTTAAGATTTTTCACAAAATAAATGTTTTTTGAATATCTACCATACAAGTTTAATAGAATTGAAAGTAGAAATATCTAACCTCACCAGATGGACTGAAATGTTGATTTTACAAAATTTTGGCCTTGTGAACATATCTATATTTTACAGTACTCATAAATGAGATTTTTTTCATCATATTCGTCTAAATAATAATTGTGATAGTAATAAAAAAATTCAATTTAATTTTACATAGTTAAGCCTATGCGTCAGCAGCCTGATTGGTATTATTGCTGATTTTAACTTGAACACTTGAAGAAAAGTTGTGATGCTCTACTTATCCTTGTGTCTGCATCAATGAAAACGGGTTAAAGTTTCACCGAACGACCAGTTTGGCAAACTAATCTTATATAAAAGAACAGACTGTGGTTTTATAGCAATATGACTTATTTCACGAGAACAAAAGTCTTTTAAATCAAATGAGGGACACTTATGATTGAAGTAAACCATAATTATGACTGAAAATCAAAATTTCTCATGTATTGTTAAAGGGTGACAACTGATACAAAATTAGTCTCATTGTGCTACAAGTTACCTCCCTTTTTATAAGTTTTTAGGCATAAAATAGGGAGGCTTCAAACCTTGATTTTTTTATACAACTGTGACAGAGTTACTCTCTGTAAGCTACATAATGTTTCTCCCCTTATTTCTTTTTTAGTGGATAAGCTATTTATGGGAAGAAGCAGTTTAGCACAATAGGTATAGCATTGGACGACACAGGTTTGATTTCCGGATAGTGCGGATCACTTTTGTTGTGATTGATCATGAAATCTTTTCTACGGTCATTCCCACTGTACCTCTGCTCTGACATGTACAGAAGTTTCAAATCCATGCATAAGTGGAGGCAGCAAATCACCGCATCAGATATGCCATTATTATCTTCTGGTTTCTTGCTGTCCGTCTGTCTGTTCATTAGATTCTATCTATTGATAATATGTATCCAATCTATAACTTTAAAAGATTCATATCTGATGTGTAAGTTTTAAGTAATATAATACCAACATTTTTAGTCCCCTACCGGTTTACCGGAGGGGACTTTAGGTTTACCCTCCGTCCGTCTGTCTGTCCGTCAGTCTGTCCGTCCGTCAGTCCGCCCGTCCACAAAACTGGATCCCGCGATAACGCAAAAAGTACTGAAAATATTTTAATGAAACTTGATATATGGATAGATGGCAGTATGGAGATTATGCACATCTTTTTCTTTTCTTCCTATGTTGAAAATTCTGGTTGCTATGGCAACAAATAGACTGAAAATATGGCAAATTTTACACATAACCTGGATCCCGCGATAACGCAAAAAGTACTGAAAATATTTTTATGAAACTTGATATATGGATAGATGGCAGTATGGAGATTATGCACGTCTTTTTCTTATCTTCCTATGTTGAAAATTCTGGTTGCTATGGCAACAAATAGACTGAAAATATGGCAAATTTTACACATAACCTGGATCCAGTGATAACACAAAAAGTACTGAAAATATGTTTATGAAACTTGACATATGGGTAGATGGCAGTATGGAAATTATGCACATCCTTTTCTTATCTTCCTATGTTGAAAATTCTGGTTGCTATGGCAACAAATAGACTGAATTTCAAGATTTCTGATTCTAGTTTTTAAGTTTTTTCACTATAAGTTCTTTATTTCTTAAGGTATTTTCTTCAAACTTTAAAGATACAATGTAAGTTGCTTGTCATCAACCACATCATATGTGACAAGGTTTACAACTCTAGCACAAAATTTATCAGAATTACCTCCCTTGAACTAAGAATTTTCATGAAAAAAACATTGTTTTTTTTAATAACTTCTTTTTCTGAATGTATCTACTTCAAACTTCATATAAATGTTTCTTATTATCACTCAACATTTGTGAGTGTTCAATACTCTAGCAAGACTATTTCCAGAATTATGCCCCTTTTGAACTTAGACTTTTTTTTGAGAAA